TTTTATATTCCTATTCTTTACCAATAGCAATTTCACTAACTATATTTCCTATATTATTTATTTAAGTAAAATCTTTTTTTCCTTTTTTTTTTTGCTTTTTTTACTTTTATAAGTAATAATTATAACACACCTTTTTTTAAGCAAATACTACCTATTCTTATAGCAAGCAGTTATTACCTATTTTATTATTTAATTTATTCTTATTTTCTTATTCCAGCAAGCAATTTAGCAAGTAAATTATTATTTTTTAAGTAATTTTTAAAAATAAGTATCTTTTTTTTAACCAAGCCTTCTTTAAGCAAGGCCTAGCTAAAATTTTTTACCTTTTTTTATATTAGCAAGCAAGCAAGCAAGCTAGCTTATTTTTTTAATTAAAATCTTTTTTTCTTATTTTATTTTAGCAAGTAACCAAGCAAGCAAGATTTTTTTACTTTTTTTATTTTAATAATTAAAACTGCTTTCCTCCAAGCAATTTTTTTAATAATTAATTTATTATACTTTATTAAGATTATTACCTTAGTTTAGGAACCAAGATCTCTTTTCCCTTTTTTTTAAGTAAACCTTAATTTAGAAACAAGCATCTTTCTCCCCTTTTTTTATTCCCTTTTTATAACATAACTTATTAGGGTTTAATTCTCCTAGCACTTTTTTTTTTTTTTTTTAAGTTTTACTAACCATAAAAAAACTTAAAGTAATCCAGAAATAGGATTACGCGAATATTATTAACAAGAAGAATAAAAAATAAAAAAGGGATAAAAAAAGCTGCATAAAATATTATAGGAAGTAATATAATTACTATAATTATTTCCTAATATATTAAATATATAATAATAATAATAATAACCGCAACCGCCCGTGGACGCGCGCAGTAAATAATAAAATAAATTTAAATAACCTAAAGGTAGGGAGAAAGCTTGTAATTATACTAAATAAATAAATTAAAAATCTTAAGATTTATAGCTTTTTTTTAAAGGGGATGCAAGTTTTAAACCTTAGCGTATTCTTTATAATCCATGTGATGGATAAATTATCCAGGCATAAAAAATATTTATATAATTTTAATTTTAATAAGAATCTTAAAGTAAAAAAAGTATTTATTAGCTTAATTATATAAATTTACGCACACAGGGAGTACTAGTTTCTTATATATTATAAATAAATAGTCTTATATAATAGGGACCTAGCGTTTACTAAAACATAAAAATTAAAAAATATAGTTTTATTAGGTATATTAAACTTAAATTTTATATTTAGCTTTATTACCAGGCTAAAACTATACTTTATTAAGATTACTAAAGTAAATAGCTTTTAATTATTATTCTTAATTATTATTATAAGTTACTATATTTTAAATATTTTTATTTATATTATTCCCCTAGGGAGAGGCCTAGTAACATGGGTAATAAAAAAAATAAATTATAATAAGTTTACTTAGGCGGCGGGAGGGAGCTATTTATATTTATTATTTTTTAATAATTTTATTATTTATAGCTTTTATTAAATAGTAAACTAAAATTTATTAAATTTATTATTAAAAACACACTTTTTGCTAGTGCTTAAGGGCCTTAATATAATAAAAATAAAGGCTTATTAACTTTAAGCCTTAGCAGACTAGGACCTCCTAGTAATAAAAATTAAAAAAATAAAAAAGTATTAAAAATTAAGACTAACTATTAAAGGCACCTTAATATTATATATAAATAAAAATCTAAAGTTAAAATTAATTAACTAGTCCAAGCTAACTATAATAAAGTTAAAGAATAATACTAATATAAAGGATTTTAATAACTTTAATAAGAAGGAAGACTTTAATAAGGACTTTAATAAATTTAATAATATCTTCCCTAACCTAGATACTAACAAGAATAACTTCAAGAATAATACTGCCTTTAACAAAGCATAATTAAAGACTGCTAACTTGCAGACTAATTAGCCTAATACCGCTTAAAAAGCAAAAACTCCAGGCTATCTTAATTACTTCTAGAAAGGAAAAAGGTTATTAATATCTTAAAAAAATTTATGCAAAGCCATGGATTAATAAAGTCCTTTAAAAGCAAGAATAATGCCAAATAAGCCTATTCCTAGTATTAAAAATATTTAAAACACAGCGGCCTAAAACCTGTTTATTAACAAGCAAGCCACCAACATGTTATCCACTAGTAATTAAAAATTATTAAATTCTTTTATCCTTTTAATATTTACTAGTAGTTAAAAATTATTAAATTTTTTTACTAAGCTAGCTAGCATACTTGGTTTAGGCCTGTAATAAAGCCTAAGTTTCCACCTTTTATAGCTAAAACCAGGCTTTATAATTCTTAGCAAACCATAATTATCCATGTAAAGTTAGCTTATAAAGTAATAAAAAAATACTTTAATCCCTCCTACTATTCTAATAATAATAGTGTTAGTAACTAAGTAAAAAAAATAAAGGCTTAAAAAAGTGCTAAATCCTATTTTTACTAAATTTAATAAGCTAACTTTTATTACTAGCTAAAAGCCAGCCAACCTAAACCTAAACCCCACTTTTAGTAGGCTATTAAAGCCAAACCCTATTACTAGTAGGCTACCAAAGCTAACTAAAAACCCTATTAGCCCTTTAATATTAAAAAAGGCAAATACTTTTACTTAACACCTCTCTTACCAAAAGAATACCAGCTCTACTCCTAATAAGTATTTTATTAGTAATAAAACCTTTACTATTTATTTAACTTTATTATTCTTGCTCTAGTAAATATTACTTAAAACCCTATTATTCTTGGTATTCTTAGCCCATGCTTTAGCTAGTAACCTTAATTTATTATTAATTAGCTATAATATAATATTAAACACACTAAAAAAAATACCCTATTATTTATAAAGCCGTGCAAGTTTTTTTAAAAGCTTAAATATAAGTGTTACTAAAGGCTTAAAGGCGTATTACTATTAATATAGCTTGCTAAATAAAAAATTAGGTCCTGGAGGTTTTTATAAATATACTATATTTAATATTAAAAAAGTTAAAATAAAACTAAATTATAACCACCTTCGCTTGCGCCTGGTTTTTTTTATAAATTAAACTAGCTTATTTTTAGTATTACCTACTAGTTAATTAAAACTTACTCTCGCGTTTTTTTTATTTCTTACTAGCTTAAGCCTTTAACTATTTATTTCCTACTTTTATTACTCTTAAAGCTTTATTTATTATTATTACTTACTGCTTTTACTTAATCTCCAATTTTTTTCTTTGTTTAGTAGCATTTTTTATTAATAAACAAGGGCATCTGCTTTTTTTTTAAGGGGGACTTATTAATGTTAGCCAGGCCACTAGCGGCATATACTGCCACTGGCCACCGCCATTGACTAACCCCTTTCCTGGGATTGAGCTTAGTTAGTTTTAGCAATCAATCATAATATAAACCCTCTTTCAAATCGTCTACCTTTGACATTTTTACTTTTAAAAATAACTATTAAAAATAAATACTGGCTAAAAAATAAGTAATACTTAATAATAAATATTTAGTTATTACCTTAAAAATTAATTATAGTAAATCCTCCGCGGTTTTTTATAAGTTATATAAAAAAAAATTACATGTTAATAGCTAAAAAAAATACTATATATAAAGCCTTTTTTATTTATATTTTATATATTTTTATAATTAACTTTATATTTAGCCTTAACATGTTTAAATAGCTTAATAAAATGCTTAAAAATTTTAGGATTAGCCTAGTAAAGGCGCTTATATTTTAACTTTTTATTTTATATAATAGTAAACTTTTTATTTTTTTACAGGAAGACTTTATATTAGTTTATATTAATTAATTTAAATTTATAGCCTAACCACTTATATTTTTATTTATATAAAATATTAGCAGTGTCTTATAATATTTTAATATTTAAAAAAAAGTTAAATTTAACCTAGTATAGTATATTACGCCTAAAAAATATTTTTTTTATTAGGGATAGCTTTTACCTTAATATATAAGCTTTTTAATAAGTTTAATAGCCTTATATATAATATTAAAAAGTTATTAAAGGTAGGCTATATTTATTTATAGCTTAATATTATATTTTTTAATTTTTTTTTATTTAAGTAATTATAATTAAAATAACCTTATTTTATAAATATATTATAGGGTTTTCCCATGTTATTTTACAGGCTTTTTTTATAATATATTTATTTTTATAGCGCTAATTTTATTAAGTAACTTATTATTAATTTTAGGTATTTTAAAGCTATATAACTAGCATGGACCAGGAAATAATAATTATAAATTTAATATAAATAAATTAAATAAAATTATAGGTAACTCACGGCCCTTATTTAAAAAAACTTTTTAAATATTTTATTAAATTTTTATTTGCTAATTTTAAATAACTACTTACTAAATATTTTTATAATAAATTAGTAAAGTTACACATGGTTAAAGTTAAGGAGTTAATACCAGGTAATTAAAAATAAAGTTCTAAAAGTGCGTTTTGCTAAGGGGTGGGATTTCGGTAATGGGTGGGCCGCTCTACAAGAGCCTAGGCAGGGACGACGCAACTATCCTCAGCTGAGTGTCCAGCCCTACTACTCCGTATTCCACAAATATACATCACAACAATCCAAGCTGTATATCGATCTACGACTCAAATCCTCCCATCTACACGGCCCTCGCAGATTGCGATCGCGATGAAGCCCCATCAACCAGTTGTATCCTGAGGATCTCCACAAATCAAGATCGCATCGAGATCATATCCGCAAACATGCAACTCGCAATCGCTGGTTCATGGTTCACTCGTCAACCATATGTCATTCCGGCACTCAGTGACACCACCCTGACGTCCGCCTGAGATCAACTTCGCCTCCTCGTACAAAGACCCTGGACTCGATCACAATGATCATGACGACCAGTTTGAGGACGAAGACGCATATAAACCGCCCATCTGACCCAGGGATCTGAGCTGAGAGCAAGCACATTGACTACCTACGAACCACACCACCAAACACGTCCAACGAAGCTTCTATTGAATAATCACTATGTCTGACCGCGCCGAGAGACTCGCCGAAGACGCCTACGAGGCTGAGAACGACTACTCTGCCCCCGTCTCGGGCACCTACAACGATGCCTCCTACGCTCACGAGACCGGCACGCAGGGATTCTCCAAGGGCATCCCCGTGCAGAGCGACGACGCGGACTATGATGACCCCATGCAGCCGCCGTACTCGAACAGTAACCAGCAATTAGGTACGTCGTCTGCTATCCTTCCTGTCCTGTGTCAAGGTTTGGTTTGTGACAAATGTTAATGGTGTCCCGTTCATTCAGCTCAGGACGAACGCGAGGCCATCGACAAGTCCAACATCATTCGCGGCAAAGGTCGATCGCTTCGTCATTCAAAGCCCCAGGCTGCTACTAAGTACAGCGAAGGGCCAGATGAGGATGACCTGCCTCAGGAGGCGTTTGAGACCGGACAATCCAGCACCAAGCGGGTTCTGTAAAATTGGGGTAATAGAGGATTTCTGAAGCGAAAGCTTGGTCTCACTATGAGGAATTGTATGATATGGTTGCTGTTTGTCATGACTGATGTATGTGAGTTTTGAGTATGAACATGTTTGATATGTTATGTGCTTGGATCGGTCTCAGATCTCCAATACCATAGTATAGTAGGCCGTGTAAGAAGAATAGTTCCGTATAATGTAGGTTCATTGCGCGGAAAAAATGCACCCTGAACTAGTCTCCTAACCAGTCGCTCTGTATCACAGGCGTTGCGTGGGTGGCTCGCCCCCAGACTGGGTAGCTGGGTGTGCTGTTGCGCCTCGGCGCGACAGGTCATGGCATTGGTCGCCAATGATGGATCGGCTCTAATTCTGCGATTATGATACGCAGTCTGGCGACCCGAGAGCCTCAGTGGGAGTCGGACATTGTTCCGACAATGATTCAATGTATACTGGCTCAGTGCCGATTAAGCAAGTACCCGTGTCTGCAAATGTTAGGACATATTGTAGATTCGTGGAGGTACATACCACAAACTGTTCCAGGGACTGCTCAAAAAGCTCATTATTCACACCAAGACCACCAGGGTGCTCCGTAGGCGATAGCGGGTTCTTAACGACTGTTGAAATCAGCACGCAATCCCCATTAAAAAGACCGGGCCAATGTACCATATTCCACATAGAGGTTTATATAGATCTGCTGCAACGCAACGCGCATACTTGGGCTCTTGACGTCCGTAAGCATCACGAATTTGATGTTCGTCGGGGTCTCGTAGTAGTGCAGTTTGTACTGGCTGGTGCGATACGTCACGAAGCTGGAATCAACAGACGTCAATGTCTGGTTATCTTCAGAATCATCATACATGAAAGCTCACTTGTCGTCCTCTCCTCCCAGTTTTCGCACCATATTTCGGAGCGAGAACACGGTTCCGAAGATCAGTTTCGCATCGTCGTCAGTTGATCGTGTTGGTGGACCGGGAACGGGGGCAAGGCCGTTGGCCACCGTGAGAGTATCGGATGTAGGTCGCGAGGATTTGCCAGCAATCGAGGCAGGTCGAGGGGACCAGCGCCGTTTGTATATGCACTCCGCTGATGAACATAGTATTAGCGATTGCGATGGAGTCCGGGGGTGGTTCGTCTTACCATGGCGGTCGAAGATGTAGAACGAGTACACAACCATTGTGATTCGGCTCTCCGCAGGTTATCGAATTGAAGACTCAAGGGCTACCTCTAAAGAGAATAGAGTATGACACTAAATGTGATTGCTTCGATTGAGAGCTGATGATGATGGAGATGATAATGTCGATAAAAGAAGCCTTGGATGAACGGGGCGGTGAACGGCCACTGTTTACACCCAAAGAGCAGCTCTATGTAGCTAACTACTAGCTATCCTACCCGCGGCTTTGGAATTGGAGTGAAAGCAATTGGATGTAGACTTCCAGCCGGGGATAGGGACGTCGATCTAAATCTGTGGGACACTGTTGTTGGAAGAGACTCGAAGCTGTCTTCCGTGATTCCTTTGATCCTTCCTCTGGCTCCGTTCCCACATCTCCGACTGCGATAATATTGAGGGTGGAGCGCTGCCAGAGACAGCCAGAGCCGCTTGTTTCTCCCCTGCCACAGTCCTTTTTAACCCATAGCTACTCCGGAGTCTACACCCTGGTTGAACCCGAGTCTCGCACGCTGTAGGTGTAAGTGGCGTCTTATCGTGATCGCTGTGCCCCTCCACCTCCCCCACCACCTTCTCTGACAGGCAGCCGGATTTCAGCATCGCGGCTCAGTCTCTCGTCCATACTCCCACGACTGCTCTGTGTATTAATAATCTTGCCGTTGACTTTCTGTCTTGTTGCGTGAAATAATCAATGGCCGACGAGGGTGCTGGCTCTCTGCAACAGGATGCCAGTTCAGGGTCCACTGTCCGTCCAGAGCCCCAACCTCGCCCAACGCCAGCTCGTTATGCGTAAGTTTCTTTGGTGTTGATTCTATCTCAAGCAAGTGCACTCTCTTGGAGAGCTGGAGCTATAGGACTTACTCTGCATCCTGCATTCCAGCTCCACACCTTCATTTGAAAGCCCTCAGAGACATCACCGCCGCAACCCGATAGCCCGGCGTCCCGTAAAGGTGGGCGATCTTTTTTTTTCTTATCTTCATCGGCTCTCAGGGGGTGCATTTGCTGACTGCATTGTAGGAAACGCTCAATGCTCGGTCAGAGTACACTCTCAGTCAAGACGACGGCACTGCCGAGCATAGAATCAACCAGTATGTGATTAAGCAGGAGATTGGCCGTGGGTCGTTTGGCGCGGTGCATATTGCTGTTGACCAATATGGAAACGAATACGTGAGCGTTATTGCTACTTCGATGCCTACACAGACTAACCGAGCTTTAGGCTGTCAAAGAGTTCTCCAAGACGCGTCTAAGGAAACGCGCAAAGTCGCAACTTCTAAGACAATCCCGAGGCCCAAGACGTCCAGCAGATGGTTTGAATTCTCCTCTGCATAGACAGGGATCGGGAGTTGGGGATGAAGAGATGAAGAATGCCCTCTATCTGATCAGGGAGGAGATCGCCATCATGAAGAAGTTGCACCACAACAACTTAGTATCGTTGATAGAGGTGCTTGACGACCCGACACAAGACTCGCTGTACATGGTTATGGAGATGTGCAAAAAGGGCGTGGTTATGAGAGTCACTCTTGAAGAGGAGGCGGACCCGTACGATGACGAGCGTTGTCGTTGCTGGTTTCGTGACCTCATCTTGGGCATTGAGTATCTACACGCGCAGGGGATTGTCCATCGTGATATTAAGCCTGATAACTGCTTGATCACGAACGACGATGTACTCAAAGTTGTCGACTTTGGTGTGTCCGAGATGTTTGAAAAGAACTCGGATATGCTTACGGCCAAGTCTGCTGGATCTCCTGCCTTCTTGCCACCAGAACTATGCGTTATCAAGCATGGCGATGTTTCAGGAAAAGCAGCGGATATATGGTCCATGGGAGTGACCCTGTACTGTTTGCGATACGGCAAGCTGCCTTTTCAAGAGCAGAGCATTATCGACCTCTACGAGGCCATAAAAAACGGCCCGATTGCTTTCGAAGGCGAAAATGATGATGCTTTTAGAGATCTCATGTTGCGGATTCTGGAGAAGGACCCCGCAAAGAGGATCCAAATGGACGACCTGAGGGTATGTGTCAATGCCTCCGTTCTTTACTTGTTCTAACGAAGACGTAGGAGCATCCCTGGGTGACAAAGAACGGCATGGATCCTCTATTGCCAAAGAGCGAAAATATTGCCGAAATAGTTGGGCTCCCTACAGAAGAAGAGATGAACTCGGCCATTACCAAAAACTTTGGGCACGTCCTGGCCGTGGTATGTACAGAACGATTCTGCTCAAGGTCAAATCTAACATGACCTTAGATGAAAGCTGTGAAGAAATTCAAACGCCTCCTCGGACCGACTCGAGCTTCCACACCTATACAAAGCATCCTTGGCCAGGAATACGAGGCACACTTTGTCGAGCCTCCTATGGAAATGGACCCGGAGGAGAGTGTGTCCTTACCAACTGCAACACACTTCAGCAAGGCGCAAAGTTTGAACACGTATAACAGAACAGCCTGGGAGCGTGAGGATGTCGTTAAAGGATACCACCTACGGCGACAGGAACCTTTGCCCTATTATTTGCAAAATAACAACAATTCGGCTGCTGCATATGCCTCTACTCTGGACAGATCGACAAGGAGAGACTCCGGTTCAATACGGAGCGTCAACATGGTGGACGACCCCACTGAAGACCCGCAGTCACAGTCTCCCAGATTCCCACTGTCACGTACTAGCTCGACCGCCACCAAGCGCAGCATGGAAGGCACAAGGGGACACGCACGAGATCCGTTAGAAGAAGACTGTCCCTACTTATTCATTGGGCCGTCCACGTTCACCGGCTCAAACCCCGGCTCAGACCCTATAGATATCAAGAGCGCCGACGCAACGCCCAGTGTCCTGGACTCAGATGTTCGACTGACAGAAAAGGAGATGGGTCCAACATCAGAAGAGGACTATCCCATGGTGAGCGAATCACCAGGAGCCGCCAATTTCGACATCTACGAAACGGCGTACCGAAAGGAAGTCGAGCGCATCCGAGCCGATACACTCCCAGGAGAAGGCAAGGGTACCGTACCCATGGTGTACCTCACTCGTCGTGTAGAGGGGAAAGATGAAGTGATGAGACTCGTGAGAGAGACGACAATGAGTGAGCCCGCTCTGGGTTTGGGAAGAAGAGTGGCTGTCCCTCAGGATCGGGGCTTTGGCTCCGCGGTTAGCATGATCAGAGCCCAACTGGAGCAGGGTCGACAAGAGCAAGAGAAACAGGAACAACAAAATCAGGACCTCGAATCTCTCAATCCCTTCAGAGACGCCAGGTCCTGAGGCTCCGGCCCCGGAATCATCTACCATCATCGCTGACACAGGACCCCATCATCAGAAGGCCAGAGGGGCAGGCTGCGCAATTTACTTAACCGGGGCAAGCGAAGTCAAAACCCGTAACTAGGGCAGGGGGGACGAATTACTACTTTTGTGACATAGACAACTTGGCTAGATCAGAATCACCACCCTCTGAAACTGGGACGACCGTTTCAGTTGTAAATCTGCCGCAAATAGGGAAACGTTCTGTAGATGTAGATGGAAAGTCTGACGCAACTGGCGTTTAGAGGAATAGAATGTGGCTCTTGTACTTGCACAAGTCCCTCTACAGAATCAGACTGTATCGTGTGCCCAGAAAGCTTGAATCAATTTCAAGGATTCTAAGAAGAAAGCCGAGATCGTACTCTGTAGTACAGATATATATGCCCCATGCTGCTCCGCAGCAGCAATCATGTCGAGGCCTCGCTCACTCACTAGACTCATAAATACATGTACAGGAGATGAGACATTAAGCTCTATATCCGTGAAGCGAAGACATTGGAAGAACAAGAAAAGCAAGAGATAGAAATCGAGATGAGTTGAGACTGGATCAAAAGCAAAGACATAAAGAAGAAATCATAAGCTGACCCAACATGGTAGGAAATGATGATTGGGAGATCCATGTGCAACTTCATGTTCGTCATGCTTTGCTCGCGCTGGACATCTGAGCTGAAGTGAGCTGGATGCTAAGAGTAGAGCAAGCGATTGATGCAGGGGATCGCTATGAAAATGGGGTAAGGCGAAAGATCGTGTTCATCAACTCAAGGCGTTATGAATCGGGCACATCAGGAACAAACCAGGAATATTATATGTCCAAGAAGGAGATTTTTGCGCAGCTCGATTATCGACGGTGGCCCGTAGTATAGCAGAGCAAACAGGTGAACGAATGGTAGACCAGATCAGATATGTCTACTCCGAGCCACCGACTCGGACAGACGTACCCAGTGGTAGTGGTCACCAAAATGAGTAATCGTAATCTCAGTTAACCGCCCTTGACAAAAGAAAGGTATTAATAAGAACGTTCGATATAAAGAATGAGAACAGGAGATACAATTGAAATGAAGCAAGAAAGAATCATTGCGAAAGAGATAGCCAGCACTCGTAGAGCATGCATAAATCGTGGCTTTTTGTCCCTTGCGGGAGAACATAATTCAGTTTTGGTCCCGAAATGGGGCGCGTAGTAAGGCAGATCAATGCTATCTATCGCTAGTAATCGATGATGAAGCTCATTCGTCGTATCGCATCGAAATAGGGAAATAAGGACGCCGTGGCTTTATTGCAATGGAAGAGTTTCATTGCGTTCGTTTTTCAGCCGTAGTTAAAGGGACTTGGAGTTCCAGCGTGCGGGTTTCGTTTGATTGCTGGGGAGAGGGATGAACAAGGCTCCTTTGGCTGCTGTCCGTAAACGGAAGTCTTTCGGGAACTGGAGGCTGAAAAGGTCGGTCTGCAGTTTGCATGAAGGGTATACTCTCTCTATGGCTGAACTGTAATGCAGGAAATGTTTGTCTAGTGTCTTGCGGGAGCGGCGGCAGCTCTCGGGACACGGAACCTATTTGATTGGGTATAATCCGCATCCGCTCATCGTCGCTGGGCCCAGACATCGAAATCGAACCTAATGGCGGTTGCCCATAGTGCAACCCAGTCGGAGGTATAAGCGAAGATCGACTGCTGGTTTGAGTAGTATAACCAGGCCCGCCAGCTTGAATTATTGAAGGGCTAGTCGGTATGGCCGGGTGCTTCACTTTCTGCGACCCGCGCCTGGACGGGGGCTGAAATGGCGCACCACGACGTTCAGCCTCTGCCTTGCGTCGCTCCGACTCTTGTTTTGTTGGTCGACCTCGTTTTCGCGGGGGTTCACCTGTGCCCGGGACATCCCCTGTGCCCGGGGATAGTATTGTTGATGCACCACTCTCACTAGTGTAAGACGCGGGACCAGCAGAAGGTCGGGGTTGAATTGGGCGATGAGCGCGCACGGGGTTGTCTGTCGAATATAGAGGCCGCTTTCCCACACTGCTGGTTGGATGTGGAAGGGAAATTGACTGTTGCGGAGCAGTGTGATGTTGTGGATGCAGCGGTCCAGCGCCTGGGTTGATTGGAGGCGCCGATTCATGGTACATCTCGTTGAACGCCGATTGGCAGGAATTGAGTGAGCGACCTATATAGGGTTTGTTCAGCTGACTCTCCGATAGTCCATACATGGAAGGGCTAATCCGTACCTGAAGGAAGCGGGATATCAGCCCAGCTAGGATGGATATTCAATGACTTGATCATGAGGATGAGCTCGCGAGACGGGACGCCTCCTTTCTTCAGGATTTCGGTAAGCAATACATTCTGGGTACTCGGTTAGCTCGTATCAGCCAGCAAGGAACGCGCACGGTGAGCGTCATCATCAACGCGACTTCCAAAACATGAGCTGGCTTCTGTTCCATACCTTCTCCTCCTCTGTCCATGGCCTTTCCCGTGAATGCGACATATCCAGCCAACCATAGAAGCCAAAGGTACCAGCTCTTCTTAGGAGACAGACAGCCAAACGAGAGTATGTCTCTCTATATCCAGCTTGCTAGCAGGTATACAGAGCGAAGCGCGCGTAGCCGAGACAAGCACGAATATACGGAACAGAACGAATGTTGACAAGGGAGGACACAATGTACAACCACAGCAGGACTGTACTAGAACCAACGAGTCGGCAAGGAAAATAGATACAACAAAGGTATGAGAAAAAGATTAACCACAGAGCCTCCCAAACGGAATAATGGTCTACACCAGTGTATCAACACGTGGTAGCTCAAAAAAGAACCAAGAAGCGGGCTGGCAGCACAACAAACGAAGACAGGCAGGAGTGACAGAAGTCAGTAGAGAGGGTGCACAGTGAAGAGGGGAAGGGGCCAATTATTATGCAAGCGACAGTATACATTGAAGGAGGACAACGAAAGACGGGGTATTCATATAGAGAGCCTCAAGGTGGTTGGCAGCAGGCTTGCAGACGGAACGGACAACTATGAAGGTGAGATGCGCAAGACAAGCAGAACCAAATGGGTCAAGTTGCAGTTACTCCTATGCTTTAGATCGAGGGTACAAAGAATGGACCAGAGACACCGATAGGGAAACAACGTGAGTGGATCGTGGATTCGTGACCCTGGCTTCGAGAGGGACCGGGTAGTGTCGTTGCTGGAGACCGAATCGACGTCAAGATTAAGCACTTTCAACAATGCACATTGCCACCAAACAGACGTGAGTACGAAATGGAAAAGGTAAAGAAAGAACGAAGATGAGGGGAAAGGAAAAGCGAAGGAGCTCGAAGGACGGTAGAAGGACGATAGTAGACGACAGAGGAGCGAGACTGTATCTTTCCCCGGAGACGTTTTCTCTTAGCCAAGCGGCCTCTCAAATCGGAATTGCGCAGGCCAGTAACGCGACGGAAACCGCAGGCATGTGTCCGGAGGGCAAGGGGAAAGCTGCAGGGACTGTCGACTGTTTCTCGTCCGTTGATGCGTTCTCCAAAGTCGCGGGTGAGGAAGCCACCGGGAACAAGACAAGACTTAGGAAAGAATAAACAAGAAGAAATAGGAAAAGGAAATATTGAAAATAAAGTCTGCGGAGCCAACCAGGCTAAGGTGGATCAGGCCGTGTTCAACCTAGAAGAGAATAGTGTTTCAAAGACGATGGTTTCAGATGATTCCAGGCGCCCACACGCGTTCTGCAACGAGGGTGGAAACTGGAAAGGATCCGGGAGAAAAGCAAACAGCGCCTCCCACCGAGAAAAGGGGCACAAGGAAACTATGGATTATCCGAACAAGGATCTGGAAAGACCACGAAAGGCGCAGATATAGGGGAATGCGAAAAAAAGGACCAACAATGCACAAGCTGAAGCTGGATGGGGTAGGAGAGCAGGGGGGGCAGAACAACAGGGTGCGGCTACTGTTGTACTCCCTGACCAGCGACCACGGTCAGAACGGGTAAGGGAAAAGAATAAAAAATACAAACAAAAAGAAAGACAAATGATACAAAGCTAAACGCGGTTAAAAATGGATAAATCAAACATGAGTGTATCGACGATTGAGGAGCGAAGAAACAATATTGCACCATCTGCACCATGACAGAAGAAGACTGAATATGAAGGGCAAGATGAGAGTTTGCCGCCTGGCTGCATATCGCCTTTCTGGAGGGGTCACAAGATGTCAACGCCTTTCGCAGGAAACAGCGCGTTCCAAAGGTATATCACGGACCCAAGGCGATTGGTGATAGGTGGGCATTGACGCCCCAGGACGTTGGGTCAACGGAGAGGACAATCGGCATGTTTTAGAGACAAAAGTTGCTAGGCGTTTAGGAATTGGAAAGCGAGCTTCGGGGCCAACTCCCAGATGCAGGTAGCGTGGACGATCCAACCCGACACCAAATCCTTTTCTGCATGGATTTATTATTAGCGATGACTGCTGCTGCGCTCGCTACATGAATTGCAGCGCCATGCATTGGCCCTATTGAAGATAGCGGGAATGCATAAACGATGACTGGCAGAAAATGGATGGCGGCGGAGGCAGTTGATAACCGCTGGGTGGGGTTGGGGGCTCCGCAATAGGCGCAGGCGAAACCGAAATCCTGGAGGCTGGGAGAGGTTAACAACAATCATCCAGAAACCGTGGAGTCTTAGTAGTAGTACTCCGTAGTACGGAAGTGCTTTGGGTCGTGTCCCGGCTCGCCCATCCGCGAGCTGTGATTGGTTCAGGCTGTGCTCCGCGACTCAAGCATGCCATTGACTCGTTGACTTGTTGGAGCGCCGGAGCGGAGAGTTAATATATTATTGTCAAGGCAAAAAGGCAAGTCTCTTACTCCGCACGAGTAAGAGATCGCCGCAATATCAAGGTTGAAAAGCAACCAAGGCAGCGTAACCTATCAATGATCCTGTTTCTTGTGATCCATGTCTATCAGATCGCCGTGTACCGATATTATGGTCATAATTATCGGTATCCGCGCGATAATTTTAGCCTGCGAAAACTGTGAGGAGCGCCCAGGAAACGGGCGATTCGATTCCAGAAGCCGTGATGCTACATAAACGAAGGACGTTGTACCAGAGCAAGTAGATTCAAGATGTTGAACGGGCCAACATATGGCCGGTGTGTGACGATTGGGTCCGTTGCTTTTCCTTTTTGAAATATGTTATCAGTGGATATCTTGTGAAAAGAAGATTCGATCGATGATACCCAGTCAATAATGGCCCATGCATGAGCGATTGAGCATCGGCATGCAGGAGAGGACTTGGAGGAGGCAGCGCCCCGCCTTTGAATCAACCGTCCGGGAGCCCGCTGCTGACAGCGTTAAACCTGTCATCCTTCGCATACTCAAAGAGCGCAGATACGAAGCATTCCAAAGAATTCCAAAGACGCAATACCTTGAATGTTGACTTGATGCAGACTAGAGCTGTTCAGCTGGTCTGGGGAAGATGGAGAAGACCGTGGACAGGAGAACTCTGGCGGTCCGGAAGCTCAAAGGAAGCTCCACGCTCGAGGTTAAAGAATAAGACGAGGCCCACTTGGAGGTTCTCAGGCTCAGGTACCCGTCTCCATTAATTCACGCTTGTACTGGACTAGAAAAACAATATAAAGATCATGCGAAGTATCTACTCCGTACGACACTCATCACTACTCTTTCGAGGGTCAAGAACCGCAATGAAGACTTTCGGCCAGGTCACTTTCTGTGCTACACAGTGAGACTGCCATCCCAGTTGATTGATGCAAAGTGCCTGCATTTCTGGTGTACATGGCCATGATTTATCGAGATTCTGCGGTCGGAAATCGGATTTCCTTGGTCTTGATCTCGATTTTGGGACCAAGAACCACTGTTATCTTACCACGTATCCCGGTATCTTCATCTATTTGAGTTTCTACTGATCAACCTCGATAATCGCCGTCTGGACTGCTTTGGCGTACCCGTTCATGCACGAGCCTCCTCCATCTGGATCGTCGGCTCGATTTTTATTAACCCGATGTATGTTTCTGAGCCGTCCGAATCCGCACCCTGTCGACCCAGGTAACTCCTTCGTTTCTGACACGGTCACTCTATACTGGAAAGACTAACGGCTATTCCTAGACCCCGAACAGCTGCACCTTCACGTCCCTCACCCGCTCATACGACGTCCATAAAACTAATTGGATGCTCGTGGCCAATCACTAGCCGCCCAAAACCGCGCCGGTGCTGGAGAGTGGTAACTCTGCCGCGGCCTCACCTCAGTTTCCCTGCATCTGGGCCCGTGGTCCCCGGTGTAGATTCGCCTCCACGCACATCAAGGTTGCATGGCGAGCTAGCCCGGGCTGTCTTTATGATTCGGTACCCCATGGTTATAATTTCTTCCCGGAGTACATGGGATCATCAAGTGGTTGGAGGACAGAACCTGTCTTCCCTGCAGTTGTCGGCGCGAGGCGCAAGCTTTGCCTTTATTACAGCATCTCCTCTCTTGTTTACCCGCTGATAGACGATTTACTGACAGAAACTCCCGCTCTTTTCGCCCCCTATGAGCGGTCCGGGTATATACTCATCAACCAGAATGACTCTAAGAAACCGTCTATGACCAAAAACATCCGAACCTATTGTGGTTTGAACGATACGAACTGTTGCGGAGAATCGGCTGCCCAGACATCATCTGGAAACCGTAGCTGAAGTGCTACGCTGAAGTGCTACCTTTTCAACTACGTTAACCGTGACAATTCAATATATTTCTAGTCCGAACGTGAGAAGTGAAATCAGGCTCAAACTGGACACATCACTATTCTACAATAGAGCTGATGGGGAAATGAGATTGAGAAATGTCAGAGTCAGACTTCCACTGTTACCTACAGCTGAAAAATGCGTCGAGTGCCAAGAAGCCTGGTCAAAATGACAACATGATTTTCGTTTTCGACTAACCGGAGGATAGAAGTTTGACCATTTGGTGTCTCTGGAACACTAAGCAGTCGTTCGAGTGGTGGTGCATAGAAAGAAGAGTATCCCTCGGAACGTGGTCAAGAACAGAAGTGAAAGTGGATGGAGAATGGACCTTTCAGAGACAGTGAACAAGATGGACATGAGAAGGAAATGTATCCACGAAGACATGATAGAATAGAGATTCGTTATTGTCACTCATTCGTTACCTATTGTCGTGTCTTGGCATACCTATGGTGGACGGAGTCTCGACAATGATTCCTCTCCGGGCTCCTCCCTCACCACAAAAAACTTCTTACACCTCCCGAGGCACATCCTTGCGCGGTCTCTCCTCGTCAAGGTCTACTACCTTATAATCCTTGGCTTCTGCTCCCACTCACCCTCTTTCGCCTGAGACTTGGCCTTCCGATCTGTGTTTGGGCCTCGACTCCAGTGTGCCACGCCGTCTCTGGCTCTGATAGTTTTGCGCGCTCCGTCCGTGTCGTCATGTCAACTCATGACAACGCGGACCCTCAGTCAGAATCGGTTGCCGATGCAGTTACTGCGATGAAACTGGAGCAGCCCGACCATTCTACCGATGCTCCGATTCCAAACGGCGGAGGGGCCACGATGAAGCCCGAAGTTCAAATCGCGTCGCCAGAGCCCGCAATAAAGGACGAACGGGCGACCCCATCCTTAGCGAAATCGCGATCCTCCTCACAAACGCCGGTCAAGAAAGAAACTTCAGATGAGGCGGACGTAAAGGAAGGGGTTGAGGACGATGCGTCCGGTACAGAAAGGGTTGGAGGAGGCATCTCAGTCAAATTGGAGCCAGGACAGCCTCCCAAGTTGGCTCGTAGCTCCTCACAAAAAGTTGTTTCGCGACCGCTACAGCTTTTCCTGAACTTGCCGGATAGTACGAAGGAAGCACAGAACACATTTGAGGTGATCGAATCGTGTCAGTATGCTAATAAATACATGGGCTATACTGAGCATGCTATGGAGTGTGATTGTGCGGAAGAATGGGGTGAGTTTGTCTCTCTTCTTGCCGTATTTGTCTTGAGGTTTTGATTTTCGTTCTTGCACCACCCCCGCGCTTTTCGCCCATCTTGGTATGAAGGATCCAAGAGACCCTGGCCTGGCTCCTCCCAACGACTAATCATGCCTACTTCATATTGTGTCTTGTCTAATCTAACCATGTCGGCCAGATTCGGCCAGTTCAATCAATCGAGCGTGTGGAGAGGACTCGGACTGCATCAATCGTGCGACGAAGATTGAATGTATGGGTGACTGTGGGTGTGGGTCAGACTGTCAGAACCAACGATTCCAGCGAAAAGAATATGCCAACGTGGCTGTCATCAAGACTGAGAAGAAGGGTTATGGACTACGTGCGGAAGAGGACCTGCGACCGCATCAGTTCATCTTCGAGTACGTTGGAGAAGTTATCAACGAGGGTCCATTCCACCGCCGCATGAGGCAGTATGATTCGGAAGGGATTAAACATTTCTATTTTATGTCCCTCAGCAAGGGCGAGTTCGTGGATGCGACCAAAAAGGGCAATCTCGGACGTTTCTGCAACCATTCGTGCAACCCCAATTGTTATGTCGATAAGTGGGTTGTCGGAGAGAAGCTTCGCATGGGTATTTTTGCTGAACGACACATTCAAGCGGGCGAGGAATTGGTTTTCAACTATAACGTGGATCGATACGGTGCAGACCCCCAACCGTGTTACTGCGGTGAACCCAATTGCACTGGCTTCATAGGCGGCAAGACCCAAACAGAGCGGGCCACGAAACTGTCCAACGCGACGATCGAAGCATTGGGCATTGAAGATGCCGATGGGTGGGATACTGCCGTGGCAAAGCGGCCGCGGAAGAAGAAGATGGGCGAGGATGACGAAGAATATGTGGACAGCGTGCAACCCAAGTCGTTGGACGAGGGCGGCGTCACGAAGGTCATGGCGGCTCTTATGCAATGTAAGGAAAAATGGATTGCAGTCAAGCTTTTGGGCCGCATCCAGCGCTGCGATGATGAACGGGTGCGCAACAGGGTGGTGAAGATGCACGGTTATCAGATTCTCAACTCTCAACTCGCCATGTGGAAGGAGGATTTCAATGTTGTGCTACAGATCTTAGACATTTTGGACAAGTTTCCCCGTCTAACGCGGAATAAGATCATTGACTCCAAGATCGAGTCGACAATCCAACCGCTGACCAGCTGTGGGGATGAAAGAGTCGAGCAGAAAGCCACGGTTCTCCTACAACTTTGGTCGACCTTGGAGGTTGGCTATCGAATACCCCGTATGAAGCGGGATCCCAACGCCGCTACGCCGACCGTTAGCCAGTTCCACCGACGGGAGAACATCTCAGACGATCGGCAGCAACGGCCTAGATCACGATCAAGGTCCAGGTCAATCGAGGCTCCTCGAGGACCAGCAGCGCAGAAACGCGGCGGCCAGGGTCCAAGGAACCCACACCACCAGGGCCCTCGCCCGTTTCGACGGCGTTTCGACCCTCTTCCGCAAGGATGGTTTGCGGCCGAGTCCAACGGCCGAACATATTACTATTCAGCTCGGGGAGATACTACCTGGACGCGGCCGACGAAGCCGGCTCCACAGCCGCCACCACCGCCGAAAGAGTCGAGAGACAAAGCGCTTCAGAGTATCATTGATGGTATCATGAACGCAAAGGAGCAGACGCCCAAGGAGAAGTCCGGCACACCTGCCACGCCTCAGCCATCCAAGCCCACGCCAGAGGGCAAGGACGGGCAGGAGAAATGGAGAAACTACAGTGAAGAGAAGCAGAAAAAGCTTTACGAAAACACTGTAGGCCTTCATCTATAAATCGACTGTAGACCAAGCTAACGGGTATAGTTGTATCCCCATATCAAACACGTCGTTGACAAGTTCAAGCACAAGCTTCCGAAGGACGACCTCAAACGATACGCAAAAGATGCAAGTTTCCTCACTTTTGAACTCCATACAATTACTAACGCACCCTTAGGTCGCTAAAAAGCTAGTTAACTCGGATTTCAAAAACAACCGGGTGACGGATCCTACCAAGATTGATGATAAACAGCAGAAAAAGGTGAAAAAGTTCTGCAAAGAATTCTTTGACAAGGCCGTCGTGAAGCACCAGGCGCACGAGATGCACAAAGCTGAGAAGCTCGCCAAAGAAGGCAGTGCAGATGATAAACCTGCAACGCCAGCAGCTGGCCAAAGCGAGGGCGACGAAGGGACACCAGATGTGAAGATGTCGGACGACGAAGGTAGCACTGATAGGGGAGGATTCGGTGGTCTCAAACGGAAACGAGACGACCTCAACGTGGGTAATGCGGACACTCCAGATGATACGCCGACTTCGTCTACAAAACGCCAGCGATCATCAACACCACCGCCCCCTCCACCTGTCATGAGCCCCAACGCGAACGACAATGATGACATGAGCGTTAGAAGCGACGAGCCAGACGACGCCGACGCCGACGCCGACGAGGTCGTTCTGGTTGGTAACCCAACACCACCTCCTCCCCCACCTCCACCTCCACAAGAGGACATCGATATTCCAGACGCAGATGCAGACACAAATGGGCACGATTTCGAGGGATACACCAAAATCAATCAAACCTCCCAGGCTCAGATCGGCATCCAGGGCAATGTATAGAATCTTTCTTCTTCGCCCGTTCCATCATACTTTCTCTAATTTATTTAATCACGGTATGGGATTCCGACAGTTCGTTCAAAACTGCTCCTTTTTCTTTTCTTTTTTGGGAGGGTCGTCAGGTAGGCCCCGGTCGGGTCGGCAGCATTGCATGGGGTTGAGGAGTTTTCTGACTTTACATATCCACTGAAGCCGGTGTTCTTTTTTTTTCCTTTGTCTGCTTTCTATGACTGACAATTGCAACCGTTGGTTGTCCCTTGCTTGACCCTTTGATCTTTTTATCCCCTGTTTTTCCACTGCTACACTCACTTCAGACCCTATCCTATCCTCCTGCCACCAATCACTTTACCATCCGTCCACCTACTCACCCTTTCCTTTATCCCTCATCATATATCATCTCGGCAAAACAAGGGTACACTGCATATGACCTTCGTATCTTTATCTAGAGACACGCAAGGCGGCGTCTACGGTCGGTTACTTGGGATTCTTCATTTTGATTTTTTTTTCTTTGCGTGTATAATTAGCTACGCTACTTACTACCTACCTACCTATACTAAAATCAATACCGGAGAAGGACGAAAAAGTACAGCTACGTACCTGCTTGCCTGCTTGCCTGCTTCCATCGTTACCTGTTATTTAGCGTGTACGACCTTTTACTCCGTACTTCGCAGTTCTACCTGGTCCTCTTCCGCCATGGGTAGTTGCTGTGCAGTGGGTCTGAATGAGAATATATATATAATCCCAGCCAAACCATTCTGAAATTTGTTGGTTGCCGCTTGGGATGATTATGTATGGAGAAAATCTACCGAGCACCTGCATGGAAGTGAAAGACAGTGGACGAATAACGGAGTCCAATATGTATGTACTCCGTACAATGCTGCAGCCGAGACCCTGCATTACCAGGAGTCCCAACCCACTCAGTAGATACATCGCAGAACTGAACAATGTTCCAGAGCAACATCAATCCGTCCATCAAATATGTACGTGACTAACATAGCGCGGCGTAGCGGGCGTCAAAAAAAAAAGAACAGCATCAGAATTTCTCAAGAGTCCCTCTCACTAAAGCGGTTAAAAAAAAGAGAAATCTAGTAGAAACTCTCCACGATACTATCCTTATTCGCAGGTCCCTGCCCAATACCACCGGGCCCGTTCTCACCCAGCCTAAACACACTCTCGATGACACTGAGCTCTGTCGCCGTCGTATCGAGACCTGTCACAGCAAGCCAGTCGTTGACGACCAGGCCCGCACCGACAACGGGGGAACCGCGGTTCACTGAACCAGCGACTAGAGGGACCTGGAGGAGGGAGGAGAGCTCGTCCTGGTCGCGGATGGAGGTCTTGGGGTGAACGATGCCGCCTTGGTTTGAGAGGGCCATGTACGAGCCTGTGAGGACATTGTCGGCGATAGTTTGGCGGAAAACTTCGACGCCCAGGACGTCGGCGATGCTAGGTACTTAAGTCAGCGTGATATTCCATTTGTGGGTTTCGGAGAAAAAGTGTGCATACATCTCCTCTGTCTCGCGCTCCAGATCGGGGTGGATAAGTGCGACATGGTCGTTACAGCAGATGACGTTTCCGAGCGCGGACAGGCGCTCCTCTATGCGTTGGATCTTGACATCGTCCGGCAGCGTGTTTCGCAGGTGTTGCAGTTCTTGGTCTGTTGTTGTTGTGGGGACGAGAAAGCCCTTGCGGTTTCTGCGCGCGGTAGTCAGCATTGGGGTTTCAAGGCTGTTGGAGAGGGTAGACGCACCCTGCGGTCAAACGGCCGATAATGCGTGTTCCTGCGATTGTGGCATGGCAGATGGGGATGACGTCTTGAAGTTCAGCTTCGAATACACTGTATCATGTGTGAGTTTGATTATCATGTGAGTTTTGTGTGCAGATTGGAGAGTGTACCTGTAGAAGTTTTCCGAAGCACCGATGGCCACAACGGCATATGAGTTGGTTAGTCGGGAGAAAACGCCGACTCTATTGTTTGGTCAGTTTGGAGCGTAGCATGACCAAGGACGGGTACGGACTCGTTAGAGTTCTCGAATTGAGCGCGGACAGCCATGATTGAGGATTTGTATGTGCGGAACTGAGGGGAAGAGATCTTCTAGTGAGGGCGGGGTATGCAGGACAAGTAGTAGGGTACTACTGTGCGTAGGGTGAGGAGGGGAGTAGCAGAGAAGAAAGAGGAAGTTAGGGATATCCGTGAATAAAGATGAGGGATTCTCTGGACGATGGACAGAGAACGAAGCAGGTAAATATACCGCAGGGCAGACGAGGCTCTGGATGGAGCAAAAATATGGACTTTGCAAGAAAAGCTTGCGCCACATACCCGCACCGCCCGGTCTAGTCCCGATACGGCGGAGCTCTCGAGTCACTCATGCACTGATGCAGTCATCCCGCTCCGCTCTGCGTCTGACTCATTATGAGCCATCCTGATATCGCAGGCGAACAGCAAGCATGAATGAAGATGCGATCGAAATGTCTCATTGTATAGTACAAGGAAAGTAGCCTAACCAACACCGCGTCCGTGCTAATCCCAGAACACCGACATCCAACAAACCTAATACAAAATGCAAATGAATAGAATCAATACGGCGGCCGAGGTGGCTGTGGCGGTGGCTGATAGTATATACTTGGATGGTGATGCCCCGTCAAGTAGCCCGGCAAGGGAGGCCGTTGAAAGTTCGACCCTGGTGGAGGTGGAAGCTGCGGAGGCCCACCGCGCGACGAGAATGGGTCAGGAAGGCCAAGCGTCTCATTGATCGGCGGGATTTGTTGTCCCGCCGGGAGGAGTCGCCTCGGCTGGCCTCGGGGTGTCGGTGGCGGCAAAAACGGTCGGGGTTCTGGGTGCGCATGGTGTATCGGCGGTGGCTGAGGGGGTTGAGGTTGGGGTTGTGGAGGTTGAGGAAGAATGGCACGATGAGCTGCAAGCCGCGGCGTATGCTGGAGCGTAGGCCGGGGCACCTCAGCCGCCGCAAGGTCAGCCAGGGCTGTCAGCGCCGAGGACCTCACATCCGCATAAGGTGGAGGATGATGCTCCTTCATAGGAACGCCATCCCGCACTTCGACGATTCCGGTGGCTTCCAACAACATGTTGATAATCTCCCCGCCAGAAAGTCCAGCGAACGGACCAGCGTCTCTTATCTCTTTCATCTGGGGATTGATATCATCGCCGAGCTTGGCTCGTTGGACGAAGTCATCCCAGCCGAAAGCAGCACGTTCATAGGAAGCTGCTCCAGCAGGGTCACGCACGAGCGAGGAGTTGAAACCTCTATAAACTTCTCGCATCACAGGGGCTCGTCGTCCGCGTTCATTCTCTGTTTCAGAGCCGTCGGTCTGTAGAATGCATTAGCATTGGTCAAGTGTTTGTCGTGAATAATATACCTCAGTATGCTCATCATCTTCCGCCGCGCGACGGCCTTCGATGAATGTCATATACTCCCCGTGACTCGCAAGAAGATGTTCCTCTTGAATATAACGAGAGGATGCCTTGATATATCGTTAGCAACGTTCAAGAATGAGAGTGCATTTTCCTACTCGACACCGCTCCTCGATAGCCTCTTTGTTGGCTTTGTATATCCTGTTCTCCTGCGCTACCTTGAGGTCGTATTCTCGTTTCAGAGTATCTTGCTTCTCACGCAAGTGGGTCTTCAAAACCAAACTGATTTCCTCAAACTCAGGAACAGCCTTATGCGCGTTCTTGTCGCGAGCGATACGCTTCTCGGACTGTGTAGCGAGTACAGCCAAAGCCAATCGTTGTGCGGCAGCCACCCTTCTAAAAGCCTTGTCTAATTCACGCTGACGGTCTCTCAACTTTTGGGTGGCGGCGCTTGGAGATGGCGACCGTTCGAACTCTATATCACTAGACCGGTCATCCTGACGCCCAGTGCGCGTGGAGCGCGCAACACGAGTGCCACCACGCCCTCGCTTGTTCACGCCAAAACGAGCTGATGTTCTGTTGCGCGCTCCTCGACCCCGACCTCGATTACGGCCACCACGAGTTGCTTTAGAAGTAGCTAATTCGGCAACATTGTCCGGCGTAGTAGAATCGTCAGCTTCTTCAGTGATTTGCCGAGACCCTTCGTCCACTTTAGAAGCTGTTCCATCATCCGGCTGGGACAATGAATCTTCCAGCTTACGCCCGTCGCCGTTCTGCAGCGTTGGTTCTGACGCACGGTGGAGCGCGGCTGCCTCTACTTTCGGCTTCTTGGTTGGCGAACTCAACGTGGATGGGATAGCCCCTTGCTCATCCGTATCGAGAGACTTGCGCTTTCGCGACAAGATCGGACTAGTTCTGGCCGAGACGGCTTTAGATTCCTCGTCATTTTCAGCGGCTTGATGTTCCTCTTTCTTGTGACGGGGAGGAGACACAGTGCCTTTTGGCGATTCTCCAGGGGGCGGCGTTGACTCTGCGGTGTGTGACGCCTCAATATCGGCTGGATTAGACATCGCGGCTGCTTCTGAGGCGACATCTTCAGGAAGCGGAGATTTGACAACTGACGTCGTTGGGCGACTGCGAGTCGATACATTGGTGCCGACGTCCCCAGCATGTCGATTGCGATTTCTAGTTCTAGTGTTGGTAGCACCAGGAGCTAAGGGGCTTGCATCCAATGGTTTAGACTCTGTGGCCCCATTTTCTGTGGGTGTATCATGAACGTTGCCTTTCAGTCTTGTTGATTGCCTTGTACTTCTCGGAGTCTCTTCGGCCACCGAGCCTCGTTTGACGCGCTTAGTCCGAGGAGTCTCGGGTGCCGCAGTGACAGAAGGCGCAGGTTCAGAGCGGCTTGAATTGGGCTGAGCCGCAGGAACTGCAGGGGTGCCAGCCGCAGCCCGCGCTCGGCTGTTCCGCGTTTCACGAGTGCTGGCGGAAGCATTTGGAGTAGGTGCGGCAGCCGAAGCAGTTACAGGCGTTTCACGGGTTGTTCCTTTTGATAAACTAGCATTGCCAGCGCCATATTTGAGCGTTATAATGCGCGACGGCCGATTGCTGCCGTGCTTGGTGGAGTTGTTAGTGGCGTTGCTATTTTGATTGCTAGTGCCACTGCCAGCAGTAGTGTTGGTAGTCTTAGCATTATCATTTTGACCAGCACGCGCATCCCGGCTCGAACGTAAATTTCGAGTCACACGGGTGTTGAAAGAATCATTGCTAGCAGGTTCTACGAGAGATTAGTGCTGAAACCAAGGCAGGAGGTATAAACTCACCTTTGCTGTTAAGGGCGGACGTGTTATTGGTAGAGGGAGCGACCGAGCCGTGGGCTGCATCAAGCCGTCGTTTAGCTCCGGCCATCGCTTTCCTCTGGCGTTGTGTTAGTTTGGAGTTGGCCAGGACCGGAGATGAGAGCGTGTCGAGGGCAAGGATCGAATGCGACAAACAGCCTAGTAGAACAACACGAGAAACTTGGGAGGAAAGCAACAGAGAATAGAATGAGACAATAGAAGGAAAAGAAGGAAGAAAGCCAGAAAAGACGAATAGAACAAAGAGAAAGTGATAATGGACGAAGTGTAGACTCTAGTCGGAGTACAAGGCGCTTGGCGGCTGTCCAGAGGCGAGCAGACTGCAGGGAGTGAAAAGCATGAGAGGAGACCGGACGCCATACAATTGGCAGACGAAGGGCCAGAAAGCCTCTCAGAGAAGGGAATAGTCGATGGATGCAAGGAGGAAGAAGAAATCCAAAGCGAATAGAAACAAAATCCAGGGAAGAGCACAAGAAAAAGAAAAGAAAAAGCACGGTTGCAGCAGTATGCGATGCAGGACAAGTTACAGGGCGAGTACAGACAAGGAAACGAACAGGGCTGGATACGGGACTTACCTAGACGAGGAGAATAGGCGCGCGACAAGGAACTAGCGAAGAAAAGAGGCAGAAGAGGCGGAGATGGAAAGCGACGTTGCGGTTGATCGGCGCCGGGGAGAGCAGAAAGGCTGAAGCATGAAGTACAACAGAGTAAGAAAGTAGTAGAGCGGGTGAGACGGGCCAACTAGTGCCGATGTAGACGGAGACCCAGTGATAGTCCGACAGTAGTCAGGCCGTCAAAAAGTCTAGAAGAACAGCAGATTTCCCCTGGCGGGTGAAACGGACGATGGCAATCTATTGCTGTCGCAGCGCGTAGCGGATCCCCATGGATTTGACTACCTATTGTTGATGACGGAAACGGAAAAGGCCAGGAAGGACGCAAGAAGAAAGCCAGGCAAAGAACAAGTGGAAATTAGGGTAGAGAAACTGCGACAGCCAATCAAGCTACTGACAGAAGCTAGTTGATCAAAGACGACGAAATAGAGAGAAAAGGCGATGAGGAGGACTCAAGGATAAAGTAGAAGATGAAAATTGGGCCCGTCCGAGATTCCCTTTGCTCCCGGTGGCGGATCCCTCTATACTCCAGCCTCACCAGCACACCATTCAACCGGCAGTTTCTACCAATACTTATAATTGAATAGCAAACTGTCTAGAGTAGAGACCTTAAGCTGACTCGCTTATCATTTGTGATATCTTTTGATTCTCTGTTATTCCAAACTTACCCAGCATTCCTAATCAGCAGAAATGCTTCCAACACCACCATACAACTGTCTTTTTTAGAAGATAAAGACAGCAAGAAAATCCAAAAAATAATATTGATAAATCCAGAAATACTTGCGGTAAGATATACTTTACCATTACCGTGTTAATTCAGTTTGTTGGAGCTCTGCCTATACGCTCACTTCCTTCCTATCCCCCCCCCCCCAACTGCAACACTTCCGTCCCATCCATTCCCACATCCCACCAGCGTTCTCGATTCAATCATAAGATCACCGAGTACTTGTCTCGAGGTGTATCAACTTCAATACGGTACAGAATGGCTTGCTTGGCTGAGCTCCCTGCTGAGCTTCTGACCCTCATAGCTGGCGAACTTGACAATAAATCACTCAAGCAACTACGTCTGACACGCCGCGGGACCCTGAGTGCAGCGACTGCAGAACTCTTCCATAGACTCAGCCCAGCCTCGCATTTTGAAGCACTTGAAAAGCTTCGAAATATCATATCCAATGATTCATTGCGTCGGTGTGTTTGGGATGCCCCTCTGTGTGTGTCAAAGGCAGCACGGATTAACCAAGTCTTTATCCAGGCTATCCTGTTTATTCCAAAGCTCATGTATCTAGGACGCGGAGAAGACTGGTGTACATTTGGATCAAGTCGACATGAACTCTCTCAAACTCCTCAAAAAATTCCCAACCTACGAAGAATCTACATCGAGCTTGATTCCTACAGTACTGGAAGTGAAGAGGACAACGAAGAAGAAGACGAGAGCACTTACCGAAGAGACACCACAAGCTTGATCTTTTCGCACCTGGCCTCGTTCACACAGCCATTACTCGACCTGACTGTCAACGTAGTGTTCATTGAGGATCCTTCTTTCTCCAAGAACTTGGCCAAGGTGCTCTGCAATCTTCGCAGGCTCTTCCTCCCCATTCGCCGCCCCTCCCCATTCGCCGCCCAAGTCTATTAGATGAAGTCTCGGGAAACATGCATGTATTACTCCTTCTCTTGGTGCGAGGTTGTACATGTTGATATTCTGATAGTTGTTCTACGACCTATACTCGGAGCTTCCGCGAACTTGGCTGGCTCCGACAACACCAAGTCTCCAACGGCTGGAAATCCTGGGAGAGTGGTACTTAGGTCTTTATCCAAAGCTAGACCTAGACAATATCCACTTCCCGCGCCTTCAAACCCTCCGTTTGATGGATTACAGCTTTGCACATGATACCCAGAAGGACTGGATCTTCACGCATGCAAGAACCTTGCGCCACCTTATGCTCGAAGATTGCGCTATTATCTCAAGAATTCGGATTGAGCGGGAGAAAAGACACTGCTTTTGCGTTCCGTGGGAGGAATTTCGAGTGGAAGCTTCGGGGAGGTACTGCACCTACACCTATGGCAAGCACTGGAGCGACTATTTTGCGGCCATAAAACAGAGCCTGCCATGCCTCGGGCAGTTCGATATGGACATGTGTGGTAGGAAGCTCAGTAAACCCACGTTTCGGCAGGACGCTCGGTCAGCATGTAAGTAAATAACAGTCTGGCCCGGTGAACTGGATGTTGAATGGCGCGAAATGCCTACTAGTACTACTGGCATATCAAGGCCGAGCAACAAAGACATCGATGCCTTGACTCCTTGAGTTCCCTGTTGCACCATCTGGGACAGAACTGAAGGTTACATTGACATGACAGCGAAGATGGTGCCTTGCATGACAAGCCATAGCCTGTTGAGCCACTCAGGAAAAATTTGTGACGCAGTGTTAATCATATTATGTTTCTCATTAGCATGGGAGCTGTTTGAAGCAAAAAAAAAAGTTCCAGAAGATTTTAGTGCTTGCTTAGTGAGTCTGTTGGCTAATATATATTGGAAGTTCACTGACATCTAAGTATAGTTTGCTAGTAACTGCTCTACACAAATACATGACATAGTAGTGATTATAAGGAAGAATATAGCTCAATAAGCTGACTCCCCTGTTACTAATACATAGTTTATGAGCTGTGACAAACTCTTAGCAATGTAATTATATGAAGGGATAGCCCCTGTGCAGCTGTGCTCTATACTTCTGTAATAAAAACTGGTATTACCAATACAATTCAAGCTCCCAACTTTATTTTCCTGCGAACTCCACCAGGAACCCGAACTTTACTCCATCAACAACCCAGGCTCCTAACTCACCAAACCATTAACATTTTGACGCCAGATATCAACCCGTTGCGTTGCATCCACATTCAGATCCCCAAACAAGCTTTTTCAAAATGCCAACCCGCCTCCCAACGCCCTCCGACTTCCCCCCCTCACTAACACTAACCCTCACCCCACCACCAAAACCCCCATCACCATCTCCAAGCACAACCACCAGACCACCTCCAAACATCCTCCTCCTCCTCCACGGCCTCGGCGACACCCACACACCCTTCACGCGCCTCGCCTCGCAACTCTCCCTCCCTGAGACAACAGTACTCACTATTCGCGCGCCGAACCCGCTCCCCTTCGACCTGCCAGGCTTCCACTGGGGCGATGACATCAACTTCGACTCGCGCACCGGCGCCCTAGACATGGACGCTGGTTTCGACAAGGTTACGCGGTTGCTGCTGAAGGATGTCATCAGCGATGTCCTTGTAGGGATATGCGGGTATAAGCTCAATGAGATTCTGGTGTGGGGGTTCGGGCAGGGCGGGATGGTGGGTGCTGTGCTTGCGGCTAGTCTGCATGAGCGGTCTAGGTCTGAAGGAGGGGGAGGAGGGGAGCTAGGAGGGGTAATTTCGATTGGGGCTCCGTATCCGCTCTCGCTTGCGGGGAAGGTCAACAAGGATGGGAGTGGCAAGGGGAAGAGCCGGACGCCTATTTTGCTGGTTTACGGACGGGACTCGGAGGCTGTGACGGAGTCTGCGGTGAAACGGACGCAGGATGTGTTTGCTTTCGTGGAGACGCATGAGTATAAGAGGCGCGGGGATACGATGCCGCGGAGCCGTGAGGAGATGACGCCCATTATGCGCTTTCTGGGACGGAGGTTGCGCAGTTGGCAGGGTGTTCCGGAGGGGGCCGTTGAGCTTTCCTAACTTCCGAGACGAAGAAGCTGATAGTTGCGGCTACACCCGGGATTCTGGACGGCTACGGTAGAGTATTGGTGGAATATGGTACATGCATATTTCTGGTATCAGCTAGTGTACATTGTCAAACGCATCGCGAGCCTGCTTGATGGCCTTCCGAGCCTCATGCGCCGTGACAGGAAGCTGGACCTTGCCGCCCTCGCGCACAGTCCTGCGCAGCTGTTCTTCTGTCTCGCGCAAGGCAGTCCGGCCATTATCGCGCACTTCTTCTTCCCAGAATGTCCGCGCGGCGTCCCACTTCCGCTGTTGCCGTCGCAGTGAGTAGATTAAACCAACGGCGGCGATGGTGCCGGTTTCGTATACTGAGGCTGTTGGTAGTGAGACGGAGGTCAGGACGGAGAGCGCAGTGGTTAGTGACGTTGTCGAGATGCTGAAGAGGACCAGACGTTGCGCCATGGCCTGCAGTGACGGAACTGTGGTTTCGATGAGTTGCGCGCGGCTTTGCGCAATTTGCGTGGGCCAGGGCAGTTTCTCCTTTTCCTCTTTTGGAGGTTCCACGATAGCGACGGCGACATTTTTGCTGTCGTTTTCGGCTTCCGCGACCTCTTCGGCGTCCTCGACGGCTGGCTCAGTAGCGGTGGTAACGGGATCTTCTTCTGCTGGCGGCTCTTGCAGGCCAGCCTGCTCAAGTTGACCAGCGGTCCAGATGACGTCCTTTTCGGCACGGCGCAGATACTTCTTCTCCAGGATCTCCGAGGTGATCATGCCCACGTCGTCAACGCGCCAGAACAGCTTCCACCATGCTAGACCACGCCACTCTTTAGTCGCAAACCCTTCCTCGAGCGCGCTGTGCAGTTCTGTATGGGATTTCTCAGCCCACGCGGACACGGTCTGATCCATGTTTGCTCGGACAATGTCCGAAACAGAAGCCTCCTCTTGTTCCTGGACCCTCCTTGTCTCCTCCGTCACCACGCCTTGCTCCGCGGCGTCAATCAAGGATGCTATCAGTGACCTCAACGAAGAATTTAGAATCCCTGGTTCAGTCCGCGCGGCCGATAGCCAGTCCACAACCGGCTGCACGCCACTGTTGCTCCATCCACGCTCGTACACAAGCACATTCCGCACGGACTCGCGGAACTTGTCCAGGGCCTCGCCGGCCTTGTTTGTATCCACAAAGGCAATCCGGTTGTCGTTGATAGCAGGCCCAGAACCTCCTAGCTCGACAGCCGCAAAGATCGAGCCCGCTTCCTTTCTTAGATCTGCCTGGGCAATTAATCCACTGCAGGCAAGTAACCCGTCCACGCCTTCCGCGCACACAATACTCCTGTGCACCGGATACCGCACCACATTATGCCGGCCCGTATGCGAGGTCTGGATCGTTACCGTCGGCACCAGGAACGTGTCAGATGTTAGCTGCGCTCTGGACATGTCCGTCTGCGTTCCGAGACTCGTAACTAGGATTTCCAGATTGGCGTTTTTCAAAAGCTGTGATGGGACGGAGATCGTTGGTACAAGATGGTTCGAGATACTTTCCGAGACTTCTCCGTATCTAAACCTCACCTGTTAGCTATACACCTGGTACCATAGAGTGCCATTCTTGACAATACATACCTAATCAACAACCCTCTCTCCAGCTCCCCATTCTCAGAAACTGAGTTCAGCATATCCTCCCAGTCTTCCTTCTCCTTCAATGGATCAGCCAGTAATAGCCTCACCAGCTTCCTCGCCGCAGCAACATCGTTCAATCCCAGAACTACGCATCAACAAGTTAGCAAATCTGTCCGAGTCACCGTAAATCGAAATTAACCCACCCGCAACTCTAACCAACGGTTCCTCAGTCTCCAACCCTCTCAGCGCCAACTGCAGCCGACTCAGGTTCACCTGCTCCGGCGCAACGCTCTGGATCTGCACGAGCGACTCGTAAAGCTCTCTTATCCGCGGGGGAACATGACGGGCTGTATGTGCTGTCGTCGGGGCCGTCGAGTATAACTTTGTGTTTTCGAGGGAATGGAGACGGGGTATCGGAATTGTCGGCGACTGTATTTGCGTCCGGAGTCGACGGGAGGAGAGGTTCCGACGCGTAGAGAGGTTTCGGCGCCCTTGCGTGGTTGCGCAGGATGGGCACGGCGGAACTGATTTCGCAGTTGGGTCTCTCCTGCGCGGTAGGCTCTTTGGGAGCGAGCCGCGGAGTTTGAGAGGCATTGAGGGGTTGGTGGTGATTTGAGGAGTGGGAGGTGGATGGAGCTCGCGGACAAGATCAAGAATCGGAGCGGGTCTTGGCGGGATTGCGGGATAGCCCGTGACTGCGAAGTCCTACATGTACAGCTAGCTTACTATAGAGTGATTCCTAATTCTAGATCTGATATTGAAAAGTAAAAACTAGGTAAGTATTCATAATATGATTCATCAACTCATAGTGCCAGCGTCGCAGACGTTGGAGCTTCTGTGCAGGACATACATAGCCTCCCGAGCTTGCATCTCAGTAAAAATATCAAGTACAGGTTCGTGTATCTCATCCGACAAAAGGAAATTGCGCAAGTGGAGCGTATTATACAATAATAATTGTTCCACTGCATAGGCAGATACCCTTGTTCCCAACCCTGTCCGGCGGACGGGGTTTCTATACAAGTCCGGAGTCAACAGACTACAACGATCGAGGGTGTATTTCGTGTTAGATGACGTCTATAGATGGCATAGACCAAGTCGGATTTGATATCCAATTTTCATTATCATGTTTCTAGTCCCGACTGCCGTCCCGTTGCCGGCGAGATTTGCCTGATCCGGCGGACCTAAGATGCGTTAGCACTTGTTAGAGAAATGGAGACAAGAAGACTTACATGCTGATCCGCCTGGCAACTGTGGCGAGGCCAGTATCATTATCGGCTTCGTGTTGGGCGCGGTCAAGGGCAATGCGTCTTTCCTCCTCGCTTCGTCGAACAACCTCGTCGTGAGATGGCGGGAGACGTTCGTTCTGCAAATCAACCTTGCGAGCGTCTTCAAAGTTGGTGATAGCTTGCTTGATTCCCTCCGCTCCTAGCATCAGAGTACCCGCAGGCAGTCGGCCTCCAGCCGCGGTCTTGAGCTCGGTAACACGTTCAGACTCCTCACGGAGCACCTGGAAAACTCGAGACAGACGGCCAATGGCAAGGATCTTATTTTTGATGGCTCGTCGCTTGAACTCGGTACTCTCTGTGTCTGCTGTATCCATCGGCACTGGCGGAGAAGGCTCGGCGGGTGAGATGGTTGACGGCGTCTCATCCTCAAGCTCCTCCTTGGAGCAGGTGTTGAGAATGGCAATGAGCATGTCGGTGATCTTCTCACCAACGAAAGGGAGAGACCAGGTGAAGACATCCATAAAGTTAGGCAGCCAGTATGGGTGAGGGGTGCAGTTGAATTGTCGGATGTTCATGACGTTATTCTCGTATTTCAAGACGGCGGCCTTGTTGTTGTATACATCCAGGTAGTTCGGTGCGCTGAAAATGGTCATGACACTAGGGAATCCAGTAGTCCGAGTCTTGCGGTACATGCGGTAGCCCGCATCTTGAGCTTCGTGAGCTCGAATGACCGAGAGCAGGTTGTTCTTCTCGAGGAAGGCACATGCGGCAGGGTATGAGAAAAAGTACGAGCACCCTCGGACGCTGTTGTGGATGAAGTAGTCGCTGGTCTTCTCTTGACCAAAGTCCTCCAGAGGATCGGCCCAAAGTATATCGCACATGAGCCCATGAGTCGGAGGTTCTCTGAATCGATCAATCTGCACAGGTTAGCCTGGGCGCTGCTGTGACATCTGCTGATTTCAACGCACCGATTTGATGTCTTCTAAGGTGTGCAATTCAGGACTGAGACCTCCATGAATGCAGAGGAACTGCTTGTTCATGACCGCCGCCAGCGGCAGCGCGCAAAACGACTCAATGCAGGCTTCATAGATGCGCTCGCTATACTTATGTTTACATTCCAGCTTGAAAGTGAAATAGTCCGTCAGGTGTCGGCATTCGTGGTTTCCGCGGAGCAGCCAAAGCGTGTTGGGATACCAAATCTTCAGTGCCCAAAGGTAAAGGACACACTGGAGAGGTTAGACATGTCAGATTGATTAAAGCGGAGGACTCACCTCAATACTAAAATAACCCCGATCAACGTAGTCACCCAAGAAAAGGTACCGCGTCTCGGAGGGGTCTCCTCCCACTTCGAACAGCTTCATCAAATCATAGTACTGCCCATGAACATCACCGCACACGGTTATGGGCGCATCCATCTCCAGCAGGTTGGGCTCCGACCTCAATATTTGAGTACCCTCGTGTATAATCCATAGGGCCTGGTCTTCGGTAAGGCGGCCCTCCCGATAGAAGTGTTGCTTGAGAAACTGCAGGTTCGGCTTCGTTTGATCCTCAGGGTCCCAGAACTGGTCGTCTGATGGAGTGTTCAGGGCAGGTGCTTGCACCTCTAAGAAGAACGTTGTTTAGTATGCGGCTTAACTGCGACCGGAAAATTGAGTTTCTAGTACGCACCTTTGACAACACGTTCTAGGGTAGACACCTGGCTGCCATCTTCCATGACATGCAGGGTGAAGTCAATCTCCGGGACCGGCTGCTTATCGGCCACAGCGCGCGCTAGATTCCGATCCATCTTGAACAATGGCGGAGATATTGAGCAAGACAAATCGCTATAACCTAGACTCCTCGTGGGCAGACCAAGACGAGGCGAACCGGGCGGGGAGGCAAAGTCGAAAAAGGGGAGGGATGTTGGGTTGGCGGCGGTGGGGTTAAGCGCGGCGGATTTTCGAACACACGACAGCAGAGACAGTCCAGACGAGATTCAGGTCAGGAACAGGTTTCTTGTTTATCGCACAATATATCGCTAAGGAACCATGTTCTGTCCAGTATCGGGTATATGATTAGGGAGATGCGAAATGTGGCGAGGAGGAAGGCGAGAAGAATTTGAGGGATGGAGATTACGGTAGAGAACGATCAACGCTGGAGCTGAGATGGAGACAGGCTAGCATTGCAGGCTAGCAGACTTAATCAGCCATTATATGTCCGCAGTAGAATTTAGATCTAAGGCAGCACTGGTGCCATAGCAGGCAGACTAGTTATCTCAAAAAGTAAAGGACCCTTAATCCTACTTTGTATACTACCCCATACATCTGCTCGCTAATACATATCGTCACGTCTGTCGGCGTGGAGAACACCTACTCAACCACAACTCCCGCCCAAGGCTCCATCAATCTCCAGCTCTTGGTGGTTCCCTATCATTTCCTTCTTCCACTAACCCTCAGCATGATGTACGAATCATACCGTATGTGTACCTCTCCCCGCACACCCCGACCCCCGACCTAACGCGAGTAGGCCCCCATCCACTCCTCGCCCAGGTCCCATTAACCGTCTCCCCATTCATCAACCTCCCCACAACAGTCACTCTCCCCTACACCTACAAGTCCGTTCCATCAACGCTGCCACCCTCCGTCACCGTCGACCCAAGCAACCCAGACGCCAAAGCCCGCTACGTCATCTCAGCTAGCGGCGAACACGCTGCATCGCCAGAGGACATCCTCGCCTCGTGCAAAGCCCTCGAGCAGCACTTAAGCAAGACGAAGACAGACGCAGAGCAGGCCATCAAGCAATGGCAAGAGTCGATATCTGCGCGAGAGCTCGCAGAGAAACGCCGCGTAGCTCCTGGTTGGCTTGATCGCGACGAGAAGCTCCTGCAGCCGAGTAATGCGTCACATCAACGCTCTCAGAGTCAGCCAAGCCAGAGTTTATTGGACAGCGCGGAGCCGGACTCTGTAGCTGCAGAGCTGCCGTCTATGGCTCCGCGGAATGAAGGCGAGGAAATAGATCGAGCGTTTGGGGGGCTTGACTTGAAGTGATGGGTATAGGCAGGTAGACTATGCCTATGCACTGGCCCTGCCCGTCCGCAGTCAGAAACGCCGCGTATGAGCTCGCGTTTCAGTTGTCGGCTTGTCTGGGACCACACTGGGCCACTTGATGCAGCGAAGCGCTCGAATTTCCGGTGGCGATACAGCGAAAGTCATGACCGTGATACCTGCATCGGAGAAGCTCACTAGCTAGCTACCTATGTATTTAGTGAAGAAAGTCCATGGACGGTACGCAGATTACGCCTAATATGATGATACGACGCCTAGCTTTCCTCAAAATTTAGTCGAAAAATCCCGATCAGTTGGTCAATATATCTATCGCGATCGCAACTCTATAAGAGTAGTATAGAAGCCTGGGTACGCCTGGGTGGCTCCGCTCCCCGCCAAATCTCCGCTGGCCCAAGCTTCCTTCCACTGCACGTCAACTTTTCCGCTCCGCAGTTAACTCTTGACACACCTCAACCTCCTAACCACAACCCACATACCCAAAATACCACCATGGAAAACCTATCTATACCCCCAGCCGAATCGTCCTTCATCTCCATCGACGACTTCCAATCCCGTACGCCCGAATCCTTCCACGGTCCCACAATCCTCTACTACAAGGCGTCACAATGCAAACTCGTCGCGACCGAGCGCGACCTCTCCTCGACGCGGGAACTAAATGCGCTCCGACTGTCAGAGGCCGGGGTTAACGGGTCATCTGCGGAGAGCGGCGACGGAGAAAATGAGAAAGAGGCTGTGGTTGAGGGGTTGGACCTCTGGGTGACGTCGGAGTATTCCCGCCCATACCCTACTCTTTCGACATGACCTTGTCAATGGATGGATAAGCTAATGAAAATCAATAAATGTAGTAAATTCTTTCTCTACAGCACGACCACCTCAAGGGGCCTCTCAATCCCCTACCGCTCCATCTCACTGCACGCAATCCAGCGCCTGACACTCCCGAACCAGACCGTTGAAGTGCAAGGCCTGTACATGCACATCACAAAGACCGCGACGGCATCATCCTTCCCACAGGAGTCCGACGAGGAGGAGAGTCTCACAGTGACGATCGTTCTGCCAACAGCCACAACGACACCATCCGAAGGAGAAGAGAGCGAGATCCAGAAACTCTACGACGCCGTCTCAGCGTGCGCGAACCTCCACCCTGACCCGGTTGAAGAGGAAGAGCAGGATGCTGGTGCGTTTGCCTCGGGGCTTGTCTTTCCTGGTGCGGGTGAGGATGGCGGTCTGCCGCCTCCGGTTGATGGGAGCTCCGGGTGGATTACGGCGGATAATATGCACGAGTTCTTCGATGAGGAGGGGAATTGGATTGGGGAGGGAGATGGGCCGAGCTTTCCCGGGATGGGAACTGGGCTGGGGCCCGGCGCGGGGACCGTGAGGGGGAGAAGTGAGGAAGGGGAAGAGCAGGGTGCTGATGGGGAGGCTGGAGCGAATGAAGATGAGGCGAAGTGGAGGCGGATTGATTGATTGATTGATCAAACTCTGATGGAAACGAAAAGTAATAGCCTACGAGGCCGCATAATATAGATGTTCTGATCGGGACTGTTATGAATGTTCAGGTTTGGGAGAGGTATTATGGGTTACTGGCTAGCTACAGTGCTTTTTGAGGGTCTAAGCTGAACCCGGGGAATAATGATAAAAACGCTGCCAAGTCAAAGTTTAAACATCCTCGATCCCAGGATTGATTATTCTTTTAGAAATCCATCCCCGTCGTACAGGCTTCCCGGAGTACTCGCACCAATCCCCAATCCCACGGTCTTTCGCGCTGGCGTCGTGCAGCCGTGTTTGGAGTTCCGATAACTCGACATAAGCGCCATTTTTTCTGCTTGACTGCGTTGCGGAGACGAGCCGCTCTTGTCGTTAAGGTTGGGAGGGTCATAGACGAGGGAAACGGTTGATCGTCGCGGCGTCTTCTGTGCATCACTCTTGCTTCGGTCTTCCCAGATAGGGACTATGGCGCTGACCTGGGCTCCCGCAATCTTTGGCTGAGCGGTATTATACGAGGGACTGGTGGTGTAGTGGCTGGTTCCTTCTCCGGGCTGAGCCTGGCCACGCGGTAGTGTTTGCTCTTTGGCTTCACTTTTGACCCGTCGCAGGGAGATGGAATGCTTTTCGCTGGAACTTCTCACGGTATTATTGCGAGCAGGGCGGGCTGAAGAGGGTGAGGTCGTTTGGGTGGTATTCTCCGAAGAAATCAGTGATTGATAGCTATTGCGTGCGGGCTTGGGCTGAGTGCGAGGCCCCATAACTGCTGATCGGCGAGGACTTCCATGTGTTGGAGGGTTCTCGAGCGTAGTGGGTGAGGCTTGGTACGGGACTTTCCATATGTATGGGTTTCGTTCCGGTGACGGAGTCTGAGAGAGGCTTTCTTTGTCTGTGCTCGTTGGTAGGCTTGTGAGAATCTCGGGCAGCACTTTCTCTGCAGCAGTAGCCGAATCTGGCTGTGTAAGCCTTTTCTTCTTCTTCACCGGGCTGCCAGAAGACTCTACGCGCGCCTCACTGGGCACCTCAATAACTCGGGAAATGGGCCGGTCTGCTTGGACATCTTGGAAACTGTTTCTGTTTGCGCTAGACATGGCGGAAACACTGGAGTTACGTGAGACATTTGACATAGACATATCAGATATCTCGGACCGGCGAAAAACCACTTCTTCAGCTTCTTCCGGTTCTTCAACCATTGGGGAAAACGCAGGCCCGGTGAATGTAATAGGTGGGTGGATGGAGATTCGAACGCAATTTTGTCGCCTGTGTCCTTTCCGGTGTCCACTGCTTTTCATAGCGGATGCCAATGGTGGCTTTGGGTGGCCATTTGTGACCTGAGACAATGTTTCCTGTGGCTGAAAGCTGCTCGCTCGCCTCCCTGTAGTGTGCGGGTGCCATGTAAAACTTTGCGAAGCGGCTGTCCCTTTGTAGAAAGGGTCATTGTCTCTCTGTGGACTGCCATGCATTGAGTGTCGCTGCATCTGAGTAGAATACGGCAGCAAGCCGCTGTTGTGGCCTCTTGTATTAAGTGGAGGAATATGGTCCAGATCAAGGTAAGGATTGGATGTAGTGTTCAGGGACTGTCTAGCGGAGAACGATTCGCTTCGCCTGGGTGGGGGGCTAACCCGCTCAGACGAACGAGTAGGGCTGCATGCAGTTAGGCTGCGACGAGGAGAGGGACGCTCGGAGTCAACTCTTTGCCCTTTGCGCGCGGGAGAGTTAGGGGGGAAGATAAAAGGAGCCGCGTTGGCCGCAAAGCTTCTACGATCATATTCCTTCCCAACGTCATTCGCACTGAATGGGGCAAAGGTAGGGCAGGGCGGCAACGCAGGGGATATGAGGCTGCTATCGATGTTTGCGGAAGTTCTTCGACTGTCGTCTAGGATCGAGCTATCTGCTGTTTCAAGGCTGGCGGACGAGTATCGGATAGAATCATTTTTCGACAAACGGAAACGGTTCGGAGGGTATGCACAAGGAGGGGGTGGAACGGGCTGATCCGGCGCCATTCCAGGTGTTTGAGATGTGATGCTGCCACCTCGGTTCCGTGACACGTTAGGGTCAGCACCTTCGTGGTGATCCTCGAAAACAGGGAAAAGCGCATTGGAACGTTCTTTCTGCGGAAGCAACGGCCACCCACCCGAGACAGGACGGATGTTATTGCCACTACTTGGCTGAATATCCTCCCGTTCCGGCGTTTGTCTGGGTGTAGTTTCCGTCGGAAGTTCCAGGACTCCATCAACAGCCGAGACGATCAAGTTCTCTTTCGAAACTGACACCTGAGAATGGGGCCGTTCGGAAGCTTCTGCCAGCGTCGTCAATGAGCCAAGCGTCGCCAAGTTTTTGGACAGTCGTTTCGACTTGGAAGATAGGGAGTGCTTGAGGGAGAAGCTGCGCGTCTTCTTCAGCAGCTCGAACGGTGACTTGTCGCCTGATAATTGATCGAGGCTTTCCCTCGAGGCCAGTAGACCCCATTCGGTTGGTCTACCATATGGAAGCTGTCCATACTGCCTCAGCGCGGAGCCTTCTTCGCGCGACAACTCAGTGTATGTTTCTTCAGGAAAGCTTGAGAGTCCATGAGCGTAAGGTCGGTGTGCTGTCCGCATCAGCGCAAGCGACCTGCGTTCCTGGCGAATCTTGATCCAAATGATAGTAATCACTACTGCGGAAACCATGAAGATTACCGAGCATGTACCTGCTATCGCGACAGCCGTTGTCAGTTGTATCATGATGCCGTTTCCCCCTGTGATAGTAGCAAGCGATCAATCGGACAGGGCTACCCCGGTTGCGAATTCTTCTTTGGCCGAATCGTGCCGAGCCCTGGGCGTTCAAGATATGCCGTCCTATTGTATCGTCCGATCAAGCGTAGGCTTAGGAGTAAGAGACGGACGCGTACATGGTGGTGACAGCGGATGATCCATCTCAAGGTGGGCGATGGCATTTGTTGTGAAAGAGGCAGAGGAATGTGCGGACATTGCACCGCAAGGCGTGAGGAATGCAATGGCATCCTCCCTTGGAAGAATCGGTAAGTGTCTAAGCTGGTTTTGAATATGGCATGTATCAAAAATGTTGTGCTTGAATTTGCGAGTTTGAAATCGGATTGTGAGTGGACAGCTAGCTGATGGGGAAGCGCTCGAGCATACTTGACCAAAGCATAGATAACACTTTAAGTTGTTAGTAGCACAAAGGCATTATGGCTCGTGACCGTTCAATCCAAGGAGCGTCTCGTGGGGATCATTTCTTCTTGGTCAGTCAGAAAGGTGAGCTCTAGTTGCTCAACCCAGGCCCTAGTGAAGCGTCCTTGTATCCATGTTCGGTCCGTCGAGCAGGGCCGTCCAGTAAGTTTCCCTCCCGTTCTATAGAGATTGTACAGCATAGTATCCACACATTTTAAGTGCAATGGGCAGAAGGAAGTCTGTAAAGGGAAGGGTAGCCAAGAGACCTCGGGAGTTGTGGTTGATAGAAGGGGGGAAATAAGGTGGTTTCCTGATCGGGAAGTGACACGCTTCCGGAGAATCATCAAGCCGAGCCGAGGTCACTCAAGGCTGTCCGGTTCATTATCAACAACTGGGTTGGCTGGATGAAATGAATGGTGTGATCTAAGGTACGACATCCGCTGATAGGTCCAAAGATCTGCTGCATCATGGCGTCTGGCAGGGTCACAAGCCCCTGTCTGCCGAAGTAGGGTCTGCGAGGCCAGAACTTCTTGGGGAGCAGAGAGTGGATCTATACCGTATTGCACAATCTGGGAGGGGTACAATGCAGATGGGTCTTTGCTTGCAGTCTGTGCCCCAGGCTTGTACGGCCTATATCCCCGTGGCTTTATCTTTCAATCTCTCCTTATTGGAGTTTCAAAAATGTGAGACGCGGACATACCTAGATGTATCCGGTCACTTTGTCCACGGCAACACCGAATCCTGCGCGTCCCAGCCCGCTGTCCCCTCCGTCAGGGAGAGTACCGCCATGGTGGCCGGTACCGGTGCTGGTATCGGTATCGCCGTGGGTCTCACTGATACCGGTGCCAATGTTGCCTTATGGTATGGCACCAACACCAAGGCTTTCGAGCGCGCCCAGAGAACTGCTATCAAGCACGGTATGCCGGGTGTTGTCTACCGATGAAGAAATAGGCTTTCCTACTGACTTATAGCCAAGGCTCATATCAGGTCAACATCACAAACGCCAAAATACTCAAGCAGGCTATCCAGCAAAGCGTGAAGGACTTCAATGGCCGGCTGGACGTCTTCATCGCCAAGAATGGCATCCCATGGACCCCTGGAAGCCGGCTGCTGATGGCATCCTGAGCCACTACTCAACGACGTCTACATTGATTTCAACCTTATATCCTATTGCGCCAGATACGCTGCCTACTACTGGCGGAAGTATAAGGCATAGGCATCAACCTTCACGGCAACAAGCCCGAGACCACATCATTGAATTCCCACAACTGAAAACTCCCTACATCGCCGCCAAACTTGATGTCATCCACCTTTGCGTGTCCCCGCCTCAACACAAATGCTGAGTTATCGGACGCTGCTACTCCGCAGACTAGTTCCTGGCCATTTGGGTGGATGAACTTCGTTTGCGCCAACACTGTCTCACTGGATGCTTTGCACTAGGATTCCAAACTTCGGTTCCTAAGATACCAAAGCTGCCTGGCGCAACAAGATTCTCATGGGTCGTGACGGCCGTGCGGAAAAACTGAGGACGCATACCTGTATCTGGCGTCCGATGCACGACAGGCACCGATCTTCTGCTTGGTGGTGCTATCCCACTCCATAAATTCGCGCCTATCGACCACCCGCGAAACTAGAGTATAAAGTCCGGCCCTCCGGGCATGAAGAGTACAATACCTTGGCTCTGATGATAATTCGAAGGACAGTAAATTTGCAACTCCATAGATAAGCTAGAATAAGCGAAAATGACCTGCGGACTATTATCCGACGCCCTTGCTACCCGGAATACCCGAGGCAGCCCAAATGTCGACATATCAAAACCCTAACTCTACCCCTGGCGCAACCAGCAGTCTTGCAACTAAGACCTCAAGTATCCAGGACCATTACCAAGTTGCAAGTGTCGAAGACTCGAAGTAGAAAATCCCAAAGACTGTTGACTTATTGCGGGTTGAGCGTTCAAGCCCAAAATCCCAACGGCCAATCAAGCACCAAGCATGAAAACGAACCGGATACCCTAACGCACACCCCTGCTCGCCACGAAACCCATCACATCGCATCAATCCAAATCACGGTTACTGGCCCCAGGACTCCATGGATGCTTCGCAGCACGCCAGGCCCAAGTCCAGATCCATGCTCAGGTGCTTCAGAGTTCTCAATTGGTATTAACCTCACCTCCGTTCCCCGGTCGATGAGTATCGTGCTGGTGCAGCATCTCCAGACCCCTAGCCGCAATCTCAAGAAGATTCCAATTCCCCATCCATCCTTTTCCCAATTCCGCATTCTCCTCAAGCTCAGTAACTGCTTCGCCAGTTTCATCTCCGTCGCTTTCGCGATCCCCGTTGTTAGCACCGGATGCAAGCATAGGCCGATCGATATCACCATCCTCTTCTTCCGAAGAATCCGTGTAAATCGCCTCCTCGTTCTCAGGCATCAGCATCGCCGAATACGACGGCCGGAATTGGGGCTTATGGACGATTCCATTGAGAATGCCAGTCCTGGGATCGATGCGCCCTGAGATAGCGAGGGAGATGCCGTCTTCGTCTTCGTCGGTGCTGGTATTGGTGCCTCTGTCACTGGTTTGACCGCTGTTGTTGGTAGACTTGAGCCTGTGCTCTGGGTACCCTCCAGGTGGGCTTGGGAGGTCAGCTTCAACATGGGAGTATTTGTATTTATCGGCATTGAGAGTTTTGCACCGGGATAGGAGAGGCTGTTGGTGGGTGGTCCTGAGGGATGGTTAGTGGTTTCGCCTTGAGGCTTGTGTATAGCGTAGGGCTTTCTCGGTATCAGGTTAGGTACGTACGATGTATTCATATCACCAAATCCAGTCTCAGATCTTTCATCGTCTGCATCCGCACCAGCATCTCCATCTCCATGGGCCCGCCTATACGCCGGTTTCTCCCAGTGCAAACCAACCCGACGAATGAGTCGGCGGCATCCCTTCGCAATAGGCTTATGACACCAGAAGACCAGAACGAAGAGGAGCGAGATACCCAGACAGACCCAAAAGAAGTTGGTAACGAGGAACGACTGGGACTGGCGTTGCATTTGAGTCGAAAGTTCCAGCTCTACCTCTGAGGAAAGAGTATAATACTGGATTCCGGTCATGGTCACAACTGTGTTCTTGTTGTTTGTGTTTAAGGTCGTGTTGGTGTTGACTGTGTTGATACCGGTTGAGATCTTCTGCTGGTGGGATCTAGAGAGTAGTTAGGTAGATGAAGTCTTGATGATAGGCAGAGGAAGGATACTTGCGTAGCTCGTTTGTTGGATCAATGGATTTCACCGTTTGCAGAGTTCCATTGTCCTATTGTGGGTGTTCAACACAGAACATGAGGGTGAATTGACAAAAGGCCTTGCCTGCTGAGACACAGACACGACTAAGCAATGGCATACACTGTGGGCATGTACCTTGTGCATAAGAATAGACAGTCTATCCAGAAAACAAAGAGAACAAAAGGGAGTCAACTCTATTCCGCCATCTTCTGTCAATGGCGTTTGAACAATGAGAGACAATCACAGCCAACCTTTGCATATCGACATCGACAATCGCCTTTGTCCATCCGTATCCTTGCGCTCTTTAAAAAGCCCTAAGCAACCTCTCCTGCCATCCACCTTCCAGTCCACACCAACTCTAGACCCCAAACCAAAACAACCTTTCCACAAGCAAGATAATAGCAACCATGATGCTCACACTCATCATTACTCTGACGCTAACCGTGCTTCTCATCGCCTTCATCCCGAAATCCTTTCTACAAAGGATCCTCTGCTTCATCTACGATCCAAACGACTACACGCCCACCTGCGCCAACGCACAAAGCTGCAAATACCACCTCAACAACATAACACCCTCCACCTTTCACCGAGACATCGCGTCCCCCTTCCTCGACCCGCGACACGAGCCCGTCTTCGCCAATCCCGAACACGGGGGAACAAAGCTCGACGACTCCGCGCTGGCGCAGTATAAGCAGCATTGCCACGAGTACTTGCATGCGTTGGCTGAGAAGGATGGGATGGAGATTGAGCGGGCTTGGGAGGAGATGGAGGTTCGACGATGGAGATGGATGTTGGGACATGGAGAGAAAAGGGTTCGGGTTGCGGAGAGGAGGGGGGCGGTGCAGATTCTCTAGGGGTTTGTCGGAAAGAGCTGGATAGGACATGTTTAGGATGCACGCGGAATAAATTCAAGGATGTCCATTTTGCACTCCATACGAGCTGAATACAGCTAAATAGATAGTAAAGCGCCAATGGTGTAGTGTAGCATGTAATCAACATTATTGATAATGACAGATCACATATGGCTGAGACAGATCTCCCGCCAATTGATACTGTCCGAGCAGAGATCGTAACCAAAAAATGGATGTTTCTTTTCGTACCTGGAAGGAAAGGTAAACGATGGTAGAGCATGCTGCAAGATATCGTTGTTGACCAAACGACGGACTAGACGAATAGATATAAGAAATGTGCCGAAAGGCGTGCGTCTGCCAATGTTGTGATTTTGTGTGTTAAAAAGTACATTCCGACTAGGAGGCCTACGCCTGCTCCAGCCCAGTCATGAGGGTATCTTGGACGTCAGCGACAGGCTGCTTGATGTCGGCAGGGTATTCCCGCGCCGCAGGCTGAGCTTCCGAGTCCTTAGTGTCAGCATTTTTAGCGTCTGCGTTCTTGCTGCCCCGACGCTTGCGGCCCAGCCGCTCGCACCAGTGCTCAGCACTGACTAGAGTTTCGTTGACAACACCGCTGACCTGCGACATCATATCCAAACCTTCCTGGGCAAGCACCAGAATCCGGCGGGCGCTGCTGGAGGGCTCAGAAGACGCGCCAGCCTCGTCTGGCGCAGGAACCGCGGTCGACGCAATCCGGAATCGCTGCGGCAGCGACGTGAGGTGGCGGCGGACTAGATTGCGCGCATTCTCTGGAAGCGCACCGCCGGCGTACTTGGAGACGACATCTACTACCTGCTTCAAGGTAGCTAGCACGTCTTGCTTGAGCGCTTGGATACGCTGAGAGAGCAAAGTCTGGCTGGAAGCTTGGCCATTGGCCGCATCTCCATTCTTTTGCGGAAGAGACTCCCACTCTTTGAGTGACTCCTGTAAAGCCACGATCGACTTGCCTAGCCTGCCATTCGCCCACCTCAGCCAAGTTAAGCAGTATTGCAGGCTCTTGAGCGATTCCTCGCTCATGGCAACACCCAACCCGGAAGTCGAGATCATGAGTCGGCTTTGCCATGTAGACTGACGAGGAGAGCCCTCCCTACCGGCTTCCTCATAGCTGGGCGATTTGTGGTCGTCGTACGGAGGCAGAGACTCGTTGAGGTAGAGATCTGGAGTTTCCGGCGTGTTATTGGCATCCATCGTGCTCAAGCCTATTTCCAAATCTCGGTCGGCAGGAATGTTGTTGCTGTTGACCTTGCGGCGCTTTGATCGACTGGACTCTGACGAGTTGGATGCGTGTCTCTGTAGCGCCCAGCGCAGGCTGCCTTCCACGCCTGTTTTGCGGCCAACAGTATGAACAGTACTGGCTACCGGCGAGCCAATGTTTCGCTCGATGAATTCGGCACCGGATTTGAAACGAGGGGAGTATGATTTGGATGACGTATATGCGGCTACGGAGCCGTTGATCGCAGAAGATATCAGAGGGTGGGTGGACGTTAACAATGAGAGGATCGGTTCTTGCGATTTGGGATCGGGCGAGGCGGTGCTTTGTTGCGAAGCTCTAGGAGATGCGCCGAAGTCTAGAGAACGAGAGTTAGCATGGAAGCCACTTTGATCAGTCTGAAATATGAAAAGCACCTGTCCGAAGCCCTTCCAGTGCTTGAGCAGCCTCGAGGTCGTCCATAGATAGGACGCTGGTGGCGCGACGAGAGCGGTCCTCAGCTACGGTTGTATTGTCCGCCTCCATTATGGCGGACACATGTTGCGGTTTCGAAGGATGGGAAAAAGGAGCGCGCGGCGTCGGGGACGGGTGGTCAGAATAACTATTAGTCGTCGTCACAGAGGCAGGAGGATTCGCGGTGGCGTCTTGAACTGTGACTGAAGAAAGGTGGGAGTTTAGGCTAGCAATGCCGTCTGAGCTACGGTCCATAGCGGCCCAGCGCCGAGAGTCGAAAAAGGGAAAGACAGCAGTATGAATTGGATCGGAAACAGGAGGGGGTGATAGCGTCGGAGTAATCAATGGGGGTTTGCAGGACTTGCTCGTGAATGAAGGACTGACTGGGCAGTTGACTGGACGGTTGATGAGGCGAGATGGAGTTGGCAGCTTTTCACGTGAAGATGGAGTTTTTACGGAACACGCCCAGCAGAAGAGCCGGAAAGCGGCAAGGAAGTGATTTCAGTCATGAGAGTGAAGATAATGATACTTTGATTGAGCGGAAAGTCAAGACCGGGCTGGTCTTCCTACTCTACTCCAGAACAGACGATCGTGCAAAAGTACCCAAGCTGGCGGTCTCTGATCATCATGAGATTATCAACACCCCCAGTTCTTAACTACACTGCAAACCCCGACCCCTCCGGAAAATGCCCAGGGCCAACTAAGCGCCATGAGTTGATTGACTAGAAATATCCTTGTCACATCCTCTCAGACCGAAGCAAACATCTTAACTCGTTCTGTTGGGTCTGGTTGACAGCCACCGGCATCTGACATCACATGCTAAGCTCGGAGAACCACAACCGACCACTGACTCTTGACCAGTACGGAGTAACCACTCGCTGCTCGGCAGTTGGGGTCAGCCATAATGAGATTCTTTCTCCAAGAGCGCCATTCACGAGCTTCTCTGTCTCAAAGTTTCCTGTCAGCCCATTATTTGTTGGGAACTGGAACCTGGGACCTCTTTTCTTTCCAAGGAAGGTTGTCCACTGCCTTTTCTCGTTTGGGACTAGCTCGTGTAAACTCAATCGGGCGGGCCTTGCATGTGATCAACCTTCGAGATTCAAAGGGGAAGGAGCTATCGACCACCTGGGCACGTGAACAGGACTCTTTCTATTACAGTGCATCGAGATGCTAGGGGTATCCAACTATCACTCTACAGACATCTGATCATCAGGGTCGTAATATCCGCCAACTCCCGTCGTTGGCGTTCCGTATAACATCGCTTCAATAGCTTCATGGCCCTCATATTCGTCCCCGTCATTCTCCTCTTCTTCAGCCCCGTCCTGAACCTGCAGGCGAGCAATGACCTTCTTATTAACCCGATAACAGGCAAGGGTCTCATGTGTCACGGTCCTCGACGGAACCGTTCTGCTCTTGATCTGGCACAGATATTCGCCGAAGGCATGGAGGACAAAACTCGACGATGGTGCTTTCCTGTACGCGTACGAGGCCAGCAGCTCGAACCACGCCGACTGACTATGCCTCCAGACGTGGATGATCGGGTGATTCCCTATAGTTGGAGGGCGCAATGCTCGAGCTTGCTCCGCTGCCTCGTCAGCCTGGGGTGAGAACGAACCGCCGCATCTGCTAATGGAATCGTTCCACTTGCGTTGAAACTTGTCAACCTCACGGGTAATGGCCTTTAAAACTGCATACAATGATTCGTCATCATTATGTCTCTGGTTCTTCGATTTTTCGATTTTGGCCTTCTCTGCCTTCGCCTTCTCGCAAACATCGTTCCACGGCTGAACAAGATCCGGATCCCTAGTATGACTGTTTTCTTCCTGAGGGAAAGCCTTCTGCAACTTGGTCAACACCTCGTTTCGTGCATCACGGGAAACCACAAATCGGATATAGTCGATAATGTTGTTTCGCCGCGGTTTGCGTTCCGGGTTTTTATACGCTGGCAATTCCCTGACCCGTGGGCTGATCTTTTTGCGATATTTCTGCCAAGCATCCTCAGACAAGTGCACACCGGCTTTACGCCCGTCAACGAGATGACTGAGTAGGATGGAGAGCTCTTTTGCGTGCGTCGAGTCGATCGATTCATCGTATGACAGCTTTTCGTGCTCCACTGTGCATCGCCCCAGGTTGGACAATGTCAGGTTGAAGGCGAACGAACTTTCGAGAAATTCGTCCATTGACTGGATTTCCTCCATTGGCACAGAATGCTTGCTGAGCCCGAAATAGTCCGGTGGATAGTTCTCGGTCCCGCTGGGTGGTTGCGAGTTGTGAAAGCTCCGAACAATGTGCTGGTCCCAACAAATCCAGGGCGTGTCACCGTCATAGTCGCCGCCCGATAGCATATCTGCTAAGGGATGGTCCCCTGTTGTGGGAAAGACTATAACATCCTTGAAGTGACGAAGCTCGGGCTTCCAAACCGCCCGTCGACGCTGAATATCTGAGGGGAGATGAGCTGGAAGACGCCCAACGAGCACGTCTATGCCGTCTAACAAATTATCTTCAAACTGGCCATGGTCATCTCGCCAGTTGTTCGAAAGGCCAAAATGCACTTCATCTTCCTTTAAAACCCCATAAGGATCAGCAATGCAAAAGGCATATGTGGATAGCGGTACTTCAATGCGCAGCTCTTCTACATATCGCGCCAGTAGATCCCTCAAGCAACGCCCGAGACGTTTCCGCAGTGGATAAAAGTCTCGAGGTGCAAAGCCAGCTTCGGAGAATCGGACAATGGCCTCAACGTCGTCGGTCATCCATTGCTCCAAGCGTCTCATACTCTGCTGCATCATGTTCCCAGCGACGGCGTCCGATGTCGGTCGTATTTTCTGCGCAAGACTGCGGCAAAGGACTGGGCTGTTAGATTTGAGGACCTCTTCAAAATCGCCGGCCACGGCCTGGATGCCTTTCCGAGCGAGATCGGCGACGTAATCCTTAACGTGCCCGCCGTGGTCCAAGATTGCTAGAAGCTGGATATTCAGATCTACAGGATGCGGAGGTTTGGACCATTTTACAACCTCAAAAGTCAGCTTCTCGTCGTCTATTGGCCCCTTCCATTTGCGGGGATGAGGATGAATCTTCAGTTGTGAATCGGATATCTGAATCCAGATATCATCATCAGTTGTGATCTGCGACTGATGCGCATCGACCATCCATAGCCCTTTGGCCCCAGCAATTCTCCCCTGGAACGCGCTTGGGGTATTACCGGCGATTCCAAGGGCATCACAGATCTGATTGGCAAGCGTCCGAGACATTAAAGCACACCCGTCGTTCATGACACGGTGATTCGGTTCATCACGCAGATAGAAAACTTGTTTTGGCTTCAAAGCAACCGTGGCGTACGTCTTGGACAGACCAAGTGACATTCTTTGAAACAGCTTGAGGTTAGTCTGGCCCTTATTTGCCTGCGGCGATAAATGCCATTCCAGTAGGGACGCTAGAGACATTGGAGTGTGGCTGCCCGCAGTCTCGCTTTTTGCGGAGGTTCGATGCGATGTATCATCAAATGATGGGCTAAACCGACCTACAAAGTCAATGCCGTCGACGGCGAAGAACTCGACTCTGAATTTTGGCTCAGTTCGTATCTTCCGCTTTTGCTTTACCTCCTCCACGTAAAAAGGCCTCCATGTCCTTCCTACGCATTCGTGTGTGGTTTGGGCCAGCCATAAGGCGATGCTTTCCCGCAGGAGAGCGGGGTTTTTGGGAAGCCGAAGGTGATTTGGAGGTCTGCTTGGTGCGGGCAGCGTCAGACTGAGGAAACGGTCAGATCCGAAACGGCGGTGGAAGCGACATGATCTTTCTGTTTTCAAAGGCTTCAAAGTCAACTTGAGCACGCCCGGCTCGGATTTGTCGCACCAGTCAAGATCTCCTGTAAGGACGACTGCTTCGGAAAGCTTGTCTGTTCTGAAGGTCCCGCCAGCAGCAGCTTCCCAGGCCTTACGAGTTGGCTTTTCGGGAATTGATTTCCCGTCTCGTTGACCGTGCCCTTCGATCCATTTCCAGAATTCATCGTATCGCAGTGAGATGCTATCCCCGGCCAGCATGCGGTTTAAAGGAACGTCCCAGGCCCTGCCTATTCTTTCCAACTCATAGCGGTACAAAAGAGGAATCGTGCCGGGCAGGGTATGTTTGAGCGAAAATGGCCCGTCCTGAAGAAGCGCTGTCACAATCTCCCCTTCAGCCGAGTAACGTGGCATTTCGGATGAACCCCCGGTAGACGTAAAGGGCATCGTTGCCTCCTCGCTAAGCATATGCGCCACAACCGAATCATCGTACGTCGAACCCGAGTCCGTGAATGTAACCGTCGTATCGAAAGATTTTTGGAAGCCTCCAATTCGAGAATCTATCAGATAAGATGGCGGCGCATCCGCAGTAGCAGTGAACGTCGAAAAGCTGAAATTGGCACGATTCTGAGCAGTAGTCACAGCATCATACCGCATGGACTTTTCAGATGCCCCAGTCAACCGGTCCACAAAGCTAGAGCTCGACGCGCCATTCTTCAGAACCCCCGCAGTCTTCTTCTTAGCTACTTGATGCGCATTCAAGTCATAGTCATAGTCATGATCATCAAAAGATTCTACCCCATCAGCATTGAAACCTTTGACCGGCGAATTCGGCGCCGTATGGAACTCATCCGATGAGTGGGATTCCTCACCACTAACACTAGCAGATAACCTCCTCTTCAACGGCCTCTCCGGAGAGCGATGCTTATTACCTCTTGCAATGTCACAGGCATTCGAATTCCCGTTCGAGCGCAATTCCGAGTTCCCCTTCGCCTTCACCACAGTCGAAGGCGCAGAAACCTCCCGGATGGCGGGGTAAAATCCGTTATCCAAAAGATAAAGCTCGTCCGCAACCAGCCTCGCGAGATATGCCAAGCGTTCCTCCTTCTCCGTGATCGCAATGGTTGCCCTCAGCGGCGCAGAAGCACCACGCTGCCGTCTCGCCAAAATTGCAACGGCATCCTTGGCATTCCTTGAACAAACCCACTCCTCGAAGCTATTGAGCAGTTTGTTCAGGTCGACTTGTTTGTGGTAATAGAGCCGCTTGAGCCCGTTGTAGATGCGCCACGGGACGGTTTGGTAAAGCGTTTTGTTTTGACCTGGGGAGAAGACGCGGGGGTTGGGGATTTCAAGGGAGAATTGATCGTTGAGGGTGTCGATGATGTGTGTGAAGACCTCGCCGGATTTGGGGGTGTGCGGGGTTGGGGTGGTGGTGGGCATGTTGTGGGAGCATTTCTTGTCTTTTGTTCTATCTTCTCTTATCTTTGAGAACAGGAATCGCACAGATTGAGTATAAATAGATGGATAGATAGATAGATCAAAGTCTTGCGTAATGATGCTGGTCTAATTGGTCTTGTTTGCGAAGAGAGTGATGGGTATGGTCGCCATGGAGCTGGTTTGTTTTGGTGGTAGCTTTGGCGGGGCTCCGAGATGGTAAACACAATGTCAACGTCGAAGTTACGGAATGCACGTCATGACCATCGCATTGGTGACTGGGATGAGAGAGAGGAAGGAAAGGAGAAAGAGGGGACTCGAGAAAAGGACTTCGGTCAGAAAAAAGCAAACACGAAGACTGAAATGAAAGATGGAGGGGGGAAACGAGCAGCAGTGCAAGTGGGCCCGCACTAAGAAGATCCCGTTGGTGCTCTTGACGCTGAGGCTGTCAACCAAGACCTTTTCTCATTTCCACCTACTCGTTCAATATATATAGATACATGATATTCAGTATGTGAGCCAATGACAATGCATCGAGCGAGCATCCATTGTCGGTTCGCATTGCTCAAGATACCATGGTCATGGCTGCCGTTGTTTGCTATAGTCATCTGATTGATCTATGAGTGGCATGCCATATGTGCAGCGTAGCTGTTAAAAATCAGGCTGGCACCTGCAGCATCGAGCGTAGATTGGATGCCGCTGTTACATCTCATATCAACCATACAGGGATGATTCGACTCCTCCATAGTGCCTTCTCTCTGGTTGTTGTTCGGCCTAGTCCTGCGCCGTCCGTTTCAGTATCGAGGCTTCGCACTCTTGTGGGTAATGCGGGTGCCTTCATGCGAGCACGGCGTCTCCTTCGCCTGTATACAGCCTTGTACCCCAGGACAAGAGCAAAGTATAGGGGAATTCCCAAAAATGATGTAACAAAAGCCCCAACATCCAGGCCTTTGCTGTAGAAATTGTTATCAGACAGCTCAATTGCTCGCATGAGGGGTATAGAGATGCAGAGCACAAGAGCGACCCATGATCCTAGGATACCGAACGGGGCTTTGAACGGGACGTCTTCAGGAGGAATTTGATGAGTTTTTCGAAAATGTCCAAAGGATATATGGACGATGAGAATTGAGATCCACGTCAATATACTGAACATGGTCACAAGGTTCACGAGATAGGCCCAGAGGCGCCCGGATGTACTGAGGAGGTTCAGAAATCCCAAGAAGGCTGGAGCAAAACTTACACCCAGGGCGTACACTGGTACACCTCGTTTGTTGGCGCGGCGAAGGAACCGAGGAGCATTCTTTTCAAAGGAGAGCTCCCGGATAATTCTGGTTGCCATGCAGAGGGCCCTACTTGCTGAGGAGACAACAAATATAAGAATACAACCGTTCAGTATATCTGGCAGCACAGTCACATGGGCCATCTGAACAGCTACAACAAATGCCATGGCCTTGCGTTTGGATGTGTATATGGACAGCTCTAGTACGTCCTCGTCGTAAGGGATCGCCATTCCTAGCAGAGTGACAATGACGAGGTTAAAGGCCAGGATGCGATAGAATGTTTGCTGGATTGCTCGAGCTGCTGCCTTTCGAGAGTCTCGCGTGTGCAGCACAGCCATTCCTATGAGCTCGGTCCCCAGGTAAGAGAGAGTTGTTGCCGGAAATGTTCTGAATATTGCGCGAAACACCCCCAATGCGGTCCTGTCTTCCTCATTGGCAAACGCACCGGGCCTTCTCCAATAACGAAAGCCCTTTTTGTGGTTCGGACCACCACCAAAGGCGATAACAATCGACAAAATCATGAGTCCCAACACTATGGCAATCTTGAAAGACGAGATCAGGACTTCATAACGACCGAGGAATCGGCCACTCCAGTAGTTCATGCTGAAGATGACGCAAAGAAAGACCGTAATGTAAGCGATCTCTTGCCCAGCTCCAAGCTTAGTCCAGAAGGACAGAACCATAATGCCCGCAGTGATCTGATTGATGATAACCATCATGTATTTCAGCCAATATCTGCTCCAGACAATCGTTCATCAGTCCCAGAATATCAAGACAGACGGAGAAAGCTTACATCCATCCTAGCGTGAAGCCCAATGACGGACCGCAGAATTGCTTCGCTTGACTGTGTAAGGTGGTTGGCTCTCGTGAAAAAGAAGCCACCTCGCCGAGTGCAGAGAGGACGATGAAAACTATGAAGCCGACAAAGGTGTAGGAGATCAGGATCGAGGCTGGCTACTGGAATTAGCGCGCGGAATGTAGCTTGACGAAGGATTTACCCCGGATCTGCAACGCTTGGTTAGAGTCGAACTGTCTTTTCATGAGAGAAGCACTGACCGTGACAAAGCATCCCCCAATCCTATCAACAAACCGGAATTGACTGCCCCTCCGACGGCTTTGACGATCAGTGTTATTCATCTATGGTTCCCAGGAGGTAAGTCCAACTTATGAGTGTGATCTGATACGGCTTGAGGCCAGCATCCGGATTGAGCTGGTATGAGTGCTGGCTTTGCGTCGACTCCGTCGCCTGTGGAGTATTTTCTTCGAGCGACTCTGGCGAACCGCTGGATGCCTCCGCTTGTGACATATCTGGCTGAAATCTGTATAGGTGTAAAGTGATAGTGGCATTCTAAGTTCGTAGAAATGATATAATCACAGGAAGTGTTGAGTGTTGAGTGTTGAGGCCGGAGTTACGCCATAGCGAGTGCCTTCCTTTTTGGGCGGGGGGTCTTCGCCCGGTGACCCGTCCACCTGCGTCGTAACCTTCCTCATGGTTGTTAGGCTTTTAGACTGGTTAGTACTCGTGCAACGTGTGCCCAAGCTCAATGATAAGTGAAAGAGGAAATGTATAATCCCTATTGCATATATCTATGACCAAATAAAGGAATAATACCACACGTATATAAGATCTCTTAGACCTCGTACACGTCCGAAACGCCGCATTCTAAAAGACGAGTAGCCAAATAAACAGCAAAGTATCAAGAAGTCTTCAGAAAGTAAATCGTTCTATGTTGAAAACAAGTGCTGAGACCCGTTGACACGTCTCGTGATATTCGTGAAATGTTCCTGCATTTGCAACGGATGTGGTCTATCGGGACATGTAGAGAGAGTCGCTAGACTCGGTTCTGGGGAAGAATCGTCCTTGCAGCGAATCAGTGGACTCGCTTCGAGGGAACATGCGCTGCTGGGCTTTGGAGATGGTCCGGTCTGTGTAGATTCCCTTCGCTGTTCCCTTGTAGACTTCGGTAAGGTAGTCTTTGAAGTCAATAGGCTGAAAATCGGGGTATAGTTCCTTGGCCAACTGGTAACCAAGATACTTGGCATATTCCGGAGTGTTGTCTCCACGGATGCCCCAAGAGAGCTGGTATTCGGCAAGATACCGAGGGATGAATTTGACGGGATCGAATGGATAGGTTTCGCTTGATTGACGGGCGGCAAGTACTCTGTTCTGAACCAATTCCTCCGAAATCTGATATCAGGTTAGTGCGGGGCTGAAATTAAGGGGACCGGCAGGTCTCCACTTACGTAGTTGCGAGTAATCTGCTCCTGACTGATCTCCTCTAGAAGGTTGAAAATTTCGTTTTGCGTCAGAACTGTGTTGTACGCGAAGATCATCTTGTTCAATGTGCGGTCGTCGGCAATGATTCTAGCGACGTAACGCCCGATGTCCCTCAGATCAGTCAGAGCCATGGGTGTGTTGCCGTCTCCGACGATTTCGTTGTTGGATGCTGTCATGGCATAGTCGACCTTTCCGGACTCGAGTCTGGGGTAGGAGAGTTGGTACCACCAGCCAATGTCGATAATGGTGTAGGGAAGGCGGAGCTGCTTGATGTGGTTGTAAACTGCTTCTTTCTGAACGATTGTCAGTAAACGCTGGAGATTATGGTAAATTGGATAATTACCTCGTCCCTCAGCCACATAATCCCACCTGGCGGTGCAACCGTGATGAAACCGCAGGGAATGAATCGTTTGACACCGGCCTTCTTCGCTGCATTGGCGATAGGAATCTGGTCCTGCTGTTCAGCCGATCCGACACAGCTGATGACGACATCGATGTCGGAGAGCGCTTTTTCGAGCTCCTCTTCTGACGATTTCAGGTCGCACTTGCGAATGTGAACGCCCTTGTCCTGCAGGGCGAGGACTGCGGGTTTCTGGGCAGAACGGGGTCGGATAAGGGCGTGAATTTCCTGTATGGCGATAAAAAGTCAGAAACCCGCGTTTCGCGGCGAAAGAATGCCCAATGGTGACGACCTACGTAGGTTGGGTATTCAAGAAGTCCAGCTGCGATTGAACCTCCGGTCTCACCCGCAGCTCCGATGAGCAGAACGGTTGTTCGTGACATAATGATGATCTCCCAATGCGGCAATGAGTCCGTCGATTAGATTAGAGAAGCGAGCAGGCGTGGGCGAAAAGCTGTGAGGTGGGAGAGAGAGGTCTGGGAGAGAGAGCAGACGGCGGAAGGAGGGTTGAAATCAGGCTCGCACAACGGGTTCCTTCACAATGATGTTTTCTGTGACAAAAGCCAGAATCAAGGATCAATCAGGGAAGAGTCGACGTTATAAAGGGCAGCGAGCGTCCCACCGAGGATGGCCACTTAGATACCCACTCTTTCTGCTATCACAAGTGGTCGCCGGTGGATCAACTGTGGATGCTAAGCTCCTGGGAGCGATGACGCCCTCCGCGAATGAATGCGGCCACGAGACATGGCACGGTGCAGAGACCTCCGTAGACATACCAGGCAATGATCATGGGTATTGGATCAGGAGACAAAGAAGCTTGCAACAAAGTCATGCTATTCGACTATCTTACGACCGATTGTGCAGAGTTTTGCAGAGAGAGATCGCCGGCGGCCCGTGGTGGCTCGGCGCTGAAAGTGCCTAGAGCGGTCAACCCATTACCGAGATCCCACCCACTAGTAAGAACTTTATTTTTAAGATAATATTAAAATTAATATTTACTAAATTTATATATTAATAACATAAACTTAATAATATTATAATAATTTAGGCTATGTTAAATAGCTATAAATCTTTTTTATTAGGTAGTATATTTTTTTTTATTTAAATTAGTTACATAGCAGGATTATTAAAAATTTTATTAGGGTAGTTTTTTTAGCTAGTCTTGGTTAAATTTTTAACCTTAATTAACTATAAATTTATATTATTTAGTAAATTTTAGCACTAGTTAAATAAAGACGCTTTATAAAGCCTAAAGCCACTATAAATAGGTATATTAAGGCTTTATAAAAAGCCTTTATAATACTTTATATAAGACTAAGGGGGGTTTATAAAACTCCTAAAGTTATTATTTAACTAAAAGTCCGGGAACCTATATTTAGCCAGTAAATTATTATATTTATAGTAGCTAGGGTAACTAGGCGTTTTAATAGCTAAAGTTAAGGGTATTTAGCTTATAAAAGTTAAGTTTATATAGCTAATTTATAATATTAAAAATAAAGGCAAAAAAGGCCTGGATATCTAACTTTGCAAAGGTATTAAAAGCGTAATAAAAATAAAAAATAATAAAAAAATAAATAAAGCTTTTAACAGCCAGGCTTTTTTAGTAAATTACTTAAAGATTTTAGCCTTTTATTTAGCCTTATATTTAGCTACTATTTTTGCAGCCCTTTTTTACTTAGCCTTATTTTTAGTAATTTTTTTAAGGCGCCTTTTTTTATTTTTAGCAAGCTTATTAAGGCGCTTTTTTTTTTAACCTTCTTATTAGTAATCTTTTTTAAATAGCGCTGTTTCTCCACCTTTATTTTACGCCTTTTTTTCTTTTTTTTTTTAAGTATTTTAGCCTTTTTATATTTTTTTTTCTTCCTAGCCCGCTTAAGCGCGATAGTAGCCTTTTTTTACTTTACTTTTTTATACTTTACTTAAGCCTTTTTAATATTAGCGCGCTTAATAACCTTGCCAAGTTATAGGAATTTACACTACTTAATTTTTTTCTTGCTAAGCTTTTTTTAGTGTTAAAGGCTATTTTAAAGTTACCGGCCGTGGCTATAAAAAAAAAAGAAATTATAACACGTGAAGGCCCAGGCAACCACTATTTTTTTTATTAAATAATTTTAAGTGCTAGGAAAATTAGTAAGTAATATACCAAGCTAGTATAACATGTTATTCTTGCTTTTTAAAGGCCTTTCTTTTTATCCTAAAAATTTAGTTATAAAATTAGCAAGATCCGCAGTCTTTACCGCGAGTAACTTTTACTTTTTTAGCTTTTTAATCCTGGCTTTTTTATATATAATTTTTAAGTAAATAGGCTAAATCCCCGCGGCCTTAAAAATAAATTTAATATTATTTATAAACATGGCTCTAGCCCGGGCCTGTTAAAAAATTTTAAGGAATTTTTATTAAGTAATATTACGCTAGCTAATTTATAACTTTTAACATATTTTTTAATTATACCAAGTAGCTAAAGGGCTAAATATTCTAATATTTATTAGCTAAAAAAGATAAGTAGTATAAAAAGGTAAATAAATAAAAATAATACCATAATCCTAGCAGGTTAATATAAATTTAAAGCTAATATAAAATATATAGCTGTTATATAACAAGATACGGGGAGGAGATTTAACATGCCTACCATGTTAAGTATAGGTAATATAAAAAATTTATAAAATAAAAATATTATATAGCTAGTTAAGTGCTAGCTTTATAGTATTATATTTCTTTTTTTAAATTATAAAAAACACCTTTTTATTTAAAGTAAATATTATTAGCTAGTTTAGATTAATTTCCTTGCCTTTAAAAATAATTATTAGGGATAAATACTAGCTAAATAGCCTGTAATATTTTATAATAAATATTTAATTATTACCTTAAGATTTAACTATAGTAAATCCTCCGTGGTTTTTTATAAGCTATATAAAAAAAATAACATGCTAATAGCCACGTGGAATTCCGTGCATAAAGCCTTTTTTATTAAAGTTTTAAATATTTTAAAAGTTAACCTTATATTTTTTTTTAATATATTTAAATAGCTCCAAAAAATACTTAAAAATTTAAAAATTAGCTTAATACTAGTGTTTATATTTAAGCTTTTTACTTTATATAATTATAAATTTTTTATTTCTCCGCAGGAAGGCCCGGTACTAGTTTATACTAACTAGCTTATATAAATAGCCTAACTATTAGTATTTTTACTTATATAAAATATTTGCAGCGTTTTATAGTATTTTAATATTAAAAAAAAAGTTAAATCTAACCCAGCGTAATATATAACGCCTAAAAAATACCTTTTTAATTAGGGATAGCTTTTATTTTAAAGTATAAGTAGTTTAACACGTTTAATAGCTATTTATATAATACTAAAAAGTTTTTAAAGGTAATTTATACTTAGCCGCTACTTTTTATTATATTTTTTAATTTTTTTTTATTTAAGTAATTACAAGTGGTATTAGCTTATTTTATAGGCGCCTAGTAAAATCTTTTTATAAAATTTAATAGGCTTCCTCCTGTAAAGTATTTATTTTAGTAGCTTTAATTTTATTAAGTAGCTTATTATTCTTGGTTTTAGGTATTTTAAAGCCATTTAACTAACTAAAACTAGGTAAAAATAATTAAAAATTTAGTATAAGTAAATTAAATAGTATTACTAGCAACTCGCGGCCCTTATTTAAATAAACTTTTTAAATATTTTATTAAATCTTTATTTACTAATTCTAAATAACTACTTACCAAATATTTTTATAAAAAATTAGGGGAGTTATATATTATTAAAGTTAACACGTTAATAAAGTGCAATTAAAAATAAAGTTCTAAATATGCGTCTTACTAGTGGGTGGGATCTCAGTAATGGGTTGACCGCTCTACTCCGTACCGGTACACTTACAGTACTACTCCTGGCGGTGGCACTACGTCACTGACTAGCGAGCGACTACTGACCCTCCTTCGCTCGGAATCGCTCCTCAGTCCCTCTCCATCTTCCTCACCGCGTGGAGCAAAAGGGCGGGGTTCCCAAAAATGAGCCTGAGCCATCGTCAATCGACATCTCTCATCGGATACTACCGGTGACGCCATTGGCATGGGAAGCCCACTCTTACCATGGTCGTCCACATTTCTTGACCGTGGTGCGCGTTCCTGTGCAGATGCCAGACCGCTGTCGTTTCATGCCAGGCCGCGCCCTGATCGCACCCTCACAGGCTCACTCTGTCATTGCCAACTTTGAAGCCTATAGAGTCGACGCTCTTACCAGATCAGCAACCCCCCGCAGTTACGGAGATGCTAAAATTCGAGCCGATCCGGGGTTGAATTGCGGAGTTCCTACACGTTGCACTTGCAACGCCACTACCTTGGGGTACGCAGGGAAAAACAAAGTCAAATAGCGGAGTTGACTAGGTGGCTGTGAAATACGACATCTCCGAACTAAGAACATCCGTCCTCTCCTTCGCTAGGATTGATCATGCCCTGCTCCGCGAACGCCAGATAATTCCAATAGTCCGCCTGCGTACCCTCGCCGTCAACTGTGGCGTTCCCGAAGAACTTGGCTGTCCAGTAAGAGCTGCCCCGAGTGTGAGCCGCAAACGCATACAGCCCAGTGTTCAATGCACGCTCCCGTCCAGCCAATGTGTTGTCCAACTCGGCCTGTACCGACCACTCGCCGATAAATACAGGAAATCTGCCATCGCCTGGTGACTTTTCAGCGTCGGAGCAGATGTAGCTTGTGATGCTCTGACTGGTCGTTCCCCGACCGGCAAAATAATAATGGTGCACGTCAAACACAACATTTGCGTCGCTTGGAAGCTGCGGAGACCAATAAGCCTCCCCTCGGAAGCTGCCCTGAAACATGACCGGGATACTGGGATTGACCGCGGACACCCTAGATATCACAGCAAGGATGTATTGTAAAACCCACGCAGCTCCATCGTCAGTCAACGCGAGCGGGGTGCCAAAGAACGACAAGTCCGGATTATCGACCGGCTCATTGATTGGTGCGATTGTATACGATTCGGGGTGCCCAGAACCCTGGACGTAACTGATCACCGCGTCGACAACATCGAGCGAGTAGCCAAAAGCCGTCTGGTTATTGAACCAGCCGAAATGCCCCTCGGCCTCGCCAAACGGCATCCCATTCACCCCGCCAGGGAGCGAGTGGACATCGATAATGACATGCATGCCATACCTTGTGATGGCATACGTGGCAATGTTCCTTAAGAACGAGATTTGGTCACCGGAATACAGCTGCGAACCCGGTACCTCGATCCACGCAGCGTAGGTCGTCGGGATGCGGAGCGTGTTTACCCCGGCTTCATACAACTGGTCAATCACGGCGGGAGTGATCCAAGTCGCATAGCGGCGTTCGAGGACGGGACCGCATAAGGAACCTTGATTGGCGCAGAGTCCCCATTCATCCGGTGCGCCTTTGGAATACTGTGCCCACCATGTCGTGTCGATGGTGGATTCTTGGACGAGCCATCCGCCCAGGTTGACGCCGTTTGCTTTGTACGTGCTCCAGTCAAGATACTGACCGGCAGCGAAGTCGAAGAAAGCTTGCAGGAGGATAGAGGTGAAAATCACTCGTGCCATTGCAACTGCCTTGGTGTAGGATGCTGTTACACTGTTTTTCCACGAGACGGTTGTGGGCTATTTAAGCTGTTGGACACACTCTTGAATGATCATACTCGGGCATATATTGACCGAGGTCATAGATCACCATTGGAAATAACCACGGTTCAACTGCATTCGACACGGCAATGCAGGTCCTTCAACGGACAATTGCGAGCTGAGAGGACAATAGGAGAATCAGGGTGAAGACGGCGAACTCACTCCCTAATTAGCCATTCTCCGCTACTCTGCCAGTGCATCATCATGCACATGCACCCCGGGGTTCGCTTACCTGGGATCAGGATGCCGAGGGATCAGCATCCCTGTTGTTCTAAGGCTGTGAGGCTTCTGCAGCTCGCTGTGCAGATATCTCATATCTCATCTCCACATCCCGACGTGGGCCACACGACCGGTAGGTTTCAGATCCAAAACCGGATAAGAAATATAGATTCGGCGCAAGATAGACCGTCGGCTGGGTGGAGATGAGGTTGGGCTCTGCTCGTCTCTTCGCCGGCTTGATGCTACATCCAATGCATGACATTGACCCTGAATATGTCAAGACGGGGTGTGTCCCGAACAACCACAATACTCGAGGATAGCGTCGTGGTCCTGCTGCCCAAGAGGCTTTGACATCGTCATACACCCAATGTAGATGAGTACGCTGCGCAGTCTTCAAGAAACTAACTATTCATTCATTCATTTCGTCTCATATTCATATTCTCATCATAACTCCAAACAGCCATGTACGTACTCATCAGACCGGATAGCATAGTTGCATGAGTACGTGTTAGTAGGCAAGCCGCTTCCTCGCACCTCGCACATTCCCCTCTCGAAACCATCCATCCATCCAAGCCAATCCACCAAGACCGACCTCTAATAAATATACCGAAAACTACCAAACCAAATTAGCAATCCCACCTCACACACCTCAATTCCACACACAAGGTAATAACAGAAAGAGAGGCGGCGAAGGGCAACGTAGAAAACGCACTTCAAATTCTCCCTATCCGTCAAGTCCAAAAACGCCGTGGCGCCCAGATCCCTCCCCTCAAGGCCTCCCTCCATCTGGCTCTGGATCCGATCGCGCTTCTTATTCTCCCGGCGCAATAGCAGGCCCAAGGCACTGATCAGCACGGCTTCGATTAGGTGCGACACGATCATTGACCAAATACCGAGGGGGTAGGTGGGTCTGTGTGGAGGGATCATTGTTAGGGCTATTGTACGGGTGGTGAGATGGGCGTGAGGGGTTGAAGGACGTACTTTTGACTCTCTTTGTAGAAGAATGGGCCGGCGATGTTTCCAGTGCAGTAACCTAGAAACAGGACAGCGTTTGTGACGACTTTCTTTGTGTGTCCTGTACATCACCACGTTAGCCCCCCGAGCCAAACCACAGCACTAAAACATTCCTGATTGATGAATACATACCAGCCGTATTAGCAATCTGCATGCTAAGAATCAAGACGAAAGCAGCATTATACGGCCCGGTAAGATAGTAGCAGATCAATCGGCCAACTTTCTGGTCAGCAGGGACGAACCGCAGTCCGAATGCCCCGGCGAGGTTGGGGATTAGGAAGAGCAGGACGAAGATACATCGGCGGTTCTCGAAACGATCGTTTAGATACACGCAAGTTAGGATTGAGATGGCGATTAGGACGCCGTATGGGATCTATTGGTTTTCTTTGTTAGGGGTTTGTTTGGTCTGGTTTGGTGATGTGGGTGTGCGGTTCGTACCTGCATTAGGGTCGTAACAAGTGTTGAGAATCCAAAGCCTTGGATGATGATTGTGCCGAAATTTGAGATGCCGCCGTTGGGAATATTGCCTGCGGCATTTATCAGTTTTATACAGTGGGAGATGGTGCAAAAGACATACAAACACAACCCAGCACAAAAAAGAAATACATCTTATAATCCGTGAACGCCTCGAGCACCTGCCTAGGCTTGAGATGCTTGTTCTCGATACCAGTCTGGTTCTCTCTCAACCGCTCAACGGCAATCCGGCGCTCACGCGGTGTGAGACCCGGCGCGTTCACAGGCGAGTCAGGGAGGAAGATGAACATAACGATGCCCCACGCTGAGCAGAGCGCTCCACTATGCACAGTTGTTAGCATGCCCACGATACCGGGCTTTATCATGGAGCTTCCGGGGAGGGATTGGGCAGGCCTACATGACGATGAACTCGTACTTCCACGACGGAAGCGCACCCTTGATATTCCCGATTCCATATCCCAGCAAACCACCGAGGGCAATACCCAGGCCATTTGCTGTGTACCACAGACCCATGCGAACGGGTTGCTCGCGACGTGTGTACCACATGCTCGTTATTAGCATGAAGGCTGGGTCAGCGCAGGCTTCGGCGGCACCGCCCAGGGCACGGAGGACCGCGAGGGTCGCGAAGTTGTGGCATGCTGCTTGGATCATGAGGAAGACGCCCCTGGTTTGGTTCTTAATGATGGTATTTAATGGATCTTATGGAGGGAGACTTACCACATGAAGATGTTGATGCCAAGATATTTTCCTAGGGAGGGTTAGATTCTGTCTGAGCAGGCTGTAGCATGGTATACGTACCAATTGGGAAGCGTTGCAGCATGAGGTTGGTAGGCTATCAGGGTTAGCATATCATCAATTGTTCATATCCTCGCACATACCAGTGCCCAAGCCAGAAAACCAAAGTAGAAGATACTACTCAGCCAGCTGTACTGCGTTCCATGAAGATTCAAGTCCTCGTTGATTCCGAAGATGGCCGCGTAGCTCAGTGTAGTCTACATATCACCTAGTGAGCATCCCATCAGACGATCAAAGGAGAGAGAAACGTACCTTATCAATATAGAAGAATGCATAGCAAACAGCCAAATACGGCAGGATCATCAAATCAATCTTCCAAAGCACCCTCCGCGCTTCGGAAGGGTCAACCTCCTCATGGAGTTCATCGGGGCTATTGAACAGCGCCTGAGCAACATCGCCCTCTCTTCCGCTTGTAAAGGCCGGTTTGATCGGTGCGTCTTCCTCGTGGTTTGCAGTAGGTGTGTTGTTGTTATCCTTGGTGATGTCGGAGCCGCCGCGCGACTGGAGACGCGATGTTATGCCCATTTTTCTTGTCTTGCTCGTCTGTGTCGGTTCGAGCCGAATATGGACAGCAGAAACAAGTGAAAGAACCTTGGAGCAGCGTCATATATATCCTTCTGTTGGGAACGAGGAATAAAGTTGGGCTGGCCTCGGACATGTCCTGCTCCAACAAACTCTCCCCGCACGCAGTTAGTAACATATAGCCAAGGTAAGTTATCCCTGGTCAGAGTATGAATGACTCGGGAGTACTCCGGGATACGTCAAAGACATGGAAGCTCTGAGAGGAGATCCACAGCGTTACCCACAGCGAAGGGAGGGGGTTGCGGGGATCGTCAAGATACCCCATGGCTTGCTGACGGCGTGGGGGTGGTGGAAAGCTTGGAATCGGCATATCTGCGAGGATACATGACTGTCTTACAAGTACTGCAGCTCCGACGATATTCCGTAGGCAGAGAACGAGTCACGATCGAATGCGAGGAACAGAAGGGTGACAGGGAATGTCGGACGATGACCGAGCAACTGCTTGGAAGAAGGACTGATAGGTGGAAAAATCAATGGAAGTGCAGAGGAAGAGGAGGTGACGATGGACCAAGGACGAGGAGGAGGAAAGGGAAAGGAGCAGCAGTGGTGGGTGGGGGCTGCGTGGGGGGAGACTTCCACTCCCATTTGCGGGGAGAACCCGGGGTGACATGATAAGCAGAGTGCAGGAGATTTCCTAGATTGAAGATTGACTTATTTCTATGTACTCCTATACTTTTTTACATCCACCGCATACCCCGTCCATCTCACGGCCTTGTCTTGTCTTATCGCCGGTTGAAATTCAGGTAGCGAGCCTACCACAGTCAGTCAATCATCCAAGCAAGGTCCACCTCAACAAGAAACTTACAGCCAGGAACAAGATAATCAGATTCGATCCCACAAAAGCCGCATAGATTCCCAGATCCCTCCACCTATTGTTGAAGCTCATCTCAAAGGCCTGGTAGTATTCATCTCCAACCCTATACGCACAGTACTCGCAGTTCTGGGTGGCGTTGTTGGCAAGGTATCCAATACCACCGCGATCAAAGAATGCCTGCATGTACTCGCCGCAAGTCTGACCCTCTGGGGCTTGGAACCGGTTATACTCCCCAGAGGTACAAACAACAGCGCGCTCGTGCAGCTCTGTCGTAACCATTCCGCTGATGATGCGGGTGAACGGGTCGAGCTCGTAGAACCAGACTCGCCAGAACCTCGGCATCTGGGGCTTAGGAATCATGACGCCGCAGAACAAACTGAAGAGGATCATGAGTGGGGGGTTGCACTGCGATGCAATCATACTGTTTGGGGTGAGAGCTTGAATCATTTGACCTAACGTCACCGCGAACAACTGGGTTATCATGATCATGAAGAACTGGTAGCCTGCACGATCCGAGGCGCCTTGGAAGCCGGGGATGTAGTAGATAAAGACGAAAAAGACGATTGCGCACATGATGCAGTACGGAATTTCGGCCACGACCATGGACGCGGCAAAGGCGAAGTTTTTGTAAGTCTTTGACGCTGCTTCGCGATAGAAGATTAATCGCGACATCTCATATCGGGGCTCGACCATCTGAATGATGATGATTGGAATGACCGTAACGTTGAACAGGACGAAGATGCGGTATTGTAACGAAGCCCGAGAATCGTCGAGTTGCAAGAACGCGAGACCGGTGATCAGAGAGATGCTGAAGTGAGTGAACAGCCGAGTAAACCCATACTTGTGAGAGCGCCAGAAGACGATGTTGGTCCGCTTGCAAACAGTCTTGATCTGGTGCCAGAGCGGCGTCGCGTATTCCTTCTCAGGCGTCTTCGTCGCTTGGTTCTGCCTGATCGCTTCAGCACGTCGACGCTTTATCTCAATGATATCTTGTTTGATCTGCTCCCGCTCGGGCGACGCTCTCCAAAACTCCACCCAGTCCCGGTTTCCAAGATGGCGAGTCGAACCTGCACCAATGGCGTCAAGCATCCACTCAGCAGGATTGGCATCAGGCGGACACTCTGCACCATTACGCCGGAAGTAGGCGCGAAGTGTACTTGAATCCTCTCCGATTTCGCCAAAGTACACGCACTCACCTCCGCTCTTCAAAAGCAGCAACCTATCAAAGTTCTCGAATAGAGCTGAGTTCGGTTGGTGGATGGTACATAGAATAGCCTGCCCGGCCGCAGCAAGCTTGCGCAGAAATCGAACGACTAATCCAATCAGAACAGGTTACAGGCAGAGTCGGAAGGAAACTTACTGTTAAACGCAGACTGGCTGTCCAGTCCAGAAGTGGGCTCGTCCAAGAACAAGAGCATTTCTGGCTTTGCAGCCAGCTCAACACCAATAGTGACACGTTTTCTCTCCTCGACAGACAAACCAGTCTCTGGCGTGCCGATGACAGCATCTGCAAGATTCTCCAGCTCCAACAGCGAGATTATTTCCTCCACATATACATACTTCTCCGACTGCGGGATGTCGTACGATTGACGAAGATCAGCAGAGAAGCGCAGTGCTTCACGGACTGTCTGCATCGGCTCATGCACATCCATTTGCTCCGCGTAAGAAGTGCCTCGCTGGAATGATGTGCCGGGCTTCGCACCGTCTACCAGGATATCTCCGCCAATAACGCCAATGTTCTTCCTAGCTGCAAGGACATCCAGCAAAGTTGTCTTGCCCGCTCCGGACGCACCCATCAGAGCTGTTAGCTTACCGGGTTTGACATAACCGTAGATGTTGTGCAGTAGTCGACGAGTACCGGATGGCACAGGCACATCATAGCAAACGTCCTCCCATGTCAGAACCGGCTTCGCAGTGAGAGGTGTGTCAGATTCAGGAGCACCCAGGTCTTTCGATTGCCGAGTGGCACGTTTTTGTTCTAGTGCTTTGTTCAATTCTTTCCGCTCAGCATTTTCTTTCTGATAGAAGGTGACCGTCTTGCCGCCGGCATTGAAACGAACAACCTCGCCGAAATACAGGTTCATTCCTAGAAAAGCAACGATGAGACCCACCATGATTCCAAAGTTTCGCCAAAGGTCCTCCCTGTTATAGTTGAACGTGGTAGATACATAGCTCTCACCAGGAATAATAGGAGAACCTGCTTCGCCTCCAGCAAGCGTGCACACCTGATGGCTCATATCGGTGTAACCCTCGCCATTGGGAACCAGGGACTCACTGGTGCAAGTCATGTTGAGGCTTTTGAACTCGTTGACCATCAAGCTGGCGAATCCTAATCCGAATGGATTGACATAGTAGAACCACCGGAGCCAGACCTGCGCGTTTGGCCATTGAACAAGATATCCAGACGTCAAAATAAACAAAGTGATCAAAACAGAGACAAAGTTCATTGCATGGTCAAATGCAGGGGACAGACAACCGATCGTTCTGAAAATGACAGTCATGTTGATATAGCCTGTAAATATCAACAGCACGAACGTGAAGAAGGCCCCTGCATCTCTGACAAGGCCACACATGAAGTAGACGATCACGCTGAAGACCAGAATTCTGGCGATGGCGAATGTCGCGTCGACAAAGATCTGCGCAATGAACAGTGCGCTTGGTCGGTAGAAAGTAAATTGTCGGTGCTTATTCACAAGAGCTCGCCCCATCATGGTCGAGGCAAGCTCCGAAAATGCTTGGAAACCGTTGAAGAGGAAGCTGGTAAACAGAAGACCACCTCTCGTAAACGCGCCGGCACTGGTCTTGGGGAGGTTGAGCCAGACGGTTCCCAGGACAATCGCGACACCGGTCGAAGTGATCCAAGAGACATTCAGAGCAAACTTGTCTTGCCATTTGATAAGGAACTGGCGTCGCATCAATGCCCAGACTTGTAGGTAGTATGGAATGAGGTAGACTGATGACTTGGACGTGAATTTGCGCTTTGCTTCTTGGTTCGCAACCTCAAAGTCGTCGTAAATCTGCTTCTCATGCTGTATCTGCTGGCGGTAGTCGTTCATTTCCGTGGCAAGTTTCTGGCTAAAAATCGACTCATCAAATGCTGCTGCGAGTGCCTCGGGGGTCGAGGGCACATTAGACTGGTCGCGGCCTTCCTTATACTCACGCTCAAAAGGATCTGTACAGGATGTAAGATAGTCGGGAGTAGTCTGGCGAGGCTTTTCCTTGAACCCAAGATTCTCGAAGTACGCTCGTGCTTCGCTAGCGGGGCCAAAGAAGACTTGTCTACCACTGTCAATCACAAGGACCTTATCAAACTGCTTGTAGATGCTTTCCGAAGCCTGATACAACGAGACGAAAGTCGTGGTCTTGTAGATGTTGGTCATGATCCGCAAGGATTTGGCGAAATCAAGGGCAGTGGAGGCGTCGAGGCCGCGCGTAGAATTATCCCAAGCTAGAACAGTAGCCGAAGTAATCATCATCTCAGCGATACTAACGCGACGTTTCTCTCCGCCAGAGACACCTCGGATGAACTGGTTTCCTACAACGGTATTGGCAGTGTGTTCGATATTGAACATCTTGAGCAACATTCGAATCACTTTGTCTTTGAATTCTTCCTTGGATACGCCCATAGGCCGCTTGCCAGGGGTCTTTGTATCTAACGCGAAACCAAGTGTTTGCTTGACGGTCAGGGTCGGTTGGTGAACATCATCCTCCTGGTTGTAGACGGCTTCGCCGCGAAACCTTTTAGAGAAGGTTTCGTGGTCAAACGGGCCATACAGAACGTCGCCATCCACCCCGGTGTAGCCAAAGCGTTGGTTCGTGATTGCCTTGAGAAACGTAGTACAGCCAGAACCGGGACGTCCAAGAACAAGCACCATCTCCCCGGCTTGCAGCACGCCGCGAAACCTCTTGAGGATATCAAACTCTTTTCCCTTGTTGCTGTGGCCTGTCCAATCCATGATCAACCCGGGTACATTTGAAAAGTCCACAATAGCGTCGGGGAAGGTCTTGATGAAGCTTTTAGAGCCACCGACTCCACGAACAGTGAGGTTGTCCCAGATAACGCCTTTATCGTCAGCGCACTAGACTGTGTTATCGACCTCGGTCAACTCACCAATGTGCTTGCTCTTGATACCAGCTTCTATTTCGGCCGCTTGATTTCCCCGGAGAGCGGTTTCAAGGTCCCATGACTCTAAAGAGTCTATTGAGCTGGCAGATCGCTCGACATCTTTGCTCTGGATTTCGCTCTTCGAAACCCTAGAGGCGTGCTTGGAGAGCCGATGAGCCTGGTAAGAGATGTTGGAGAACTCTCTGTTCAGTTCAGCAAACTCCTGTTCGGCCCTCTCAACGTTCACGCCGGAGTCGTGAGAGACAACACCCTGAGGGTTGCTGTGTCGGATCCATTCCCGATTCCGCTCGTAGCTTGAATCAAGAGTATCTGCATCTGAGCCGGTGGACGCTCCCTGCTTCTCGTCCATCGCTTTGGCAGCACACGGGTGCAATGCCAATGACGCTGTCGTATACACAGGTCTGAATGGAAAGATGTATGAAGAAGAGGGAAAAGAATAAATGAAGAAATCTTTCACGACAAAGAAATTCCAGAAGCTAGCCGGAGATGACTGCTTTCCCCACCGGGGACAAGCAGAGCCCTTAACAGCCGGGGCTATAATTTATAGTAGCCAGTCCTTAAGCGAGTGGGCCATAATCGGCGAGCCGGGGAGAAGCCTGACTTCGATGGATGAGGGTGGCCACAAAAACGCGAATGCAAAGGCACCTGGCTTCTAGCCCGAGGCCCCAGGGCAGGCACAATCACATATCCACCCCACATGGATGTCTAGTTTGGTTTGGGGTCGAGGCTAAAAGGGTAGCTTATTTGGCGGTTTCAAACTGGGCACGGATGCAGCATAGCGCCCGCGTGTGTGCTCCGGAGAGTCTGTTGAATTCGCTTAGGCATTGTTGATGCTGCAGGCATTCGCGGCCTCGTGTGAGCTATCACGCACCACCGGATCGAAGATCTTGATTCAAGGCGTCGGGGACCGCTTCAGGCAAGTGAAATGTTAGAATTTTTCACGCTAGGCACAGAAGGTCGTATTCTCACAGGCAAACCGCAGGCATCGACCTTGGAGAGTCGGTAGTTGCCGACAGCCGGCTGGGCTTTGGAGGCCATGGCCCTGGTCAGTGGTGACTCGAAAGTTGCCAAGCAGCTGAGCGTCTGTCCTTCCAACTTCGAGAGCAATTGGACCAATTGATGCCTAGCACCCAGAAAGTGATTAATAATGGTAGTCGAAGTTGATAGCCATGAGTCAGAGGAACAGGCCGGTTGATGGGGAAGGTAGGGACAGTCCAGATGGAGATCGGGCTTTGGAGACAAAGACCGGAAAAATGCACGATTGGCCTCATCCCTTCCGGTTTGGGAACTATTATACGCCCAACAACGACAGTCTTTCTTTCTTTTCTTTTTCCTCCTGACTGGAAGCAACCTGAGACTTGGAGTAGATTCCGACCACTCACAGTCCCATCCTGCAGTCTGGGCTTGAATGCCACGAAAACGTGGGCTCGGAGCGCTACTGCAGTAGCCGCGTTTCTTTTTCTCACCGCATGACCAACGACAGGGACCCCTGGACAAGAGATGAACTTATTCACTTGGATCTAGACTGAGTTGCGTAAAGACTTCTACACTACATGCTCGCAGTGCATACCGTACTGCTCAATGTTTGCCACTTACATATAGTGAGGCAGGCATCGGTCAAGATGAGAATCTCTCCTACACTTCCAATCTCTTCCATTGGTCGTTGGACAGTCTAATGCTCATCGACAAAGCTACTAATGACCATTCACGGCCTGCACTTGGGCCGTAATATGATGTGACACTCAGAAATATGAAGCTGGTCATAGGGCGTGGGACGCCTTGTCATTGACTCGCCCGCGTCCGAGCTATGCCCTCCCAGGCGTCTACAGAGTGTCGAGAGTAGGCTAAGTACAGACGTGCCTGTTCGGTGAGTCGCTTGAAGATGTCAATCAGAGGAGGCCCGCGGGTGCGATGAAACTGGAAAAAGTATTTGCGTTGGAAGGTAGTAAGGCAAAAGAAAGCCAACCAGGCAGACCTACGGTATGTGCTTTCGGTAAGTCTCCCAGTACCTAGATAGCCAGGGATTCAACAACCGTTATACCAGAACCTAAGAGCCCTTTTCAGATGAATCAGTTAGCAGCCCTGGTGTTAACCACAACCCTTGTGCCGGCTTCACCACCAAACAGCGCTGAACAAGAGCTGCTTGAATTAAATTATTGCCGCCCAGACCGTGGTCCCAATAGCAAAGATACTTACCTTGCAGAAGGTTCAAGAGATTGGAAATCGGCATATATGCTAGGCAGCCATATATACAGAACAAAGCTTCCCAAAGCAATACACATCTTCAAGTCAGATTAGCCAGAATTCTCCTCCCTAATATGATGCCTCCCAACGATCGTCAAAAACACCTGATCGAGCGTCGTCTGACTGACAGAGTAATGCTCCACTCCCAACGTAGCTTTATTCTGCTCGAGTAGAGAAAACAGCTTGCTGATACTACCTCTGGGCCTGGCTTTGGGGTTCTCGAATCTCGTCGGCGGAACCGACACCATGAGACCTGACACGCCCGAAACGGGATTGATTTCGTCGGTGGTCCCTATCTCACGGGAAGATAAGCTCTGTCTATCGTTGTCGTCTCCTTCCTTCTCGTCCGACATGTTCACGGGGACGCTAAAGCGCAGCTGTCCATGGTATGTCTTTTGCTCGATCACAGCACCCGGGAATGTAACCGTCACCCAGTCGCGGATGCTCTCCATGTCCTTGTCACTGGTATGCGGTGCTTGCGCATGGACAATGTGCACATGGTACATGTTCCCGTATTTGGAGCGGAGGGCGTCCGTTGTCCCCAGGGCCAGCATCCGCCTAGCCATGATTCCTGCGCGATGAGCGAGAGCGTCTGCTTCCTCCATGGAATGTGTCGTGAGGACGATAGAACGCCCGGGTGCTACGGCCGCGAGGGTCTTCCACATCACGCGCTTCGAGGCGGCGTCCATGCCGGAGGAAGGTTCGTCGAGGAGCAGCACGGATGGGTTCCCCATTAGTGCGATACCTAGGGACAGTTTGCGCTTGTTGCCGCCGGACAGTTTCGCGGCCATGCGGTGTTTGAAAGGTGAGAGGCCGACGGCGCCTATCACTTCGTTCACGTTGTGGGTGATGTCTGGTACGCCACGAATACGGGCGTAGAAAATGAGGTGCTCGAGCACGGTCATTTGGTCCATTGCGTCGAACTGCGGACATACGCCGAGACGAGATCGGGCGGCAGCGCGCTGTCTCAGGACAGAGACATTGTCGACGAAGATCTCGCCGTCGTTGCGTGTTGGTTGGATGTCGCCGCGTATGAGGGAGATGGTGGTTGTCTTGCCCGCGCCATTTGGTCCAAGGAGGGAGAAGACTTCCCCTGTTCCGACGCCGAAGGTTACGTCCTCCACTGCCACAAACTTCTTGAATGTCTTGCTTACATGCAGCAGGCGGAGGTTGTCCTTAGAATTGGACACGCGGGCGATCTCTTCCGCAATGTCACGGTCGATTGGCTCTTTCTCTTCGACGTCGTGCGGCTTGGACTTAGGCCGTAGCCAGGAAGATAAAGGTGAGCCACCTTCAATCCAAAACAGCAGGGCAAATAGAAACATTGACTGAACGGTTAGGTAGAGGATGGGGCCCCCGTAGAGACCTATCTCACCTGGATAAGAGGCTATCTCACGGCCACCGTCGCCTCGACAGAGTATCGAGAACAGGTTCAGAGAAGTAAACAAGGCTCTGAGAAGGTTTCCTGACGGGGAAACAAGGGCAATGGTATAGTGCGTAATATCAACGTAGGTGTCAATCTTATCGGTTGGAGCGTAGGTCAACACGCACATGTACGCGATGAGGTAGACGAGAAACATAATGCACTGGAAGCCGGCGGCGAAGGCGAAAGCTGCGAGTTGTGATTTTGTAAAAAGTGATACTAGGTAAGCACACAACGTACTACAGAGGCCGTAAAGGAAGAGAACCACAAAGAGGTATTCGATATGGTACCAGATGTTAGACACAGCCCTGAATATGATGATTGCCAGGACGCTAGATGCAACCACAATGCAAAAGTCGAATGATATGTATGCTACCCATAGAGACAGCGCCCTGACTCCATTGCTGAAATGCAGCGCGCGGACATTTTTGAGCCGCTCAACTGTTGGGTATAGTGCAAAGAAGGCCGGATAGACTGACATGGCAAGCCCAAAGTATACAATAAGCTGGAGGATATCGAAGAAATCTGGCATCGAAGGGATGTCGAAAAACTCGAAACCGATGTTGATAGGCATTCCTGTTATAAGGCGATTAAGCACATTCTGTGTGAGCGCCGCAAGAGGAAGGTTTGCGTTGTCTCCTTTCCAGGCAATCGTAGGCTGCCAAAGGAAATCCCCAAGGTAAACACCACCGGGCGTCACGTTGGCATAGTTGGATGCTATGTGCTCGGTGAATTCGGCGTAGTTGTCAACCGTATGGAAGTGGGATGCATCGTTGGACAGCTGGCCTGCGCCATCCGATTCTCCTGGGTCAACAACGAGGTTATCACTCATTGAGGTAATGAAGCCCTGGAGAAGTTCTGGCCGTACTCTGTCTGATGGGCCTATTACTAGCAGTAGATCATCCCATTGGTCTGCAATGGTAGATTCAGGCGTCCGGTAGGAGTCCTCTCCCGAACATCCCGGCTTCGGAACACCCTGGAGAAACAAGGTCACCAGGCCAGCTGCAATAACAGGTATCAAAAAAGCCGCAAAATAAGGAAGGGGGTTGCGGCGAAGGATAGTCATTCTTTTGCGAAAGAGGTACCATGCCTGGAGAAACATGTCAATACGGCGACCAGTCATTAGATTGAGGGAACGAAGCTCAGAAACATCATCAGCGTTTTCAGACGCATTTTGCGTTGCTGGCTCGCTGCTCTGAACATGATCGAAGCCCAGTTCACTAGCAACCTTAAGAAATACGTCTTCAATCGTCGGCCCGCTAACTCGATATTCCGTCACGCTCTCTTGTTCCAGGTCCGAGACGAAGCGAGCAGCTTCTGCGGAGCTCTGAACTGTATACACAGTCTCTTCGAACTGGGTTTCCTTGCGCGTATTGCTGAATCGGGTTCTAATGGCCTGCTCGGATCCAGGAACATTGAGGACGTGAATACGATACCCGGAGCCTAGTTGATTTTTCAGCCCAACGCTCGATCCATTGGCCTTCAAAACACCTCTTGAGAGGATGGCTATATGATCGGCAAGTAAGTCCGCCTCATCCAGAAAGTGAGTCGTCAGAATAATTGTTCTAGAACCTCTCTCGGCCAGTAAGATATCCCATATCTTCCTTCGTGATATAGGATCGAGACCAGATGAGACCTCGTCGACACAACAAAATGAAGAACCACCAGTGAGCATCATGGCTAGCTGAACTTTTCTCTTTTGACCCCCAGACAGTGCCTTCGAGCGGGCTTTAATCTTCTGGTGAAGATCACAGTCCTTCAATAGCTGAATGATTTGTCCATCTGGATCAGCTTTTCCGGTGCACTTGAGTTGGTTGAAAATCTGGACATGCTCCTTAACAGTTAAATTATCCCAAAGCACGTTTTTCTGTGGGCATAAACCGAGCTTTGGTTCCTTCTTCTCGTAATTGATGTGGATCTCACCAGACGACAACTTGGTTAGCCCTGCAATGGCGTGCAGCGTAGTGGATTTGCCCGACCCATTGGCTCCAAGCAAGACCATAATCTGCCCTTTGCTGACAGCCAGGGACAGATTGTTTACTGCATGCACAGTTTGACGGTTGCTTCTAAACCATCTCCCAGTTGTCCGATAAAACCAGCCTGGTCGATATATCTTGCTGAAATTATGGATATTGAGTGCAGCAGACGTGTCAGAGTTGGAAGCTTGTCGATTCTTCGAAGCGGTACCGTATAGCACTCTCTCGACCAGAGCGGCCAGGATGGGATAGGTGATGATTTGAACTATCAATAACACCCACAGGACAATGCCAGGAAGGCTCCAAGGGTTGTTCGGCGCGGCTTCCGTTAAAGATGCGGCGAGATTTTCTCTCTCCCACCGAGCCACGACGATTGAGAAGTAAACGTAATTCATGGAAGGAAATAGGAGACCAAGAATTATGACCGGGCCGTTACTACTTGCTGGCACCATCTGGGCTACCACGCCTAAGAGAAGGCAGGCCAGCACGACAGAGATGCCGCTGAGCTGCGCCCTTTTGAAGAAAGATGCACCGAATAAGGAGAACGATGATAAGGCGAGGCCGGCCAAGATGTGATATACCAACGTAATCCCTGCGGATGTCCTGCTGTAAACACCAGCTTTCAGGATTGCCCCCATGATGATCCAGCCTGGGCCATAAACAATGTCCAGTGCGAGATGGGCAGCGGAAAATCGAGCGGCTTGAGACTTCCATGGTGACGAGTTCGGCATCATGCAATCTATAAGCTGGCTCATTCCCAATTCTCTTTCCATGGCGATCAACCCAGTAAGCTGGTACGTTACTCCCACCATTCCTATGAATATGGCAACGGCAATGACATCGATAATCGCTCCCATGTATCGGGTCCGGATTTGATCTTCGCGCTCTTCCTCGTTAAGAGATGTATACGGATATTCCAGTGTCTATGTCTGGTTAGCTACAGGCTGCTGAAAAAAGCACAGGGCGGCAGTACATCTTCCGGAAGAGTATCGAAATCGAATGATGTGTTGGTTCGTGCGATCGCCCAGTCAATGGACCGTTGGAACGGAAGGAGGTAGATTTGCTGGTCATTCTCAGAGCTGTCAACATCAATACCTTCGCCCAGGACTGCGTCTGTCCTTATAGTGTAGTTCCACGCCTCTTCAGGGCCTTCTGTCGGAGACGAGTAAAATACGGCAGCCGCTATGCATCTGGACATGCCCCGAAGCGACGTTCGACACAGCTCCCGCATCTCAGACTCATCGGAAAGAATGTGGACTTCTTGTTGGCCTGTCCTCGCCGGCTGCGCGACCTCGTTGATTACCTTTTCAATTGGGCCATCAACAAAACCATTGTTCACAAATACCAGCCTATTTCTTCCTGCGCCAACGAAGGTCAGCGCATTAGAAAGCGATCGGACTCGGGTAGGTTCGCCAATCCCGTAAGTTGCTGGCTCAATGAACAAGTTGCGCGCATAAGATCTGTATCATGTTAGACTGCGTTTCAAGTCGCATAGTTCATGCGGCTCGGGAGGTCCAGACATAAAAGCCACAAAGCACACAGGCAGAATTAGTGCTCGAAGCAAGGTCGAAAATAGAGGCCGAATAAGGACAACCAGAAGATTTTTGACCGTCAAAGTCCACGTCTGTCGCAAGAAGAGGGCCATCTTCTCCGTGAGCCCTATGGCCTCATGGAGTTGGAGCTAGGAACGGGAGAATTTCCCTGCAACTGTCAACAACGCCACGCGAGCGCAGTTAAGACGGGGTGAGTAAGTTTAAATGGCATGGTCTTCGGGCTAACAGTATTTATGCCGATCAGGATGAACAGTTGCCAAAGCCTTAGCTGGTTGGGTTAAAGAACCCCTGTTATTCTTGTCTGGGGGTCTCAGCCATACGGACGGATTAACGAAAGACATATCGCTAGGATACGTCCCCAAGACGCCGGTATATTGGCGAGGATTCGATTCGAGATTGATCCAATCGGTCCATGAGAATCAGATGAATCTTCCTCGAATCCTGTAGCTGACCAAGGCATGGCGCGGCCATAGTGGATTGGCGCCGAGAGCATCGGTTAGCTGGAGACCCCGCTTTGTGATTATCGAGCAGTCATGATGTTCGAGACATCATTCAAAACCGACTGACAAGCCTATACAATCATAGTAATCTGTTAGAAATGGAAAGACATGTGGATAGTGTCATGTTGACAGGAACAGTCAATGCGCACGGAAAGCTGCTCCCCGAGCCTCGTTCCGAAGCGCAATGTATGTGCTCACATGCAGGAAAAGAGCCAGGGACTCGCGACAGTCAAAGCGCCGAAAAAGCAACCTGGATTGTGCATTAAACCTACAGAAAGAATTGGTCCACATACCGCAATTCGTAAGTCTTTCGTCAGGACGCCTCGACCTCGATGCTTGAAACTTGTGCCAGATATGAAGTGTGCATACGCTCTATTCTTGCCATAAATCTCTTGACAATTGCCCCGAGACACTCGCAGTTAAGGGTTGCAATTTCCGGCCGTGCAGGAACAGCAGTCTCACAAAAGGTACCGACAAGATGTCATCATATTCGAAGGTTCGATTTACATAGGCTGGTAGTAATACAAGGGCAATTCAACAAGTCAAATAGTAGATGCGAATCACCGCCTCTTTCCGTAGGAGGTTCTCTGTCCTGTGACCGCGGACTTCTGGCGGAGGTAGTTCGAAACGATGTTCTCGACGCTGCGCATATCGTGCCTGGGTTGTCTAGAAGAGAGTGTCAGTCTATCCTCGAGAGAGAGGCCTTAAAGGCCTGCCAGTCCTGGTTCGATCAATACGCACCTCATGTAGTACAACCTCGCTCTCCTCTTCCTCTTCTCTGCCCTCTGGACGATCTCGACACTCTCGACATTCGGACTGAACACCTTGACCGACATTTCAACACCAACCCTCGTGAGCTCATTCCGCAGCAGACACGAGGTGTCGACCCCCTGGAGTTTAATACTCAAGCAAACACCAGAGAATGGATCGCCGTTCTTGAACGTCACTCGCACGATATCGCCGACTTTCACACTTCGACGGCTCCTTCGGTAGTCGAAAAGCGCTTTGCGTTCGCCCGTCGGATCAAGAACTGCCAACTGAGACTCCCTCACTGCCGCAATAGGATCCTTGCACGCGTCGCGAGCCGATGGAGGAGGTGGATGGACCTTGATCTTCTTAGGCGCTGCAATAATCGTTAGCCAATTGGAAATAGCCCAGGCTGACAATGCAGTGATCTGTCCATACCGTGTGGGTGGTATCGAACGGGTATTTGGTTGAGGAATTGCTTCGGCAGCTTTGCAGGGAAAGGCACTGCCGCTGGCTTCGGAGTGTATGTCGTAGAGATTGTTCGGACCTGAAAAGCAGATTGCTGAGGCTTTGCCGATAACCTCAAGCAGCCCAGCTGCCGGGTCAATTGTGAGAAGCTTGCCATGCTGCAGTTCGCGGATGATGTTGGAAGATCCCCGTAGTCGGCGAGAACAATTATCTCCAGGCGGAGCCGATTTTCTGCCAAGGTTCCACTGCCATTGGTCAACGACCGGCCAGGAACTTTTCTGCTGCCAACATCTCCGAGTCGTCGCTGCGGCACTCTTATTGCGAACACCTATGAGACGAAAAAACACTTAAGTCTACAGCCGTATAGCTCATCTCAGGGCTACTGCTTTCTAATCTCGCTACGGTCACATTCGGCGAACCACAATGGCGCTTAACACCACGGCCAGGGTCCTGCGACAGGCCCCGAGCACCCTCCAGCAGTCCATCAACCTGAACCAAAAACGCAGCTGGTCAGCAAGAAGTAAGGAAGTTCTCGCTTAGAAACACTCTCCTGTCTACAGAGAATATGGTGGTTGACTTTCCAAACAGCAATCCCTTCGCTAACCCCGACACAATCCCCGGAACTCGACCAGCTCCTCAACCGTTTCCGCGACGAGCTATTCATCCCCCATTCCCTAAAGGTCCAACAGCGAAATCTCATATATCGTCCTAGATTAGCCAGCAAGCTAACCGGACACCCGATCGTTGTGCCAATCGGCCCGAAGGAAGAGCCGTATCAACTCCGCCCAATCGACATATGGAAAGTCCCAGGAAAAAAGGACAGCCTCCGCGTAATCGCACTCATGCATGAGACGAAGGACTGGTCCAATCTGGTCAATTTTCTTCGCGGACTTCACAAGGCGGGTTTAAGTTTTCAACCTAGGCACTGGGAGTGGCTTGTTCGGAAAGCCGGAGGCTCAAACGGGCTGGGCGCCCTCGTAATGGCCGCGCAGCAGTCACATACTACTGGTTTTACGCTGAACAACGTTTCTCTCGTTGAGCGGCTGTTCTTTGAACTCCACCTGGCCGGCCAGCGGATCGAATTTACGGGCGAGGGCATCGCGAAAATTTACGGTCTCGCAAATTCATTTACCCTTTTGATGCATAACCCGCACCATGCTGTTTCTGATCTGGACAATGACCCCAAGAGGAGTACACTTGTTATTGGTACCTTATTAGAGCTAAGTGCTGCTCGCGCTCTGAGTGACTATGGTAGCAATGTCGACAAGGTCGAGTACGAAGCTGTCGAGAAGAAGGTCGAGTACCAAGCACGGCGTCTTCTCGCCAGCCTGAAGAGACAGAACCTCAGCCAAGTAGGCGAGGATTGGGTGTCCAATGACAAGCTACTTCAACGGCTCGTGCCATGTTACAATGGATTGAAGCTTGCTCTGCAAGTAGATGTCATCGCGCGCAACAAACAATTCGCGGCAGCGTTGAAGACGCGGACGAATGAGCTCGGAATGTTCATTGGAGACTTGAAGAAGGGGGTGCATAGACCTACAATCGGCCTGGTGCAGGCTCAACTGCTGCATCAGAACTGAGCTCAGGTTCTCATCACTGGTTATGATTGTACATTATACATTATTCTCTGAGCAATCCTTATTCAGCTTTACTTGTATTTGCGAAGAATTTTGTTTGATTCGTTGGCGCTTCAACATGGAAAGTACGCTAGATGCTGATTATCATCGCATATATAGACAATGGAGTCATGTCAAGGGAATAATGCCGAAATGAGTAATCCAGACCTTCAAGTGAAAGATTCATCGCTGATACATATTCACAAACACAGATCGAAAGTATTGTCGTCCCGAATGCGAGCTTGTACGGGCAAGGTTGTCTTGCCAGAGATTACAGAGGGTCCAGAGACCGTAAGCTGGCAAGCAGTCAGTGACGGTTTAATATTGGCTGCTGATGGAAAAGGCGGGAATTATACTTACGTGTCCTTGCTCGGTATCTCCAGATACACCGCTGAGAAGAACCTCGACGGTGCTCAACGGAGCCCCGAAATGGCTGGGCCCGTCGAAGCGGCGGTAGTCGAAAACATTGGTCTGTGAAATAGCACCAGCAACTCCAGGCCCCGTAAGAGCATAAACCACGCGGGCCCCAGTGAGGACCCTAAGATCAGTCAGTTGCTCGTGGTCGAGACGGGCGTCGGCAGCGTCATCAATACGATGAGCAACGCAAAGAAGGCGGAGCCTATCAAGAGAAAGCTCTGCCGTGGGTCCAACAGTGGCCAGTCGGCTGAAGAATCCTTGAGATGGCATATTTCCAGCATCAAGTGACCGCACCTGGAACCAACGGGCCAAAGAGGAAAGAAGACCGGAGTGCGGTTTCATGAACTTGGCGTGGTACTCAGATATCGTGCGAGAGGACGCGATGATGACAGTGGGAGACACTCCAACGGTAGCAAGAGCAAAGTCGACATTTTCTCCGGCAACAGAGTTCAAGGCCACGGAAGCGTTGGTGAAAAGGGCAGCAAAGATTTGGCAGAGAGGATACAACCGCGAGAGTGAGTCAATGGAGAGAACCAGGTCGTCACTGTCGAACCGTTGGGTACGGGGCAAAGAATAAATCAAGCCGGATATGCCTGCAACAAGGTTCTGATAGAACGAAGAATATCAGCGCTGGTTGACAATTACACAACCGCAGGGACTAAATTTACCTCTGGGCCATATTCAACAAATTCGCCCGACCACAAGGTGGACAAGGTGGGAGTTTTGGAGGTAGGGTCCCATTCGGGCACCTCCAGTCCAGCCAACTCTTTCTTCTCGTCCACAAGTTCATGCCAAACAGCGACATCTAGGTGGTCTTCGACTTCCTTGGGCACATCATTCCAATCCATATGTCGACTTCCTATTTTCGCAACCCAGATCACATGGGAAAGTTGCTGGTTATCCTTGGCTATCAAAGTGAGATCAAGGGCGCCCGCCTCTGCGATCAACGAGTCTGCCCGGGCCTTCTGCAATAGCCCGGAAAGTTCCTCCGCAGGAAGGTTGTGAGGGATGATGACGACTTTGAATCCATAGAAAGCTCCAGCTATTGACTTGTCAGCGGCGGCCGAACAACAGTGGCTACACTTTGATAATACTAACCGAAGATTGAGGCCAAGAGCTCAACCGAATCAGTTAGACAGACCGCGACGACTTCCGCGTTGCCCGAATGTAAACGCTTTCCAATTACATTGATCTCGGCCGTGATTTGGTCCAAAGAGTGTTCCACAGCTTGTTTCCCGAGCACTGTATAAATCTTGCTCTGCTTTCCGGAGACGGCGCCATTATTGTCAGTCTTTCCGCGAACTGCGGCCTTCCAGACATCACGCAGATCACCATTTCGTCCACTTGTCCACTTTGGCGCATCAGGATCTTTCACATTCAGGCCAGATCTGAGCGGGAATCCGTGCGGGGTCTCCAGACTCCTATGCGCAGCAGACTCACCAGGCTGTTGTACGGGAAAGGCAGTCGATTGACGGGCGAGCAAAAAAGGATGAATCTCCGGATCTTTGGATGTAACGAACGAGAAGACGGCGAAGGCGACAATAGCACCGGCAATCAAGCTAGTGTAGAGATTCCAGTCAGATAACACATCATTGAGCAAGCCGTCCAGCTTCTCAATCAAGGAGCCTTCTGATGCCATCTTGAGCAGATCAACCCCACACTTGGTTATTTCACTGCGAGAGCATCAATGCCCACTTTGCTCATCAATCGACTATAGTTATAGCTGAAGTGTTGGTTCTTGGATGACGTGAGATGGTTGAACGTCCGCCAAGTGGGGTCAGCGCGCTAAGACCGGACGGGAGACAGAGAGCATATCTCCTGATTAAGTAAGGTCGCGTATAGGCCTGTCCTTGACTCCTTGGTTGCCAGAGAAGGTGGCACTGTAACAAACACAAACCACAGCCAGAGTGAACAAAGAGGTGCACCATGATTGTGATCTAGGCCTTGTTTATAAATGGAACAATAACTCAAGTGATTCTCTGCCACTCAGTCAGGTAAGTCCAGTTGATTTCCTTGTTGCTTTTTTCTCGTCCAGGTAAGCCAACCACCCCCCGACTTTCTTGACTAACGCTTACTTCCAGCAGCTTTCTTCTTGTAAACTTCAATGGCGTCTCTTCTTCTTCCGTCGACACCCAAACCGATCTCTACTCCTACCCCTGCCTCCGAGAAATCGCAGACTCCTGGGAAATGGCGCCATCCACAATTGGATGAGATTGTGCGGCGACAGCACGCGGGGACTTTCGGGGACCAGAATGTGAGGAGGCTTGTATGGAATGGCTCTGCTCTATTCGCAACGTGGGCTTTTGGGGGTACCTTCAGATCCTAGTAGGTGATATCGGTCGAATGGCTTCCTCAATGAGCTGACATGGTCTACCACAGCTCTCAGTGGATCGAGAAAACAATTGAAATTCCCATGCACTCCGACCTGTCGCTCCTTATCATTCAATTTGTCTTTATGTTCAACATACTGGTTGCGTTATATCCCCTTTTTCGACCGAAAGATGAGATGCCCGACATTCCTCTTACCCCGACACAGCGGGCCCTTCTCGGGCTCAATCCCTCGACGACCTCGTCGCCTACCCCGGCGACGTCTTATGCAACCCCGCCAAAATACAGAGTGTCTGGATCAAGGACAGTTAGTCCAGCTAGTTTCTCCGGATCGCCGTTGTCCGCGAGTGCGAGCGCCTCGAGCCTCCGATTTTCGTCTAGCGCACCATTTTCCGCGTCTACCAGCCCATTACTCTACAAAAAGGTGCCAAATGGAGGCAGAGAGAACGTACGCAGACCTAGTTTTGGGTCGTCTTCGCCTTTGCGGACCTCGTCTTTCAAGGAGTCGATTGCTTTGCCAGCCACTCCTTCGCCGGCCGGGGCTTCGCCTTTGCGGGCCTCACCTTTCAAGGAGTCGATTGCTTTGCCAGCCACGCCTTCGCCGGCCGGGGGAAAGCGGGGAAGCTTGGGGGTGAGCAACAAGTGGCTATATGAGCGGAGCAGGCGTTCATCGATCAGCAGTGGTAGTTATTGAGGATCAGATTTCTATGCGCAAATGATGGCTGTTTTAGTTTGAGGTGTTTCGGTTTGGTTTTTGACTTCCACATGCGCGGCGCATGCAGCATTGCTGGTTTTTATTTTGCGGTTCCATTCTATATTTCATAGAAACTATACATTAAATGACCTTGTTTGTCAGAAAGCGAATTCATCATAAAATTTCTGTGTTTATAGTGACGTTATCGGCATTCTCTCATTAGTGGGGAGCCGCCCCGGATACAAGGTACACATCTCCAGCTTCGCAAAGTTCCCGCATTCCAAGAAAGCCAACATCACAACTACACTTATCCGGCGCGGCATCGAATTCAACGAGTCCATTCTTTGTGCCGCTCGCCTTTATAACTCTCTTGCACCCGAATACACGAATACTTGGGCTCGATAATTCATTTCCCGCATGAGGTCAAGGGCCCTCTGAGCGTCATCGGTGGATCAAGATGGGAGCCTCGGAGTCGAAGTTAGTCTTCAAGCAGGGCATCTTTCGCTTATCGGAGGAGAAGGAGATCCCTGCAGACGATCCATACTGGGCGAGGGTAACTATTGATCTTCCCGATTTCCGCGACTCAATGCCTGGATTGCTGACGAACGGGGTGTAGTTCTGGGAGCTCCCTGAATCCACGGAGGACGTCTTCAGCCTGTTCACACCAGCAGATATACGAAGGACACGCGATCGTGCACTAGGAAATTTCGAAACATTATTACTATCTGTAACCTCTCGTCTTACGGCTTTGAAAAACCATCCTTCCTTTCCCGACCCAGACCTCGCTCCCGACCGCGATGCGCTGAACTGTGTTCGGATCCTCACCCGCCTCCTCCCGTATGTTTATGAGGCGGAACACTTGGAAGAATGGGAAGAGAAGTTCTTTTGGACAAGGCGGAAGAAGAAGACCAGGGAGGCCCAGCTGGCTTCAGATGTGCTGTTCGATGAAGCGCAGGCGGAGGAAGAGCGAGATCAAGCATCCCCCCGTGCCACCGACTATGAAGACGTGAAGCCTTTAGCTGAGGAGTTGATTGACACGCTCATGGATATGTTATTCTACACGGACTTCACCATCCCGAAGCTGCCCTCGGCAAAGTCCAAGGTTTCGTACTCCATCTGGCAGAGTGGTGTTGGCTGCAATACTTCGATGGGCTCAACCAGGGAATTAGAGGACAACCGTTGCGAAGTCCTTCGATTGCTGCTCACTCTCACGGGAAAGGCGATGTACATGTCTTCGAGTAAGTTGACTTCTCTACTTTCTTCGGCTGAGGCTTACTTCTGTCAGGCTTGTTACCTGTTCAAGGTGTCAGAGCCATTACATACATCACAACTTGTCAAGAGAAACAAGCAGTACTAACATTGCTATGCTCTCTTCTGAATACAGTAAGCTCTAGTATGACACTAGCATCTTTGTGGCGACTGACGTTTGTCGGCAGGCGATCAAATACAACCCTGCTTCGTGGAGAGTGCCCTATGACCACGTCGTATGGAAGGACCCGAGGCAAATCTTGGTAATATACTGTCTCCAGTTCCTTCTTGTGCTACTTCTATACCCCGTTCCAGAGGATGGCCGTGGGAATCCGCCCAAGAACTATTATCGCCACTACTTTGGCCGCCTGCATCGACCGCAGGATTTCCAGTTCCTGGTTGACGGCATGACAAGGATCCTGAACCAGCCGGTAAGTCTCTCTATTATATATGCCATGAACTTAATTCACGTGTTCTGTTAGATGCAAGCGACGACAGCCTATCTCCCAGGCAGTCAAAAATCGGTAAAATGGGCACCGGAGATGCTGGTCCTCTTTTGGGAAGCTCTGCAATGCAACAAGCGTTTCCGGTCATTCATCATCGACTCAAACCGGTCTCACGACTTTATCATTCTCTGTATATTCTATAGCATCACGTACAAGTCCGATCCTGCAAAGCAAGGCGTCGTCCGGATGTGTATATTCATCCTGCAAACTATGAGCGTCGAGCCTACTTTTGGGAAGAGTTTGAACAAAAGATTCGAAGCGCAAGAAACGCTGCCACAGTCTATCCGAATTCCTGGCTTCAAAGGCTCGTATGCTGATTTCCTTCTCATAGTAAGTTCAGACCGTCATTGCTCGTCGCTGTCTCATTAGCTAACCTTCATAGTCAATTCATACATTGATAACTACCAGCAAGGGCAATCTGACGGCAGTTTACCCGGCGCTTCTTGCCGTTATCAATAATATAGCCCCTTATGTCGAACACCTGACGGCGGAAACATGCTCTAAAGTCTTACAATTGTTCACATCCATGTCTGCTCCCAGTTTCCTGCTGGCCAACGAGTCGAATCATGCTCTACTTGCTTCGGTACTCGAATCCATCAACGCGATCCTTGAACACAGGTTCACGAGTATGTGATCATCTGTATCCTTCTGCAATCAGCCAACTAACGATATCTAGAAAATCCCTTCCTGGTGTATGCGATTTTGAAATACAGAAGACGATTTGAAGCAGTTCGGGAGTTTACTCTTGAAAGTGGTCAGCAGGAGATCGAGCGACAAAATCAGCGAAGAAAATCTGAAAACCGGGATTCTATAGCCAGTCCTGTTCTTTCAGCTTCCGATGAGGATCCTCGCCTTTCCGAGGGCACCAGGTCACCTCTAGGCCGCATCCCAGAGGAGAATAACCCTTTTGCGATTGGTGGAGATGACTCGGAAGATGAGGGCGAAGGGCAGGACACGCCAGCGCGGGATTCCGCCTCCGTGCAAACATCACGTAGGCAGTCAATTTCATCTGCGGTAGATGAAAGTGTCCCATTACAGCTGCGAGGGATGTCAGAGAAGGCTCGAGGCAAGATGCCGGCCGGACAACCATCTTTCTCCAGGCAAAACAGTATGACAAGTCAAATTAGCATGTCGGCTGTCTTCCCTTCATCCTCGGGCGGATTTACGCCCACCACGGCTTGGGTAAGTACAGGTGTACTTTATCACAGACGTGTCATATTTGCTGATAGTCTTAGCTTGAATCTTGGTTACCGGAACTTCCCCTACACACAATCCTTACGATCATCTCAGCCATCATGCCGAGTGTTCCGGAAACCGTGTTTCAATCTTCCAGTACCGAGTCTCGTACACTGATCGGGAACCTGCCGACTTTTGCAGAAGATCCGATGATCCAGAGCATCATCGCCGAGCCTGCTCCTCCGCGTGTCCATTCATTCGAGTGGTCAGCCCTTTCCATGGGTTGGTACGAGTCACTGTTATGGGGATTCATTTTCTCCGCCGAGATGGTTGTCGGTTCCGCATCTGGTGCTACACCCGGCACGGTTGGTGTCTGGAATGGAACCTCGATCAAGCTATTCAAAGTGCAGGAGGCGGCCGCACAGGGCCCTACACTGCTAGCACCTAAGGGCGCTGTGGATGCGGTGGGAAGTAACCTAGTGCAGCGGATTGGGAACCTTGGGCTGCGACGGAGTAGCACGCAGACTGAGTCCCAAAGCAACTCAGGGCCTCCGTCAGTTCGCGAGGTCTGATAGAGCCATGATTATGTTCAGTTATCCTTTTTAGATACCTTAGGTAGCTTGTGTCTTCAATGAAGTCTATATTGAGTGGGACCATGAGTGCACTTCGACGGCCACGACCTAAACTTTCGCGTATCGAACCGAGGGCAAGAAACTTGGAGGCGGTATCTATCAACTGGCGTGTTCCATACCAAGCCTCAAGGCAATAATATTCAGAGGTGCAGGTGGGCAAATGCTTGCTTCTTTCTGGTTGCTGACAATGGATGCCAAGTCCACGGGGAGATGGGCCATCTCCAGCCAATCGATTTCCCATGCTCTCAACCCCCAGCAAACATAAAGCCGAAGGAGCTCATTCAGCTTTCTCCTTGATCACGGAACTCAATCTGACATTCGACCTCCCTTGGAGCGTGTCATTGGTTTCAGAAGATGGTTCTATCTCGGTCATTACTTGCCGCGGCCTCCGCGCTGTTCCTCGCGTTCCCGACCGAGGCCGTCGAGGGAGCCTCAGAGCTGCAGAGTGTTCTGAAGAACACCCACGGGAGCCCAGATTATAAGTATCCCACTGACTTCACTAGGGGAATTCTACCTGTCAGTTCCCCTGATTGGAAAAGCTTATTGAACCACCGGGATTGTACCGCTAACCCAACATCCCCCTTTCTATAGATCCCGGTTCACTCCCACAAGTGAGTCCATCTGTAACATTGGCGTGCCGCTGGTACCTAACTGTCTTTAGCGATTACTGGAGAGATGTTCCGTTCTACACGGGTATTTACTAGTGTTCTAGTCTCCATGAAGCGATGCTGACGGAGTACACCACCAGCTCTCTCGCTTGGTTGCATCTCGGTTGAAGCAGATGTGTGGCTGTATAACGGCACTCTCCATGTAAGTCCTACCCTAGAACCGCATGAAGCATGTATTGATTGAATAGGTCGGCCACGACGAGTCATCATTGACTGACGAGCGCACGTTCGAGTCGCTCTACATCAACCCAATTCTCGACGTCCTCGAGCGTCAAAACCCCAAGAGCAAATTCTTGACGGCCCCAACGAACAAGTACGTGCTATTGAGACTATTTTTCAATGCTCTCTAACTTTTACAAGCGGTGTCTTCGATGCCTCTACTGGCCAAACACTCTACCTCTGGGTTGACTCCAAGACATCCGGCCCTGAAACCTTTGAGGCTGTCATTGCCGCTCTAGAGCCTCTGCGCAAGAAGGGCTACTTGACGACCGTCAAGAACAACGAGACTCTCACCGAAGGTCCGGTCACTGTGATTGGGACCGGCAATACACCCTACGACATGGTTGGACCTGTCGCAGACCGCGACTACTTCTACGACGGGCCCCTTGCTTCTCTTAACGAGACTGGGCACGGCATCACGTCCCTCATCTCACCGATTGCATCGACAAATTTCGGCGCTGCAGTCGGTGATCTAACTCTGGGCGTCGACAGTGTTCTGAGCGACGAGCAGCTTGACACTATCCGATCACAGGTCTCCGTCGCAAACGATTTGGGCATTAAGGCCAGATATTGGGGTGCTCCCTCGTGGCCGATCAGAGCTCGCAACCTTCTCTGGACGACACTTATCAACGAGGGTGTTGGACTGCTAAATGCCGATGATTTGGCGGCTGCTGCTGGATACTTCTAGAATTTCGCCATATAGTGTATTATTAGACGAATACTAATGCCTGCTTGCCATGTCAAATAAGTCCTAGCAGAATCAGGGCCTAGAGACTTTCCTGGAATGTGAATTAAAGAGCCTAGACATGAGCAAGGAAGAACTGCGCGAATTCACCAAAAGCTGAAGCACGTGATCTCCTGTCAAAAGGAACACTTTGATGGGGAAGGGAGGCAACTCAAGGAGAGAATGGAAGTAAAAACACTAAATCACTAAAATCACGCACGACCATCGTCCCTTTTTGATTGAGTCCTTCTGGGCTCAGGCGGCGATGTCCAAGGTCGATGTTGCTCTGGGAGATCTCTTAGCCAAGGTGCTCCCGACCGATGTAAAGGTCACCATCCGCCATATCTCATCCACGCCCTCGACAACAACCGCTCTCTTCGCTCCTTCTCCAGGCGAAGAACCAGAGCCTACTTACTGCGAGAACCATTTCCTTTCTGCATCTGTTATTCCAGGAGAAAAGGGTGATGGCGCGGAGATAATCGTGTTTGGCATTGAGGTGTTAGTCTACACTACGGCACATCTGACCACCATTTTTGTGTCCAAAGCGGATTCCACCGGGCACCTGCATCTACTCAAAGCCGGACCAAAGAGCTCAATTCTTAGAAGAGTCACCAATACTTTTCTCTCATTCCTCGTACAGACCCACCAACGGCCTGGCGTTCGACTGGTTGTGTCTCTCTTCGCCCGGTCTCAGAACCAGTACTTGTTCCCTGGGAGCATCGAGAACGCCGAAAAGCATGTCCTCGACGATCGCGGGCTGATCAAATGGTGGTGCCGCGCCCTCGATCCAATTCTCCGCGAGTATGAGCCCGAATCTGCCTCGCAGGAGCAAGACAAGAAACACGAAGAATCAGCCCGAAGCTCAGCCACAGCGTACCTCATCGTGCCTGGCTGCGACAAGTTTGAGACCAGAGGGTTCTTCCCTAGTAGCGCCAGATCAGACGATAAGGATAAGCCTCGATGGCTGAATGCTTATCCTCTGCGCCAACTGTGCAGTAAACCGGATGCTCCGCCGCGCTCTCTGGTCCCTCGGTTCCCTGATGACCCGAAGACGCGCTTTTTGATTGACCTTGATGATGAACTTCCAGCGCCCGCAGATGATGAGACCTCGAGCGGTCATTGGAGAAGTGTGAAGTCTTTGGATCAGTTTTGGGAAATGATGTCTTTCCGTCAAGAGTGTTCTGCGGGAAGATTGGTTGGGTTTTTGTGGCTTGTTATCAATCCTCCTGGAGTTGTGAACTCGAATCCGATGCTTAGTACAACCGGACTTTTGGGGGTCAAGGACATCACTGCTACAGTTAAAGATGCCGCAAAAGCAGAGACTGTGCTACCTACTTCTGATGCCACGGCCAGATCAGATCAGATGCAGGTTTCAGTGATTTCCGAAAAAAGCAAGGAAGATGCTTCAATTCCCCAGACAAGCGATCAGACGAAGCCTCAGCAAGCGAACGATGGAAGTGCATTCCACTGGCCACAGGCAGCGCGAGGACATGCGGTATTGGACGAGGAGGACTATAAGAAGGCAATCAACTTCCTTCTCGAGCAAGACTTTTACAACGAGGAGGTCTCGTTTGCCAGCACGAAGGCATTCAACGACAAGGTCGCCGCTCTTGCCGACGAGCTTTGGATCGGCCAGCATGTCGTGGGAAAGAATGCCTACGAAGAGACTACAGTCTCGTCGCAACTGTCTGAAGTGCCTGCTACGATGCTCTTGGTCCGGAAACGTAAGAAAGATGAAGGCGCAGCGTCAGACCAGGCTCCGAGTGGATTTACAGAGTCTGCTGCTGCGCAGGACTCTGGTGTGAATGTTCTCCAGGGCAGTTTGATTCGGAAGAAGAAGAAAACCTAACATTCTCCTCCTATGATGATGATGACGAATTCCAATGTACAATATCAGGCCAAATCTACACGCTAATACCATGAAATTCTCGAACTGGAATATATTTCGTATTCGCATCTTAACAAAGACATCAACAGTCCCGTCTCAATCCTAACTCCCTTTCTAAGAATCTTGAGTCTCTTCAAATCAATGAATAAACATATTTATTCCAGACATCAGACGACTAAGCCTTGCTGCCTTGCCTCACCTTGCTAGTAGTACGGAGTAGTATGACTTCCGAGCGGGTCCGCGACTCCAAAACAGATCCTCATATTTGTGGCTGACGCAGATTCCAAACATGATCCGTTGTATCCGACTGGATCCTCGATCTGTGCTGCCTGTGCTCGGTGTGTCGGCATTATTCCGATCTGCTGCATGTTGCACTGAAAACAGGGCAATAATAATAATAATAAAACTGCGGAGCTGAAGCTGGCCTGACCTGACCGCGTCTTCTTCTCTTCCCATCTCTTCTTGTTCCCCTCCACTCCACGCCCGCATCCACGTCCGCCATAGAATGTCCTACTCTTGTCGCGTACGCCTATGATAACGCTTCAGTCGATTTCGGACGCCTTCGATTTGGCATCAGCCCGTCATGGCGCATTCCAGTGGTCGGTCGCGCTGGGGTGGATAGGTCTGGTCTGGTACTCTACGGTGACGACTGTTTGTGCTTTGGGTTACTACAAATTGTAGATTGCCTTGACTCTGTATTTCCTGCGATCTGTACTAATCTACTTGTTCCAGATGGAAGCACTACCTCCGACGCCCTCAGGAATCCTACTCCGCCACGGCTCCGGACGCTCCTCATGTCACCGTCATTCGACCGGTCAAAGGCCTCGAGCCGCACCTGTACGACTGCCTAGCCTCGACCTTCCGGCAAGAATACCCCCGCGGCAAACTTACCGTGTGTCTTTGTGTGTCCTTCCGAAGCGATCCTGCCTACGCGACGCTGGAGAAACTGGTCGCCGATTTCCCGCATGTCGATGCGCGTGTTTACGTGGAGGAAGAGGATCCGCTCCTACAGCCCGATCATGAACCCGCGTACGAGCTTGGGCCAAACCCGAAGATCCGGAATATGAGTCGCGCGTATAGAGAGGCGAAGGGTGATATCGTCTGGATTGCGGACTGTAATGTCTGGGTTGGAAAGGGTGTTTGCGGGCGCATGGTCGACGAGCTGTGCGGTCTTGGTGCGGAATCCAGCAAAGAGAATAAATTCGTGCACCATCTGCCTGTTGCTGTGGACGTGACGGGTACTGCTAGCTTGGAGGAGCAGCGTGCGCTCGAAACGAACGGCACTGTCAAAAACGATGGCGGGCAGAGCCCTCGCACGTCTGGTGTTTCGGCTATGGGAGGTGGCCGGCTGGAAGAACTGTTTCTCTCGTCCTCGCATGCCAAGATGTATACCGCCATCAACACCGTGCTCATCGCGCCATGCATCGTGGGCAAGTCGAATATGTTCCGGCGCTCTCACCTCGACTACCTTACTACCCCAGCCCCAACTGCCAGCCGCAAGTTCAACCCCGGAATCGACTATTTCTCAGACAATATTTGCGAGGACCATCTGATCGGGGATCTGCTCTGGAAGAACAAGGTCCGCGAGGAGAAAGAGCACGGCAAACGCCTGGGCAAACATGCGCTGGTCTATGGAGACCTCGCATTCCAGCCCATTGCAAACATGAGCGTGCGATCTTATATAGCGCGCCGGGTACGGTGGCTGCGTGTCCGAAAATTCATCGTCATGCTCGCGACCCTCGTCGAACCTGGCACAGAGTCAATACTGTGTTCTCTTTTCGGGGCCTTCGGTGTCACCACCTCATTGGCGCAGTACCTCCAGAACGAAGCGCTGGCCACTTGGACAGCCTTTCTCACTTTCTTTAGTGTCAGCATTCTAACCTGGAGTCTAATCGATTGGACTGTCTATATCATGCTTCACTCCGGCAAGACTGTCGAACGGGACGTAAACACCCCAGCATTTGCGCTTCCGCCCCGCGGCATAACTAGGCGCCGCTTCCAACATTGGCTTTCTGCTTGGCTGGGAAGGGAGACACTTGCCTTTCCTATCTGGTTCTGGGCTATTTGGGGCGGTATGACTGTGACCTGGCGGGATCGTCAGTTCAGGATTGGGCTTGATACGAAGGCGCATGAGGTTGGGAGTGGCATCCGGGTGAAACCATCACAATTGGAGGGATCTGATTCAGGCGAGAATGAGGGTGCACCACTTGTATTGGCCGCCAATGGTAAACCGAGACGCAACCGGCGGAGAAGTACACGAACAAAAAGGAGTAGAGGATAAAAGCTTAGGGTTAACGAGGCATGAATTCATTGAAGTCTATAGATAGTATATACGAAGCGAAACTTTTCACATAACAGAAAGAATCAAAAAACATAACACATTCCATCTCAACCCGCCTCACCAGTTCTCATTACACCACATCAAGACTGCTCACTGCTGCCCCCAGCTTCCGCACCCTGAGGCTCCCCATGCTCCAACAACCACTCAACAACCTGCCTCCCCTTCGTAAGCGGAACCTGCGGCGCATCCCCCTCACCCCCAACCTCAACCTCCATCTCCTCATCACCATCCTCATCCTTAGTCTCATTAGGGTTCGGCGTCTGCGTCGCCTCCTGCGCCTTCCAGTCCGCCCGTTCGGCCAAGAACACGGCGTCCAGGCCGGCCTCGTTCTTGATGGACATGTCGGCACCAGCGCCAACGAGCACCTTCACGCATTCTAGGTGCGTGTTTAGCGTTGCCCAGTGCAGCGGCGTGTTGCCCGAGTGGTTGCGGTGGTTTACGACTGCTTTGAGCTCGGCTTCCGTGAGCTTGTTCTCTGTTGGGCCTGTTGAGAGGACGGTTGTGAGGTTTGAGAGGATTTCTACGCGCTTGTTAGTACGCAATACCCCATGATAGTGGATGATAGGAGCGGGGCGTACCGAGATTCCCGTTCGCTGCAGGGTAGTGCAAGAGACAGCACCCGCTGCCGCCCTCCTCTTCAGGCGCGGAGTCGATGGCAGACGCGATGATCACGGAGTGCGGCGCGGAGTACTTCTGGGATAGAGTGTTGAGGTCCTCTTCCAGAGCGGCTGAGTCTCCGGCGCGCACGGAGTAGATCAGGTCATCGACCTCGTCGGGGGTTAAGGTGATCAGAGGCATTTTGAGTCTCCTTCTTGGTGCTTGGAGCTTTGGTTGATTGATGTTGCGCCTTTTGTGATGGCCAGATCAAATTATGCACTTGGTGGTGATAGACCAAGTCGGAGATATAATTTTGAGCCTGAGACTTGGCTTCAATGTATCTGTGAGATGGTTAGCCGGATTTGATTTGCTGGCGGTATTGTGAGTTTTTTCAATGGTGGGAGGTTTCATAGGCACCCTCAGTAGCAGCAGCTCCGATTCCAAGCCATCTGTAAGGCTGATGAGAGTGGAGGTTTAGTGGGAGCTGGTGAAGGTGATACTATAGACAGAGCATGGCTAGTAGCTCCATTCCCATATGGGAGGGCTGGCACCATACAGATAGAGCATATGTACCTGTCCTGGTGCGCTATAGAGGAGGATGTGCCTCCAAAGAGATGTCCCATGACCACCACCACATAGACTCGTGGACACCGAGAAACGCAGGTTTTACAAGGAGAACGGCAAAGGCTTGCTTACCTCTTTCTTTTCCAATTACACCGTGGTGCTGCCTTCGCGCTCGTCCAATATCAAATTTTGATCTTGAGAACTTTGTAAAGTCATGTGAGCTTCAAGGAAATTGACCAATGGCGGGGCATAGACGGGGAACTAGCAAATTTTGCTTATTTATTGTAAAATGAGCACAAGTACCATGAGCTGTCAGTGTGGCCGAGTGGTTAAGGCGGTAGATTCGAATTACCTCTTCCAGAGGATCGATTATCTACTGGGTTCGCCCGCGCCAGTTCGAATCTGGTCGCTGACGTTGTCTTTTTTTCTTTTTGGGCTTTACATACGCTCTCCGCCTCATCTTATCCTACTACCGCACGGTATCATCTGGCTCTGTAAGACCCTTTTTTTGTACTTTTCGAAAACCAGTACTACTAGTATTCTGCTAATATAGATTGTGCGCATTATGCGCAAAATTAGTCATCAGCCGCATTGCTGACCCGCGGAACAACGTTCCTCCCATCGAGTCTTCCGTATGCATCATGAACTTCGAGTTTCATACTACCAGCTGCCACAACACCGCGTAAGCACAATGTCTGCGAGCCATGCGAAGGACGCCCCAGCAGGCGCATCAGGATCCACATCACCGCCACCAGAAAGTACTAGCCAAAGCAGGGACCATGACCCGGCAGTGACGACAGAGACTGAAAACAAGGCACCCACAGAGGAACATAGCCCAGAAGACCAGGACAGCAGCAGAGACGACACACCACAACAAGAGGAGGAAAAAGAGGAGGGCGAAACAAAAGATTCAGATGCGCCACCATTACCGGACGAAGTACCCCCGCCGCTCCCCAACGAAGCTCCGCCGGGCGACGACGACGGCTGGGAGCCCGTTTGGGATCCCAATGCGCAAGCATTCTACTTCTACAACCGGTACTCGGGCCTCTCACAATGGGAGAATCCTAGGGTGCCGCAAGCAGCCACCGCCGCTGCCGCTGCCGCAGAGCCTCCCGCACCAGGCACAGAGGTACCAGCTCCGGTCGAGAAAGCCACGGCTCCGCTGGGCGGGTACAACCCTGCCATTCACGGCGATTATGACCCGACGGCTCCTTATGCGCAACACTATGAGCGTCAGGAGGAAGAACACCAGGGCGTGCCGGGGATGGGTGCGGTGAATGCTGCCGGCTACGATGCCGTTGGATCGTTCAATCGATTCACGGGTCGATGGCAGGCGGAGTCACAAAATCCGGAGTACCACAATGATGAGAACAAGTCGCGGCGACAGATGAATGCGTACTTTGATGTCGATGCTGCGGCGAACTCGCATGATGGGCGGAGTTTACGGGCTGAGCGCAGCGCGAAGAAACTGAGCAAGAAGGAGCTCAAGGCGTTCAAGGACAAGCGGCGGGAGAAGAAGGAGGAGAAGAGGAGGGCGTGGCTGCGCGATTGACCTTCTCTTCATAACTCTTCGTATCTTCTTCTGTTCCATTTTTGTTTATCCATTGTGATACCTACTGGGTTAGACCTCGAAAGGTTGGCGTTTGACTGACTGCACTGCATCACGGCTTGGCTTGGCATATCATATCCTCATTACTGCATTATAGAAGCGATGGCTCACGCCTCCTGTATTTTACCACCACCACTGAATCAAAAGATCTCATCATTGTTCATCCCGTCCCCAGCTTCCTTCAAAACACCCCTCTCCCGCAACAAAGCCACCGCATCCGCCGCCCACTCCTGGCACCGTCTAAGCTTCTCCTTCGGAAACAATCTCTTTGCCCCCTGGAACTGCTTCTTCGGCACCTCGATCTCTTCACAGATACTCAGGACCCTTCCAGCCTCGTAGTCCTGAACACTGACACTCCCGATGCGCGTCTTGGATAGGAACACCGGCTCGTCCTCGGGCTTGATGCAGAACCGGTGGTTGAATGTCATGCCCTCTTGGATGTTGCCGATCACGTGGAAGCGGTGCCCTGTTAGGGGTCCTTCTTCGGCCGTTTCGAGGAAGATGTAGTGGTGATCTTGGGGGCCGAGTGAGGTTTCGGCGATTAGGTAGGCGGCGTATGTTGGGTTGGATGGAGGCGAGGACATGGTTGTGTTGTGGATTGTTTGGGTGACTGGGTCTTGTTAGTCTGAGTTTATAGGTGCCGTGGGGATGGAAAGTATATGACTGACCTTATGCTGAAGAAGAGACTAAAATATTGCCTGGGTCGTTTGTTTAGATGGGGGCATAAGATGATGATAAGGAGAGTGGTGTTGCTCTTGGTTAGAAAGGCAGTCACTGGGGCTGAAATATATAGTTCGACCTGAGTCAACAAGGAACTGTTTACCTGACGCGTGGCTTAATCAAAAGCAATGGAAACATAAAAAAAGAAAAGGGAAAATGATGTACAGTAGGAATAAGTACAACAAAGGCACCAGGAGCCTAGTAATTGCTTCCAATCTAGGCTGCATACCTTACATCGAGCTGATCCTTCCCTGCTCTGTCTGCCTACTGAACCATCTCTCGCCAAGACACTTCAGTCCGGCTCAACTTCTCATCATAACCTGAACATCTTCCTACTCCTTCTTTGACCTTATCTAGACTAGATCATATGTAGATCACTTCCACGGCAGCCTGGAGGTGCAAAACAAACTGCTGCGCACACCGTGGACGACCAGTGAGAAGCTGATGGCGTCGCCACGACCACCCACAAACACAGTCTACTTCGATGACGGCCACAGAACCGTGAAAACAAGAAAAGAATAACTCACAGTTACTTTCGAGGGTTATTGCATTCAACCGTTCTCATCATCGATGTACTTACACCTCAAAGCTATATGTGGCGGCCGGATGTGTTCAGTGACACTCACGGCGCGGTGTGAACAATTGCGAAACAAATAGGAGCAGGTATGGGAAATTGATTGACAGAAGGAAAGAACTTGGAATGTCAGACAAGTTACTCCGTTCTAAGGCCTGATACTGGAGTCTGGACGCCGAATCACCTGACGGTTGAAACCGAGTGGGAAGCAATGGGCATGGGTAACGAGGTATCCAAGCTCTGCTTCAGTTCTGCGGAACCTGCCTGATCTACGCCCAGAAGTGGCGCCGACTATTACGATTGAGGACTATGCGCCAGGGCTTTCCGAGGCGACCTCCAGTCTCCGGACTCCCGCCTCCTAACTTATGTTAGCACTTTGTATCATGCATGTCCAGATAACTCGGGGCTTTCAAGGCTAAGCACGCACTCACTACAAAGCCACTTACCCGGAGCTGGCATCACTGAAACAGATACAGGCTTTATCCGGAAACGGAGTAGACTCGCGAAGCTGCGGAGAGTCAAAGATTGGGTGCGATGTCATTGCTAGCTTGCATGACGACTTACGTTCACGGCAAACTATGTCCGTGACATTCGATCCTATGACGCCCAGCAGCAAAAGAAGGACGAGCAGATGTGGGGCTAGGTCGCGCTATGCATCATTATACTAGATTTGTTAACAATGCTGGGGTTTTCGACACTAGGAGGATGAGCTTGAAAACGGATTATGAGCCGCATAAAGCCGAATCAAGAAGGGGGCTGAGGTTGTGAGCTGCAAGCCGTAACTCAAGTTCTGTTGTATGTTGACTATACACAGGTTGCCGAGCGTGGTACAGAGGTCAGAAACAGCCACCAACATAGGGCGACTCCCTGAAAGGGCCGAACTTTATATGTGGTTCCAGAGTGAACATTGTCAGGGGGTAGCTTCGCCACACTTCCTCCTCGAGACCTTGACCATGAACTGAGCTCCGTTTTCGAAACACCAGATGATCGACAGCAAACAAGGTTGGTGTGTCTATGATCGTCATCTGGATGTGCAGTGAGCATGCTGAAGGTTTGATTCCCTGTTTGGGAAATTACCTCGTGCATCCCTTGCGGCCTCAAGGTACAGGAGATTAAAAGTACTCTGTGCCACCCATTCACATTTGTCTGAGCTTAACTCTTGCAGCTGAGCTAGATTACCCTTTGCAGCGAAAGCATGCAATAGCAGAGCTAAGCGCTGAAGTGACTGCGAAGCTCCGGCGAATGTGAATTGACTACCCCCTAGCACGAGATGCTGCGGAGTATTCTGTTAGGGATGCACACGACGCTGCAATTGTCATGTAATCTCGTCGTTACTATGGCTCATTGCAGCAGCAGATGCCATGGGTTGACAGTGGACGGTTGACACTGTAGAATGGCAAAGAATAGCTGGGACGCAGCGTATTTGCCAGCGGTGCCGTTTGCATAAAGATCTACAGAACAGACAGTGACTACTCCGTAGGTAAGCAGCGGAATTGAAGTCCGAGTGACCGTCAGGCAGGCTTTTGACTGCCTAGCACTCCACATATCAACCTAGGTCATCCAAATTAAATCATCATTATTATTATTATTATTACATGGCTAACAGCTCTACACCACCTAGGTTCATATGATGCACCATCACAACCCCAGAACCCGTCGTTCCATGCCCATCACAATGACTGTATACGTACACCCCGGTCGAAACAATATACAAACAGAAGAACCACCACAGAAACACCGTCACCACACCAACTAACTCCAAGTCACACCTTAAACCCTAAACCCTGATGGAACAAACGAAACACAACCCCCCATCCCCAGTTGCACCTTGAACCCCGAATCCAAGTCCAGAGTGAAGTCCAACGCCCGCTCAAACTCCATACGCCATACCTAGCAAAAAAGAGAATCGACGTTTGCTGTTGTCGATATCGATACCGTGCTTGTGCTTTCACTGTTCCCAACAGAGCACCGGGAAAGAAATGCCAGAGGCGGGAAGAGGATCGTGCCCATGCGGCGCTCTTTCTTCGTTGCCGTTGTTGCTCCTGGGGCCTCTGCCTCTGTCTCACTTTGAGCCTCAGCTTCACACTTCCCGTCTCCGTCTCCGTCAAGGGGTTGCCGAGACGATTTCTCCTCCTCCGCGTGAAATGGCGAGGCAGATATCGACGTCTCGACTGTCGCCGGAGACGCGGAGAAAGATAGTGATAAGGCGGACATGGACATTGGTCTTCGTCGCTCGACATTCTGAAGACGGATGCTTCCCTGAGACCCAGCTCCGCATTTATCACCACTACCAGGGACGTTCTGCTTGTCCACATCTTGCGTCCGGTATTGCTGGTGATGGCTGCCGCTCCCCCAGAGAGGCGGCATGGGAAACCGAAAGTGCAGATTCGAGAAGGAAAGGTTCAATCCTGGTCCGGACATTGTTGGTCCAGAAGAGGAAGACAAAGACAAAGACGACGAAGACAGATTGAACAGCTCGATCATGGACTTTCGCCGGGACGTCGTGCGCTTGTGCTGTTTTTCTTTCCCTTTTTCGTTCTCATCTTGCTCTCGCTGCTGCTGGGCGAGGTACTCGTCCTCCTCTTCCTCGGGGATCGTCTCCTCGATGCAAGAGAGGCGTGGTCTCGTTCTCATCTCGCGGCTCTTTCTCGATGAACTTGTACTCTGAGTCTGCACGGGAAGAGGCGGGAGTGGTCTTGATGCCCGCGCGATCTTGTCCATGTCGATGTCTGCGTCTTCGATGTCCTCGTCGCAGTTATGCTCGTACCCGCCGAACCCACACTCGCATCCATAGTCTGAGACGGATACGTCTGTGTCGGCGGATGTGATGGAGTGGGAGTCGTAGTCTGAGGAGGAGTCGGGGTCGACGATGCGGATGGAGGTCGTTGTGGTGGTTGTTTGCGTTATGGAGATTGTGTTTGTGTTTGTGTTGGCTGTTGTGATGGTAGGATGGGGGCTCGGCCTGGACTGCTTTTCGGTGTCTGTGTATGCTGGAGGGGCGGTGCATGTGCATGTACATGCTGTGCTGGGATGGATGCAATCGGAATCCCTGTTGCTGCTGCTTGTCGAGGTAGATGAGGTAGGGTTAGGGCTTCGTCGGCGGCGATACCAGGTCTTGGTCTTGGTCTTGCGGGCCTGGATGCAAGACAGGAGAAGGGATGAGAAAGATGGAAGTGGAAGACAAGATAGTGAATCAGGCTGTGAGTCTGATGAAGATGAAGAAGGACTACGTGAAGCCATTGCTTCCATGTTTTGGAGTGCTAATGCACTGAGGATGGCAGGGAAATTAGGTCCAACGGCGAGATTGTATGTCTTATATAGACTCCAAGCCTTGGTTAATGGGACCCAGGGCCTCATTTGCTTTGCCTTTGGTGGCTACATGATGCATTGCATTGCAGATACTACGCAGTAGAAGCAAATATTATCAAGTAACTCTAACGATGCTGAGATAGAGACTCGTCGAACCTCCACTGTAGTTCATGTATATAAATTTCTGCTTCTACTTAAACAAGCAGCGTACGTTGATGAAACCGACGTCGAACTGTTGTTTGTTATTATTGATGGTCTCAGCAGTCTTGACAGTGTCTCTGCGTCTGTCATTAACATCGGCACGAATCTATGCAAGGGCTGCGTTGGTCGAGGAGAAGGTTACTCGTGCCTGCAAGGAACCCACTTAGGGTTATACTCATAGCCATAACAATCGTGCCCACCTAGTAGGGGCCATACAGAGGATAAATGGTATCAATATGGTTGCTATAAAGCGAACAAAATGCGTTTGAAGACTATAGACACTCAGGGTTATACCAAACATCAACCCAGCCTTTCCCCTATCTATCTATACAGCAAATGTACCGCAGTCTCATGCAGGTACAGACCGTCTCATCCCTTGTGTCCAGAAGATTAAGCCCGTCGTCGCAAGGGACGATGCCCCCAGCAAGGCAAACCAAACCTAATGACACATAATATTGCATCAAGCGTAGTAGCTCTAGCTCTAGCTCTAGGTCTACAGACCCAAACAAACAATCAGCCAGTCAATCACAGCTTACTCTGGGGCGTTGCCTTGTACAACGCCTGCGCCCTGCCCAGCGTCTCCGCAGCCTCCCTCTCAATCCGCGTCAGGAGCTCCCCGCACGTCGGCACATCATGAATAAGCCCAATGACCTGGCCCGCCGTCCACACGCCAAAGTCAACGTCACCGTTCAGAAACACCTCGCGCCCCCTCTTCCCACTCACGAACGGCGCAACCTCCGCGAACTCACCGCTCGTGCTCTCCTTCTCGACCTTCAGCGCTTGCTTCGTGACTTCGTTCGCGAACAGCCGCGTCGTGTTCTTCCATCGCCTCAGCACAAGCGCTGTATCTGTCTCCTCTGCGTCGACAATCGCCTGCTTCACTTTCTGGTGGATCGGCGCTTCGACGGTGCACATGAAGCGCGTCCCCATGTTGATTCCCTCCGCGCCCAGCGCCAGCGCCGCAGCAAGCCCATACCCGTCTGCGAACCCGCCCGAGGCAATGAAGGGGACGCCGAGATCCTGACGCGCACGGCTAAGGAGGATGAAGTTGGTGATGTCGTGCTCGCCGACGTGTCCAGCGCACTCGAAGCCATCGATGGACAGGAAATCAACGCCGAGTTTGACGGCCGATTTGGCGTGCCGGATAGTCGTGCATTTGTGCAGCACTGTGATATTTGCGGCTTTGAGTTGCCGGATTACAGGGCCCGGGTTGTTGCCCGCCGTCTCGACGATCTTGATCCCCTCGTCGATTATCACTTGTGCGTAGGCGCCGTAATCGGGTGGGACGAGGGCCGGTAGGAGGGTGAGGTTGACGCCGAAGGGGTTCTTGGTCATGGAGCGGCATTTGCGGATCTCTTTGCGGAGGTCTTCTGGGGTTGGTTGGGTGAGGGCTGTGAGCTGGAGGGGGTTAGTTGGAGTTCTGTGTAGATTTTGGTCGTCGTAGACGTACGATTCCGAGACCACCGGCGTTGCTGACGGCTGCTGCGAGCTCGGCGTATCCAACCCATTGCATGCCGCCCTGGACGACGGGGACTATGCGAATGAGTTAGTATGAACTTGGCAAGTGTAAGAAGTAGGTGGGTTTACTCCTGATCCCCAGCGCTCTCGTCAACGCAGTGTTGAAGCCCATGGTGCAGGTTCGTTGAAGCGGGGATATCTGATGCTGAGCAGAAGAAAGTATAATATTGGCGTTTGAAAGAGTTGAAAGAAGTCGATATAAGCAAGAAAGGTCTAGGAAGACAAAACGGCGAAACTACCGCGGACCTCTGCTGCGACTGAGGGGACGACGAGTTGCCGAGGTTCTTGTGGGGGTCGGCCCGACCAAGTTGATTTGTCTTCAGGAGTCGCTATGCGGGGATGTCTGGTAGACGGTGGTGTCAGCTTGGTCAAATCATATCCTGGGATCAGCCGAAATGGTAGATGGCCTTGATGGCACCCTGAAGTTGACTTGGTTGAGTGTTGGTTCGTAGACTGGCCTGCATGTGATTGATGTTGAATGTGCACGCCTGACTCCACCCCCAGCCTGTCAGACACCCCGATAATGCATGGATAACCAGCAGACTGTAACAGAGACAAGAGTATGTAGCCATATCAATGATCATATTCAATGCTGCCTGGATATTATAACGCCGTCTATGCTATACCTACCACCGAACTTTTCTATCTAATCAACCCATCATTTACTGCCCTGCTGGCTCGCGAGCCACGCCTCGTGCAGCTTCTTCTGCTGCTCCCAGGTCTTGCGGAGCTTCTTCGAGCGACTCTTCGCGAGCTCCTCTCCAGCGGCATCGCGGGTTGGGAGTCCCTCATCGTCCCATGCACTGTACTCGTTCGTTCGGAACATTTCCAAATGGCTGAGCTTTCCCTTCTCTAGCCTCTTCAGCGCCTCTTTCTCTTTGGCTTCTCGCTCACGTTGCTTCTGCAGCGCCTGCGCAGCCTTCTCCTCACGGGCTTGAATGAGGTCGCGGCTGACGGGGCGGACGATGGCGGGGAGGTTCTCTCGGTCCTCAAGGTAGACACCAATGTCGAACAGATCCACATCACGGACGCGGTCGCAGAGTGCGAGGACCTCCTTTCCGAGATTCTCAGAGTCCTGTAGCGAGGAAACCTTGGTGCGGAAGTTGGTCGCCACGGTAGCGTAGGGTTGGGCGGCCTTTGTCGCTGTCTCAGGGACAGCGCCTTGTTCGACAATCTTGGAGATCTCGCCTGCGTTGAGCGTCTTGGCCCGCGCATACTGCCGCAGAGCATCACGCATGGCTGAAAGGGGGAATAAGAATGGCTTGCCCTCTTCAGGAACGTCAATACCACTCCATCCGATTTCTTGCGTGTCGGCAGGTGTCTGGCCATTAAGACCAAGCACGTTGACCATATAAGTCACCCATCGAGCAATCGCTTCGACATCCTTGGAGTTCAACGTCGACTTATCGGCACTGTTGTATTTGGTGATAAGCTCAGAGATCGAGTTCATCACGCCCGGGGTGTTGAATGAATCGCAAAGGTGCTCGTTCACAGCAGTCTTGGTCGCCTCCAATGCCTCGGCAAGAGTGGAGTCCGTACCTGACGTGGCTCCTTGGAAGGTGGCAGGGTCTCTAACCCTAATAAAGAAGTTGTTCAGCTTGTCCTCCCACGAGTTGCCGGCGCTGACGAGCTCGTCGGTGATTTCAACGCCGTCCTTCCAACCGCCAAGCAGGAAAACAATTCGCAGACTTCGCGGCGTCCATTCCTTCCTCTCAAGTGCCTCGCGAATGGTTGTGAAGTTCTTTAAAGACTTGGACATCTTGGACCCCTGAATGGACAAGTGGCCCATGTGCAGGAAGTAGTTGACCCACTGGTCACCATGGGAGTGCCAGTACGCTTCACTCTGCGCCAACTCGTTGTCGTGATGAGGGAACGCAAGGTCGATGCCACCAGAGTGAATGTCCATCTGCTTGCCGAGACGGGCAGACGCCATGGCCGAACATTCGATATGCCACCCCGGCCGGCCTCGACCCCATGAGCTAGACCAGCTGGGCTCACCAGGCTTCGACGCCTTCCAAAGAACAAAGTCAGATTTGGAGCGCTTCTCCGTAGTCTTGTTGGCTAATGAGCCTTCTCCTTCGGCGAGGAGCTTGTTGTCCGAACGGCTCCAAGGCTCAAGACGGGCATAAGGGAAACCAGCGGCTTCAAAAGCATTGATATCAAAGTAAACCGAACCATCTGCCGAGACATAACCAAACTTGTTTTCCACAATCTTTTCCACAAAGTCGGCGACCTCCTGGCCGTACTCGGTCACTCGAGTTAACTCGTCTGGTCGAAGCACGTTCAAGTCATCCATGTCCTTCATGAACCGATCCTCGTACTTTCGCGTCAACTTCGTGAAAATTGCGTGATCGTCCGCGTCAATCGAGGAACCCTCAAGCGCATCTAGGTACGGCAGCAAGAGGTCTTGCGCATCGGTGTAAAACCGCTCCGGGAAAGTTCCTTGCGCGATCTTGTCGAGCTTCTCCGCCTCCGCAATAACACTCGCTGCTGACAGCACCGTCTTGATATGCATCTTGACCTTTGCTTCGTCATCTCCGGCTTTCTCATTGCCCGGTAAAGGTCCTCCGCTTAGAATAGTCGCATAAACCTTCTCCACCTCCTTCGAGTACTCCGAGGGGGAAATCTCGGGGCTCAGTAGCGGCAGGTTCTTCTTCAGGTAGGCGGCATATGCTTTCTTCGCGAAATCAAGAACTTCGTCGTCGATCGTAGGGTGAGCCGTCACGAACTTTGTAAACAAATGCTGTTGCCGAGCCCGGAGGATAATCTAACGCCGTTAATTGAGGATCCTGGAACTTAACTAGACATTATACCTTATCATCGACATCGGTAATGTTCATAACAAAATGCACGTTGAACTTGAAGTAATCCCGCATGATACGGCGGATAATATCCGTGCTGACATAGTTCCTAGCATGACCCAGATGCGCATCGTCATATACCGTTGGTCCGCACGCATACCATGTTACCTTCTTGCCCTGAGGGTCGATCGGAATGAACGGCGTCTTCGACTTGGTGAGGGAGTTGTAGACCTTCAGCGAAGGCAGCGATTGCGCTTCAGGATGAGCAGTCGGCTGGCGCCATGCTGGCTGCTCGCGCGCGGTAGCCATGAATCTAGAAAAAAATGATAGCTGAGAAGAAAGCACCGGCCGAGCAGATCGGATGGATGAAAGAAGGCGAAGATGCCGGAGTGGGAAGAGGGGCATCAAGAAGAAACAAAAAAGTGGGGGATCCAAGGGCCTAAGCAATAATAGAGGGGTTGAGCTGCTTCCACCAAAACGAGTCATCCTTGATTGGCGGCCTGAGAATTGAGGAACGAGCCGATCCATGCAAGGGGCGGTGAGTGTATCCTCCAATCAGAGCTGGAGGAAGCATGCGGCCCTGAGCCCTAACCTGCGGCCAAATCCGGCTTAGCGGGGAAGATTCCGTCTAGATCTTCATGATGTCCATCGCGAAGAGAACGCTGAGCTCCATTATAGCCTGAGAACGGCATTTGCGAACTCCTCCGTGCCAGTCTAGCTACCGCAGCGGCCCAAGATGCCTTCTCCCTTCCTAACCCCGAGCTCCCACTCCGAGCTGGGCCAGCTCGCCCTCCTCCATCTTCGCCGCGACAATACCATCCCGGCCGTCCTCCGCCTCCATGACGACGAAAACTTAGGCTACAAGGAAGGAAACGTAACAAACACCCGGTTTGGCTCATTTCCGCACAGTACGCTTCATGATAAACCATGGGGCTCCCAGATCATAGCCTCAAAGGTCGACACGGGCTCGCGCGGCCGTGCGAATCTCAAAAAGCGCAAAGCAGCCCAGCTCGACTCTCCCAGCGGAACCGGCGGCGATGAAGACGCCGACGCCGACAGCAGCAAACCAACACGCGAAGCTCCCGTCGCCGCAGCAAGCGGTTTCCTTCATATCCTCCGCCCGACCCCGGAGCTTTGGACCGCCTCGCTCCCCCACCGCACCCAAGTCGTCTACACTCCAGACTACAGCTACGTCCTGCACAGGCTCGGCGTGCGCCCCGGATCAACGCTCATCGAAGCCGGTGCTGGAAGCGGCTCCTTCACACATGCGGCCGTGCGCGCCGTCTTCAACGGGTATCCCGAGACCACAGATACAACCCAACCACCAACAAAGCGTCGCCGTCGCCTCGGTAAAGTATGCAGCTTCGAGTTCCACGCGCAGCGCGCCGACAAAGTCCGCGAGGAGATTCATGAGCATGGCCTCGACGGCCTCGACTACGTCACCCACCGCGACGTCTACCAGGACGGGTTCCTGCTTAACGACGCCGACGGCAAGCCATCCATATCCCCCAAGGCGAACGCCATCTTCCTCGACCTGCCGGCCCCCTGGCTCGCACTAAAACACCTCGTCCGGAACCCTGAATCCGGCGCGGAATCACCACTTGATCCTGCTGCCCCAGCCCACATCTGCACGTTCTCGCCGTGCATGGAACAGGTCCAGCGCACGATCAGCGCGCTTCGCCAGCACGGATGGCTGCATATCTCGATGGTCGAACTCCAGCACCGCCGGATAGAGGTTAAGCGCGAGAAGACAGGGTTAGAATTCGAGGGCGTCCGCGGCGCAAACGTGTTCCCCCGCAACGTCGAAGATGCCGTGCAGAAGATGCGCGTCGTCGAGGAACGTTCCCTCCGCTTCCGCGACGTCGTACAGCAGCAGGAACAAGAACAGGAACAGGAACAGGAAGGAGACGAAACCACAACACAACCGCAAACCGCGACACAAACGCCATCAGACCTACCCACATTCACACCATCCTCCAATCTCGAAAACATCCCGCCCTACGCGCAGGGCCGCCTTGTGCACCGCACCGAGCCGGATCTCAAAACACACACTTCGTATCTTGTCTTCGCCGTTCTGCCGCGCGAGTGGACGGAGGAGGATGAGCTCAAGTGTGCGGAGAAGTGGCCGAGTCAGCTTGTGGATGAGGAGGGGGTCCAACCTGCTAAGGGGAAGAGCCGGCGGCAGATGAAGAGGGAGGCGAAGGCCGCGGGTGGCAGTAAGAATGGGAATGAGAATCAGGGGTAGGAACAGACTTAGTTGGGAATATAAATGGTGTGACTTTATAGCGATTAGACATACAGAGGTACGGGTTTCGGTTCAATTCAAGGCGTGGATATACCTCCCTCCCGCATGGGGCCGTAGACGGGATGATGTGCATAAGCTTACTCAGGTCAGAGCAACGGCAAATAGATCTCGATGTCAGGGTACAGTACCCTAAGTGTAAATTCTTATTTGTCATGCGGCTAGAGCGCACATCTATATACAGAATATGAAAGGGGATATCACATCATATCAGAAAACCGCAGGGAAGTATCACTAGTGTTCTGCGGCGAACGCCAATGGAAAGCAAGAGAAGACCAGCAAACAGCGTGGTCGAAGTAGTAGAGTTGATAAAGGCTGAGGTTTGTGGACGAGCAAGTTAAAGATTATTCTCCACCCTGAACTTATCCCACGCTTCGTTTAGTACGCCAAACACTGCACCGGCAATCATGCGTTGTTCGGTTGTGGCATTCGTTGGGATCTATGAGAAGATTTTTCAGTTACAGATGTTAAAGTAACAGAGGTGGTCGGCGTCGTCATACCTTGTCGGGATGCACCTTGGCAATGCCCTTCATGTACTGAATCTTGACCTTGTTCGGCATGATCAACTCAGACATGTTGATCTTCTTCCAATTGGCCTCGGGCCACAGAACGGTATCCAGACTACCCAGGAGAGCGCGCAGATTGTCCTGTTTTCCGCCCTTCCACGCTGCTAGACGCGCATCGACAACATCCGTTAGCGCAAACTTTTCCTCGTCGCTACGTTCCGCGGCCTGGTTGGCTTCACGGAGACGATTGACAGCGTCGAATGATGATGCCGAGTTAGATGCTGACGGTGCCCCCTGCAAGTCGTCTAGAGCAGATGTCTTCTTCTTGGGCGCCGGGGCCGCGGGCCGTCTTACAGGATTAGACGGTTTAGGCGCCGGCTTACTGATGCCGGCAGCCTTCTCGCAACGGTTGCGGCCTTGAATACTCGTGCTTCCGCCATGACCGTTCTCCACGGCCTGTTTCCACATTTGGGCGGCGTCCGCCCATTTTTCCAACTGCTCTAGGGCCTCTGCTTTGCGCATCAGGGCTTTGCCGTAGAAGTCCTTCATTGGTTTGTGAGGCTCGCCGTTGCAAAGATCGATGGTTTCAGACTCGCCCTTTGCAGGACCAATCAGTTCTAAGATAGAGTCTGCGTCGCTGATTGCTACTTTTGGCTCGCCAACTTTGAGAGCGGTCATCGCACGGTTACTGCGGATAACAATGATAATAGGGTGTTTGTCGGGCAGAGCTGAGAGTGCGGTTGAGAACGCCTGATGAGCAACGGCGTAGTCACCTCTCTTGTAGGCTTCAGCTGCCTTTTCACGCTGGGAGTGTGCAGACGAAAGGGCACTTTGTGAAACCCGTGGTATGACTCGAGGAGGAGCTTTTGGCCGCGATGGCAAAGCTGCAGAGGGCGCCGCCTTCGTAGGCCGTGGAGCCGACGGCGGAGGAGTTGGCTTGGCAGTAGGCTGTGGAGCTTCGGAGTCGAATAGATCGATGCCCTGACTCGGGGCTGGTTGAGGTGGCGGCTGGGCAACAGGACGTTTTCTCCGCGCAGGGCTAACATACGCCTGGGCCGACTGTTCTTCCACCGCTACCTTCGATAACCGGGACCTTGCATCCCTCGGTTCTGGTGCCGGCTGTTGACGCATGAAGGCAGGTTGCTGTAGACGCTTCTCGCGAGAATGACCTTCTTGCCGTCGAGGTTCGCTAACTGTACGTGCAGGTCCCTCTTCCACCCGTGTAGGGTTACGGCGGGGCCGAGGCGGGCCGCCGGATTCTAGCAGAAGAGCCTCATCCGTAAAATCATTGCGAGGCGGCTGCGGCTGCGAACGTCCTCTGGGAATTGTTTCAGGGTTAGAAGCTTCTCTCATCCACTTTGGCTGGCCTGGATCATGATCTGCGTTGAACTCATTCACTACTTGCTGCATCTTCTTGCTGCCAGTTTTCCAGAGCGAGTTTGCCGTCTTTAGGAAACTGGTACCGAAATTTGCAGCAATCTGGGACGGATCCATGTCTGCAGATGAAGGCGAACTGGCTTCGTTGCGACTTTTTGGTGCGCGAGATCGTTCAGCCTGCAACCACAAGGGCATATCGGGATCTGGTCTCTGAGTCCGGTCTCGGCTCTGGCCCGAATGATTGGGGCGACGCTCGGTGGGAGCCGATCTGTTCTGAGATCTCTGCCGAGATTCTTCGTGCGCCTGAGTTAGAAGGAGACCAACAGCTGCTTGCACGTCGGTGCCAGACGATGTCATCTTTAGAGCCTGGCTAGCTTTGTCTGCGGGGAAGCCCATATCGACTAGTTCTGCAATGGCACGATCTACCCCGCTTGTTGGCTTAGAAGAAGGTTGCTCTTGCCTCTCAACTCTAGGGGAATCCTTCTTTGGAGGCGCTGGCGGTGGTAGCTCAGAAACGGGCTTGCCCAGCAAGCCCAAGAAATCGTCGTCGTCGTTTTGAGAAGGCTGGGGCGCAGGTTGGGATTTAGGCTTCAACTCATTGAGACCAAAGGGATCATCGTCATCATTGAATGACATGTCATTGCTCGGCGGCAAAGGACTCGGTCCGTTGGCGTTTCGCGGCCCACCAGTCGACACCTGAAGGGAAGGGCTGGGGCTTGGGACAGGGAAGTGGGTAGATGCATCCACGGGCGCCGAGGCGTTGAAGGCGGCGAGCAGATCATCTTCATCCGGAGACGATGTGTTATTCCGCGAAGGCGTCATACCAGACGCAAAAGGATTGTTGTTGCTCCCTCCTTTCTCCAAGCTATTCCAGAATTGAGCGTTCTGCCCTCCATATTGTGATTCGTATCGTGCGCGATTCTCTGCTTCTTTCCTGGCCTTCTCCTCTTGTAGCCTTTTCTGTTGCTCAATGAGAGGGAGATTTTTGGTCGTGTTTGAAGCTCCAAATGATACTAGGTTTGCGAAACTGTCTCCGCTGGGAGTGGCAGGCTTGGATGGGGGGTTCGACGGTCCGGAGGAGGCAGAAAGGGGAGTAGATCGGCCTGAGGTGTTGCTGGGTCTGGCGGCTGGAAACAGGTAGCTGGAACCCATTGGCGGAGGCTTAGGGGCATCATTGGGAGAGTTGGAGCTCCAACTGAGGCCGTTCAGGTCATCCATTGTAAATGAGTGCTTCCGTGGTCTGGACATTAGGCACTTCCGACAACTTATGGGGCGGGGTATTTTAACTCACCACGTGGTGCGAATCGGATCGGTGCAATCGAAATATATGCAATTTTATAAGGTAGAAGTCGACATTACAAAAGTCGTTTCAATAACGAGCGAATCCATCAACCCTGTAAAGCTGTAGATGGTTCCCCTGGAGCGTCATGGGCGGCTATGTGGCTCGTGGGCGTGGCTGATTGCGTGACCGCTCGCCGATAGATAACATTCTGCCGGATTCTTACTACCGCCTCACTATCTCCATGTCACGTGTATCTTGCATATCAAACCGGCCAAGCTACTTGAACCAGGAACATTGAGCGATTGGAGGAGCCAGCCATCAACGCGATGGACAAGCTAGGGTGCGGCATTTAGTTTTGAAGCTTAAGTCGGACATGTCTATTCCGATTGCATACGGAGTGTCAGTTGGCAAACGATCATCCATGTGCGCAAGCGACGCAGGAACCTGGATGTAATGTTCTTCTTCCCTGGTAATGGTCCCTCAAGGCCATGTTTATTGACACCAAACTACTCCGCAAGTTCAAGCCTAGGTCTGGAGTTGAATCGGAGGGAGTATCACCGATTCACCAAGATCACAGATGATCGAGTCCTTCTAGCTTTTGGGGCTTCCAGACTGTCCCTCCCAGACTTCGGCGTCGGCGGAGGTGGAGTCGCAAGGTTGAATCATGGTCAAGCATGGACTGATTTCAATCTGAATTTGATGAAGTGGTGAAGGGTGGACCGAGCATGGACCATTCTGGATCGTGGATGCCAACCCTTTAATCATATCGGATTGGCGCAGGCTGTATTTTCCAGCCACCCGTCGGACATGTCAGTTCTCATTTCCGGGTCAATAACAGCGACAGATTGCTACGGCGCTTTATTTCCATCTCGATGAACGTTCAGGGATGAGACGGGCTGCGAGCAAGGATAACAAGATCGATCCGATACCGAAGAAACGCCGAAAGGCAATGGCAAGGCGATACAAGTTAAGTTTGTACAACGTTCGGGTCCAAAATAGCGTCAACCTTGCTCAAAACCTTGAGGATGATGTTGGTCTAGTGTGCTGCGCGTAAGAGCCATGCTTCCACGAGCTCAGCCATGAGGGCAAAACGGCCGCGGCGCCGCGCGGAGCCGGAGAGAGAAGGGGCTCCACCAAGGCAGACCATTGTCGTTAGTGGCTCGCTCTGACTGGCTTGGGCGCCCAAACTTTAAAGATGAAACCACTCCGGCCGACCCAGCACTGTGGCCAGGGGGCACTGGCCATGTCGACCATATAGACGAGTCACGGAGGGAGGGTGACAAGCAGCCACGGGTGAGGGGTCTGCTGTATGTAACACAGTAGTGGTCCGTAATGCATGTCTATCATTCTCGTCATCAGTACTTTTGAGCTTCCGCTGTCAAAAGTACAAGGTTCCAGAACTGGAGACCGGGGTGGGCCCATATTGAAGTCTTTTCACGAGGATTTGATTTTGGTTCCTGTCCTGACTGATACAAATGAATGATACCCAACTCCCAAGTCGAGGCTGACGGGATTATTAATGCGCAGGGCTGTCACTGTCAGTGTCATATATGAGTACGTAACTAGACCGGCCCCAGTGGAGGCATAACAAAGGATGCTATGACCATGGAATAGAACCTTCATCTCCCGTGCCTTGCATCATGGTGGGGAGTCGATAATCCGCATCACTATAGGCATATACAACCAATGGTCCAATATACAGCCAAAATAGATCCCATCGGGGCCTTTGCTGTGTCTGTTCAGGAACCCGACGATCGGCCTGCGGTGTCGTCGCAACATGGCACTGCTACCATAATCTACTGTGTAATGGTGTAAAATACATGTGACGAATGATGCTCTAGGTATCAAACGCTAGCACTTCGCCGGCCTCCAAGCTCCCCACCTCCCGACTCCGAGCCTCGACGAACTGACGAGTTATAACCAGCTATCCCGGTCGTCTAACGGACCTGCCCTTTTGTGCTCGACAACTGTTGGAACTTGCGCGAACCTCCTTTTCGCCCCGATCATGTTCTCTTAATTCGCCTTCCCCTCCCAGCCTGGTCCGACCGCCCCGCCCCGGCCTCTGCCTCGATTTCAGGTACCACCACCCTCTCCCCTCCAGATTCTTGGACCCTTCATGGTTCCCATCTTCTTTCTTTCTCTCTGAAAGGCCGGAAAAAGCACTCCATCGATTCAAGGCATGGGAAAGAGGTGAAAAGCCATCCAAGCGAAAAAAGATATCTGAAGAAATCCCATAGCGGGCATCTCTGCAGATCATCATCTTTTCTGTACCTCCCCTCCCCTCTCCTCCCTGAGTCTGACTCTGGCAGCCTGGCTCTGTGGTGAGGCTGCTCAGCCGAGTCTATGAGTCCGTGAGTCGATTTGGGCAAGTCCACTAACTCGGCTGCTCCCTTTTAGCTTGTGCTGCTCGGCCGCTTTCTTCAGGACAGACAATCCCATTGTCATCCCGTCCTCATTTTCTCGCCGTCCCCCTCCCGCACTGACCCCTGCACGCCTCCGCCATGGGTATCTTCAAGCGCAAGGACTCCAAGAATTCCATCCAAGCGACGGAAAAGGACGATCGCGATTCTTTCGTATCCGTGAACAGCGCTCGGACTTCCAATGCGTCCTTGAGATCTCCCGGCTACAAGGGCAGCGGATTGCCCTCTTCTATCCCTGAGCTGGCAATCGCTGGCCCACCTGATCCAGCCCTAGATCCGGCCGCCTACCTGCGTAGCATCCATGCTATCCGACAGAGGTCACACGTTATTCTCCGAAAAGCGAAGAGGAATCAGCTTAATCATTTCGATGTCGACATGACCAAATTCGCCGAAACGGCGTCCTATGTGGTTTCCATCATAAAGGTGAGCCGACAACTTTATCCTGCTTTTACTCCACCACGATTTGTTTCCTCTCCATTCTGTATGCTCACTATCGTCACCTCGCGATGTAGAGAGATTATGCGCCCGATTACTCGTCGATTCCTCCCCATGGCCGTTGGCAACATTTCGACGTGGGCGGAAGACCCCGTGTCAACCAACTGCTTCAGTCGTGGCCTAGCACCATCGACGCTCAGGAGCGTACCCGACGATTGATCGATCTCTTTGTGGTGTCGGTGCTCCTGGACGCTGGTGCCGGGAACAAATGGTCATACAAGTCCAAGGAGTCCGGTAAGATCTACTCGCGCAGCGAGGGCCTTGCGGTAGCCACGCTGGAGATGTTCAAGAGTGGGCTTTTTAGCAGCGATCCAACGGAGCCTTGTCAGGTCGACGGAGCAGGGCTGAAGAAGATTAACGTTCAGGTGCTGGCCAAGGCATTCCAGCACTCGGAATCCAACCCACTGGCAGGCATTGACGGCCGTGCGGGACTTCTGGTGAGACTCGCGGATGCATTAAACCACCAAGATTTCTTCGGTGTAGATGCGAGGCCAGGAAACATGCTTGGTAAGGCTGCGCGAATCAGGATTCATTGTCCTGGAGCTAATCTTGACAGACTACCTCCTTTCACACCCATCCACATTAGCTTCATCCGTGCCTATTGTTCCGATCACGACACTATGGACGGTTCTCATGGACGGCTTCGCTTCTATATGGCCCCCTTCCCGGACACGAGTTGATGGCTTGAGCATTGGCGACGCCTGGCCATGCTCCGACCTCCCCCGATCCCCTCCAGCAAACCCCTGGGAATCCATCGTCCCATTCCACAAGCTCACCCAGTGGCTGTGTTATTCGATCATGGTCCCGATGTCGAAACTGATGAAGATCCACTTCGCTGGCAGTGAACTTCTTACTGGACTTCCCGAGTACCGAAATGGCGGTCTCCTGATTGATCTGGGTCTGCTGACTCTCAAGCCGGCTGACCTTGAGCGGGGACTTGCGGCATACAGAGACAATGCGCAAATCAAGGGACAGCCTAGCATGGAAGTTGTGCCTCTTTTCTCCACTGATGATGATGTGGTGGTAGAATGGCGAGCACTTACTGTCGGCTTCCTGGATGACCTCCTGGAGGAGGTCAATGGACAGCTGGGTCTTCTTGGAGAGGATCAACTCTCATTGGCCCAGATGCTTGAGGCCGGAACATGGAAGGTAAATGACTGATCACAAACACCCGCATCGAGATATGCTCCTGCTAACTGATACTTAGGGTGGTCGCGAAATCGCCGAAGTCTCAAGGCCAAACACGAAAGAGCCCCCTATCATGATCCGATCCGACGGCACCGTATTCTAATTTGCGCCTGATTCCTGCATTCTTGCCGAACTTCCGTTTAAGATACCAGACGCCAGCGTGATGTTAGAATAGCTGGGGCTCATTTACGAGATTTAACGACCATGGTCCATGTGTACGCTTTCTATCCTTTCAATCCTTTTCTTCTTCAATTCGTCCATCCACTGCTTTCTTCCATTTACTTCATATTCCCCACTTCATCTTTCAAGTTCTATTCGAGTCGATGCACTATTGGTGTAAATAATTCTTTTCGGCGAGTTTCATTCTTGTATACTTCTTGAGCAACCGAGGCAAGAATTAGTGACTTCGGTTCTTTCGGACGGACCTGGCGGCGGCGACACATTGGGGACAAGGTTGTGACAACCAATCATTATAGCTGTTTCAATACAAAAAAAGCATTCGAGGTTCCAGGTTGTTGGCATTTCACTAAAGAATCGATCATCGCAAGTATACACGTGACCATCCGGAACGTAGTCGGGCCGACAATGTGACGATATGACGAGGCTGGTCCAGTACTCCGTAGTGATCCCTCTCCAACGCATGCAAGGCCGACCTGCATTGTCCTCTTGAAAGAACTATTACACTCGGACCTCGCTTGCTGGAATACCAATGGAAACCTGAATCATCGAATGCTGAACCTGCCGCCCTACAAGAGCTATTTCCGGCTTGGACGGCAGCTGCGGGGTACCGGTTGAACCGAGGACATCTCCAATTGAGCAACAATGGATGGCCGGAAGAAGAAGAGAAAGGTCCTCTTGATGGGCAAGAGTGGCTCGGGGAAGTCGTCTATGCGCTCGATCATATTCAGCAATTACGTTGCCAAAGACGTACGGCGGCTGGGAGCCACGATTGACGTTGAGCATAGCCATGTCAAGTTTATGGGGAACCTGACATTGAACCTCTGGGATTGCGGAGGGTGAGTATTCTGTACCTCTGATCGGTTATACTCCAGATTCTGGGGCCCCAGCTGATTCAATCACTGTATAGCCAAGATGCCTTCATGGAGACTTATCTCGCCTCGCAACGAGGGAACATCTTCTCCGACGTCGCAGTCCTCATCTACGTCTTTGACATCGAGTCGCGCGAAGTCGAGCGCGATCTAGACACATACATGGCCATCATCGGCGCATTGAGAGAATACAGCCCGCACGCCTACGTCTTCTGTCTCGTCCACAAGCTCGACCTCATACAAGCCGAGCACCGGCAACGCATCTACGAGGAGCGCTCCGCTCTCATTCGCAGCCGCACCGAACATTTCACAATTGATACGTTCGGGAGCAGCATTTGGGACCAATCCCTTTACAAAGCCTGGGCGGGAATAGTCCACAAACTCATCCCAAATCTTACAGTGATCGAACGATTTCTGCACGCTTTCGCCAAGCGCATCGACGCCGAGGAAGTCATTCTATTTGAGCGCTCCACGTTCCTCACAGTCACCTCCGTCTCATCGGAGATTGGCGATCTGAACCCGATATACGACCGCCATGAGCGATTATCGAATATCATGAAGGCGTTCAAACACTGCGCCGCTCGCAATACACATACAACGCCCGCCTCGGCGGGGTTCGTCGTCATGCACACCAAAACACCCCAGTTCAATGTATTCCTCGGCCGATTCACAGATAACACATACATATTCATCGTTGTACCACCAGGCGAGGCAGCATACAACTGCGCCGTGCTTAATACCATGCTCGCCAGAGAGGGCTTCTCTAAAGCTGCAGGTGCCGTACATGGAGACAGCTTCCCGCTTCCTGCGGCCGACTTCCCAGATGAGTCGAATAGCAACTAAACAACCCACGGCGGCCGAATAGAAGCCTCCGCCATCATCGGTTTTTTCAAAAATTGATACGCCCCTCCAACCCATTTTGGGAAACGAACTGAACCAACTTGCCAACCACTGGCCTTGTCATTGAATACCACCTAAGCTAGCGACTATCTTGAGATACCCAACCCAGTCTTCACCCAGTACGATGGGCATATGTATTGTTATGCGATATAACCAGAAACAACAACAGTGCATACAGTTAAACTAAAGAACAATAGTGTGTTGTAATTGTTGACAAAATAGCTTACATGCACCACTTTTTCTCCTTCGTCCCATCCACCGTGCAAAAGGAAAGGGTGTAAGAACACCTTGTACGGCCTGGAAATGAAGAGCACGCTTTTTGTAGCCTGGCTAACTGATCCTCTATAGTACTTAGACTATTCAACTCGTCCTACTGTTCAGTGGGCTCTTACTGGTACAACGATATATACTCTTACCCGGGACTTCCGAAAATGTGGCGCCGGTCTCAGATTCAAACCCTACAAGTCAACAAACGAGAATTTACCGCAATGCCTCTTATGATAGATATATTACCTACTATATTCCATCGGATTCGACACGCCGACCATAGCATGACATGGTGTATAGACGGGCAGAAGCCAGGAAACCAACCCAACAAGCACAAGAAAGAAAGAAAGTCCATCTATTTCAATTCCAGCTCAACTGCAGTATGTATAACGCATGAAGAAGGGATGCATGTAAGAAGAAAGAGAAGAAGGAAAATGAAAAGCTCTACATCATTGTACATCCGGCATTCGGACAGCAATATCACCCGACTGCGTGATGTATCGGACCCAGGGCAGGGATGGGTATTGTAACTACAAACACAAACACGGTCAGCATGAACAGTATCCAAGCAAAAAATGCAGATCCAGCATAAGCATAGGATGGATGTGGGAAGGCGAAAAACGAACCTTCGGCTCCGTAATCTTCAAATACCGCACCTGAATACCGGAAGTCGTGAAATAAGGAATCTCAAACTTGACATTGATCGGCCTTTTCGCCTTCCCCTGGTGGGTGCCGCCCATGCTACCACCAAAGCCACCGGTCATACCACCGCCCACCTCGTCGTCGCCCTTGACGGAGGGCAGACCCAGCTCTGCGCGCATGAGGAACTCCTTACCGCCGCCAAACTGCTTGATCTTCCAGACGATGGCGGACTTTTCAGGCGCATAGTGGACTGTGCCGATGTTCGTGCGGAAGCGGGGGGAGTCGGCGTCGTCGGGAACGGGGACAAGGATCTCGACGTTGTTGGCTGTGCTACGGCGCTTGAATTGGGCTTTGGCCTGGATTGCTGGGTTAATATATCTTGCATGAACTGGGTGGAATGATGAAGGGAGACAGAGCGCACCTTCAACATGTACTCAATTCGAGAACCAGAGTGCGACTCTACTAGGCACTCGACCCAGATGAGAGGCTTGACTTGTGTGTTAAGGCGGTAGCTCATCAGCTCGAACTCTCCGTCCGGCGGAATGAAGCTGATTGTGCGGTCGTTCTCGAACCGAGATAGTCGGACACACTGGTGGAATTTGACGTCCTCCATCTCGACAGCCTTCCCCCGCGTTGCTCGCCCGGTTGTCTCAAACATGACCTTGTCGTTCAAGCCGAGACGAAGCTCAGGCATTCCACTCAGGTAACACTTCATCTTGACAGCACCCAGGATCTCTGACCGCAGAACGTTTCCAGTAGCGGAGACAAGGAGGTTGAGTGATTCGACAACATCGAGGAAGACTTCGTTCTTGCGGTAGCGGATGCCTTCGCTTCGCCAGGAGACAGCGTTTGTGACGGCGATTGGTGGTCGGGCTTGCACTTCCAGCTTGTGTGATTCTTGTGTGATGTACCTGGAAGCCATAGTTAGTTGTGTTCTATGACCTGGTAGGGGGACACGCCTACTCTTGTAGGATCTTGCTCTCCGTTGTTTGTGGGTATCCGAAATCCATCATCTCATCGAGCAATTCGTAGATGATAACGAAGTTATCCCGGATACTCTCCTCTTCCAGCACCTTAAAGTATTCTGTGAAGACCTCCACAATCTTGTGGAGGAAGAGGAGGATTTCGGTCGCATTGGTGTTTTTCTTGGTCAAGGCGAGGATGTAAAGGTTGCTGTGACGAATATAGAGGTACTACCGCGTAGTTAGTATAGAGAACAAGTTGGTAAATATTCAGACTCTCTGTTGCAGCACCCAACCAAGTGCCGGCCAGATAAAGTTCCCAAGAAGCGCTGGTGCAGCATGTAGAGAGCCCAAATCCAGCGACAATGCGGGTTGCGGGGAGCAGCGGGGAGCGCGACACGTAAGGGAAGCCGTCGCCAGTCGCAAGCACCAAACCAGACGAACGTACATTGATTCCTTCGTGGGAGAAACACGGAGCTACAGCGGAGCTTTCTTCTTCGGCGTCACTGAGTAGGATGGGGAATTTCTCGACGGCGGACATGGGAATGTCTCCGCGATAGTTTCGGGCTAGAAGGGTCTACAGGAGAGAGATCGGTCAGCACGAGGGACTTCAGCGGGCTGCAGCCGGAGAGGAATTGAGGCAACGTCAAATGTATAGACTGGAATAACTCACCTTGCCCTTCAAATCAAGGAAGAAAAGGGCCGACGCCATCGCGAAGGACGAGGGAGGTATGGTCGGGGAGGTGAAGGCGGAGGTCAGGAGCTCTTGGACGACTTGAGGCCAGCAAAACCGCTAGTCGACCGAAGCGGAGAGGAGAGTATGCGCTCGACGCGACGACGCTGGTGGAGGGAGACGGAGAGATTGTTTATTTAAACGTTTCGAGGTGAAGATCAAATCTATGATTGCGTAGCTTTAGTCTTGGGACTAACCCCGTAGCTCGAGGGTCCTGGTAGCCCGTCTTGGGGCATTGACGGGGTATACACAGTACGACGACTACGTGCAGACATAAAAACGGCAGCGCTATCCTTGAAGCACTCGAGCTGAGATCTAGATTTAAGAGCTAATCACACTTACATTATATACTTGTCAACTCAAATATCTACTATGAAAATTCACGAGACAGCTGGAGTCGCTGAATGTTTCCTTCTAGATCCCTGATCACGTGCGCGGGACAGACATCACTAACCCAAACAAGCCTAGCGGCATCAAATATAATGCTCGATTTTCTTCCGCGATTTGATTCCTTTTTCTTTTCTTCTTTGTACCATACGCTCCCAATAGACAGTTCAAGCTAGCATTAATCCTTTACTGTGATTTCCGCTGCCAGTCCTGACATTCTGTTAGGCTGGCAGCGGGCTTATTATTGCTTACTTGCGATACAGTGGTGCGAAGACTATGCATCGTAGTAACGAGGGTTCCATAAGAGCTGGCCGGGTATTTTGCGCTGTTACCCGGGCGGTGTCAGAGGAACCGTACATCCCTATATAATCAATTGGTATTGGTATACTACTGAATTGGTATCGGTCCGCTTCCAAGTGTGACTGGGCGTTGATAGAAGAAGCCCGAGGCTCAAGGTGGTAGAATGGTGGTATTTGCCGTCATATTAACACAAGCTGATAGTAAAAGTACAAATAAGATGGTGATATATCCCCGTCCTTCCAACACGTACAGAGAGAATATCCAAGCACTAAAATAACGCCTTGAAAATGCTCCTGCGGCTATTTCCCCAACGAACCCCCAAGCTATACCGTAACCTGGAACCCCAGAGGTGCTAATATCCGCTCCCGCGCCACTTTGTTGGCAACCAGATTGCCCTTTTCCAGAGAAATAGCACCGACGAGCGCGTAAAGTGTGTGTGCGAGGACAAGATCGACGCCGGAACCGTCGAGGTTCCTGGGCTGTCAAAATGCGTTAGCTGATAGACGATCTAGAGGCAGACTGGTTATCGGGCAGGCTCACCTTCCGAGGACTCCATCGGAGAACTTTCTCTAAATCGTAATGCCGCGCGACGTTGGCAAGCTTCGACTTGTCCGTAAGGAACCGCTTCGTGTTGTCAGACAGGTTGTCGAGGCCCTCCAGCGCTGGGTGCTCGAAAGGCTTCCGCCCGTAGCGGTCAGGAGCCGGTTGGCCATGAGTGTTCGGAGCGCTCTGTGCCAGAGCAAGCGAGGCCTGTAGCTGGACAATACGTTTCCCTGATTGCGAATCATGATCAGCCGATGAACCTCCGCCGGCGCACCACCGCCACAAGGAAGAACTACATACCCAGGAAAGCCAAGCGGTCGTTGAAGCCTCTTCGGCCCTGATCGAAACTCTTATGTGTCACTGCAAGCCATTTGACCTCATCGGTGAGAACCTTGTCGCCGCCCTCGCCGAGGAAGCGAATGTAGAACTGGTCGAGAAGTTGAGGGTCGTTGTTGACGGGGAAGTCGGGCCTTTTGGAGTCGAAGTGGAGAGAGAAAGGAGCCTTCATGCGAGGAGGCGTGTACGACCATCGCGGCTTGTTTGTGTAGTCGACTGGTGGCTCCTCCGCGGGCGTGGAATAGTTACGGCGAGAGAGAGGGAGCGCGAATTGAGCCGGGTAGAGGGAGGAGAAAGAGCGGCATGCAGAGCAGGAAGCGGTCCTGACCGCTCGTACGGGGAGCAATGAGGCCATGGCGTAGCGAGGTGTCGAGAGACAAAGGCAATTGATCTGTTCGGGTCTTTTCAGAATGGCCGGCGTGAATTCGAGATGTCTGGAAAGAATTCGGAGATAAGGCGCTAGTCCCAGATAAGCATAGTGGATTCAGGTACCTTCTACATCGGCTGCCACCACTATTTCCGGTTATTCCATGTATCCTGTACTTGTGCTACTCAGGAGCAGAATCTTGGGAAAAGCAAATCTTTCGCCCGCTCTGGATATCGCAATTTGGGCTGTCTAGCATTGACTGTCTTGGAGAGCTGATCCCAGCTACGGCCATGATGACGGGGAGACCAACCCATGCCACTACTCCCAAGGTACTTTGTACTTTGTACGTTGGATTTCCCCCAGTCAATTGGAGAATTCTGTGGTATCCTTCACCGCAATATGATGCTGGTCCAGGGCGAGAGGCATAGGTGAGTTAACCCTGTCAGTGTCACTCTAGACGCCATGGAAGCTAACACCCAATGAGACCACACAAACATGCGCAGGCGACACCTTTGGACATATGCATGGCAATATCTACTGAACAACGACCCTCTAAGCTGCAGAACAATTAAATTGCTCTTGCAATTCCTGGAGCTGTCTGGATCTAGCCACCTGCACCCATCACGGAGAGAAGACCGGCGGTAAGCGTCTGGTCGAATTTTCGTACGTTTGTTACCGGGTGACATCCGGGGTCTGCAGCAACCTGACGCACGCTTCTAGAAAATCGCCACGGTGGAAATTCAAGGTCACAGCCGACGGGGAATTATTGCCGTACCCTAGTTACTCATGAGGCGTTCGCTACGGACGATTGGATTATGGACGCGAAGCAAGACAAGTGTGAAGCGGTCCTGTTCCATATGCTGGGAGATGATGCTTTCTACTCAGCCGACATTGAACTGCAAGGCGACGCTACTGTTCTAGACGTGGATGTATGGAGCCTTGCTGAAACCAAGCAGATTCCCAACCGCTTGCCCATTTATTGGAAGGGTGGATTTACCGCAAGGGTGGTTGATCACAGACCTGAAGTCGAAAGAATGTTCTTGGAGAGGAGTGTTTTTGCAGCTTCCATTGCTTGAGGGGCTTGCTGCATTGAGTATATTCTTTTTTGCGGCTGGCCGCAGCTCGAATGCCGACAACAGGCCAAGAACGACCGTCACCAGCCTCGGTTCGAGAAAATGGCCTTGACAAGGACTGTCTTTTGTCCTCATTCACCCATAGTGAGGACATCCAAAATGGCCTTTACCATAAACGTTGTGCGACCCTGGTAAAGGGCTCCGGCATGAATCATGAAACCGTCCACGTGTTCGTGTTGCTTGCATTATACACCGACCATAGCTCAGAGGATTCTGGGTTGTGCAAAAGCCCATCTTCGCCTTCTTGAAGCTGCGGTATATCTGCTCGTTCTGTGGCAGAACAGCCGCAGGGCCAATAAGATCAAGGGCCTCTTGCCGGATAGTGGTCCCGTTGAAGCCGAAACAGGCCTTCATGCTAAGGCAGTCGAGAGCAAAAGACCGAACGGAGACGAAGACACCCTAGACGCGTGTGGGTCATCTAGCATTTGCCCATCGACTTGTTTCAAGGACGGGAGCTGGGCTTGCCTCAAATACCCGCGTCCGTGCACCTAAATACAAGGCAAACCAGTTGTGGAGAGAGCTCTCGAATACGCCCCCGGACCTGCACCCTTGGTGCTTCTAAAATTTACAACCAGAACGGTCCGAGGGTTCCGGGGAGCTATGGGCGTTTTGTTAGGGCAGAGAATTGTTTCAGAAACAAAACAGAAAGCATGAAGCAGGCAATAGGGTTCAGAAAGAATATAACGTTTCCATCGAACAACTCTCGTTGGCCACTTGCCCGCCTGAAGAGTTCGGCACTGACCAACCATTTGCGTTCTCTCGCAAGCTCTTCTGCAATGAACCGAATCGTTAGGCGCGTGGTGACATTGAGCAGGCGCCTGCAAGCCTGAGGGACAAGAAACGTACGATCGCGCATAACGCAGGCCTGCTGCGCCTCCTAAGGCAATGACATTTCTAGCCTTGAAACGGCTGCAATATTCCCCTGTTGGATCTTCTCGGAGCCGGCCGGTATCTAAGTGTAGGTACGTACGTAGCAAGCACCTTGTCTAACTCGCCTTCCGTCGGGCCCTTGCAGCAACCGAGAAGACGGGCTTCGAATTGACGCCATCTGGGTATGAAGATCGACTGAGGAATGGTCCCTTCCCGTGGATCGGACGGAAGCTGTCGTCAGTTCTGGCGGTGTACAATTTGTTCAGAGGGGAAACAGTCTTTTGGGATCGTGGGCGCGCTCAGATTCTGGGTTTAAATAGAGGTTTGTCTGGTCGAAAAACTGCCATGGATAACTTTCCTGACCATCGTGAAGTGACTTTCCCCGTTTCGCCCCGGTCCAGATCGCTATAAAGCTAGGTAAAAGCAAGCTCCTCACGGTATATACTTCATCTCGCGTCAATATCTTTTTGAGCGAAATTCCCCGAGAAACACTCCCACCTTATTATCCACATACGTCCCCATACACCATGGCGTCAGAATCGAGCTCAATAATGTCCATCACCATGCACTGCGTCATCAACCCAGGCGACCTCGTCGCGTCAACCTTTGTCAATCACTCCGTGCAAGATCCCCCATCACCTCGACCCTATCCTCCGAACCCACCCAATAGTCCAGCCTAAATGCTGCAACGGGTGGGTTGGTAGGGCTTGGGATTAACTGCAGGTAGACGAGTACGATCATAGGTATGCCCATCCCTGAACTTTCGAAATGCATACAGTGAATGCTAATTGACTGTGCCGAGCAGAAACCGAGCGATAACGGCCGTGTATACAACGAAMGATAATGAAACGGACTGACTGTACCTGTACATCTCGATATGCATGGTTAATGTGATGGAGGACGATGAGAATGGGAACCGCGGTGATGATTGTGCGCACATGAATGCTAAATGATAGACTGTGCAGTGTCATTATCGATTGACATAGCTGAGGCGAGGAAACTTGGAAGGATAGGGTGCGGATTCTAAAAAGCTTACGATGGTAATCAAGCCGGATGGTTTGGTCGTCGCTTTTGTGCCTGTTTGCTAGCACCGCACTCGATGAGTTAGTGGTACCATTTGCATCCCATGCTGCCGAATAAATTATCCGTGGTCAGAGCAAGTCTTTTCCCCAGAAGTCATTGGTGTTTACTTGTCTTCCTTGACTTCTTCCGGTCATAATTCCATCAGCAGAGGCGTAAGCCATCCGACTGTACCGTAGCTGCCCGAGATCCTACATCTCAATAAGCGTGAAAATCAAACCAGACTGTCCGTGCGTAATTGCAAAAAGTCCATTCAGAAGTACAAAAGACCTGTATAAAATATATAGCAAGAAAGAATTTTAGAACGAGAAGAAACTCATAGGTATGACACAGGGAAAATCACAATCACAATCACAGGAAAGCAAGCCAAAGAGCGCTGACAACGCTAACACCAACAACCGCCCAGCCAGTCTGGATAACCTGCTTGTTGGTGATACCACGACCAGCATCCCACATCAAGTGTCGAAGCCCGTTGAATGAGTGGTAGGTGAAGGGGAGCGCGAAGAAGGTCTTGAAGCTGAGCTGCGCGGCGAGCGGGAGGGCAGCGAACGCAGCGGCCAGAGACGCGGACTCGAGGTGCCAGCCGAACAGGGGCGCAGCGAGGTAGGCGGTTGCGAATAGGTAGAGGGGGCCAGAGAGCATCAAGCCGGTGATTCGGTTCAGACCACTCATCAGCCAGGTGATTTGGGGGCGGTAGATGGTGAGGTGAGGGGCGACGGGGCGGCGGAGACGCTGCTCGGCGAGGATCTTGGTGGGATCGCTGGTTTTCGTGTTGGTGGCGGCGAATCTGGGTGTGCTTGTTAGTGTCGTTCTATTGCGGATGTTGTTCCTCCTGCTCCGGTTCGAGCTTGTTGGATGTATATGACGTCTCGATCGAGGTCCGTTGTACACGCGCATCAACCAGGAGGGCCCGGGGAACCCATTGTAAAGCTGCAAGCGGTCCGCTCACCTAGTCTGAATCATCTGGACGTTCCTGCCCATGGCAACGGCGGCGGGGGAGGCGGCGTTCATGAGAGTCCAGCGCATGGCGTAGGGCTGCTGGACGGCAACTGGGAGGAGTTAGAGACGCGAATTGCCGAAGCCGTGGAATTGGAGGTACGTACGCCGTCGCAGCGACTGTTGGGCGACCTTCTGAGAGAGCATGATTGTGTTGGTATGACCGAAGCAACGACAAGGAGGCTGATATCCAAGCGCAAGGGCGAACGTCGTCGTCCAGAAGAAAGTGGCCTTGAATTCCCGATCGCTCGCAACGGCTCGGAAGCACGGGACCGACAACCTCGGGTTTAGTCCCAGTTACAGACTCCGCTTTGCTGTCCTTGTCCAATCAGGACTGTTGTATTACCAGCTGGAAGATCTTTCTTCCATGCTGTCACGTGAGCTGCCATCAACTCTGCCGTCTTTTCTTCCTCGAGCTCTTCTCCTCTTTCTTTTTCTTCCCCAAGGGACTCAGCTCACGTTTCTACCACATCCGGGATGATGTTGACGTGCCCAGCGAGGCCTCACTGGTTCGGCATTCTGTCGCGACCGCAGAGGTCCATGAGTTACCTGAGAGGAAATTCATCCCGTCGTTAATCGCCCAGTTCTTTCTTTCCATGAAAGGGAAGGGTTTCATATCAGGGTCACATACCGTAGAACATCTAGTATCTAAACGCTTTTGGTCAAAGTTTAGCCTGAACCCGCCCTGGAGCATGCTCGCCTCTGCAAATATCTGCAGGAGAGAGTCTTAATATTGTCGTCCTGAAGCTTAGGTTCGATATCTACAATACTCGTGGCAGTACGGAGTATCATTGAAGGCAGCCATGATCAGGCACCGACTTTTGCCAAACCTCGCTCAATGTCTAAAGACATGGTCCCTGGTCGTTGGTCGATCTACAAGTGCCGGACTCACCACCAGATTCGCGGTATGCTTCTGAACTTGCTCGTACTGGTTGAGATGTAGAGTGGGACTGTCTTCGCATACTATATGCTCTAGCCAAGGCTATCAGAGATGCAAGACTACATAACTCGCAGCAGCACCCTTTACTGGGTGTTAATCAGCTGATCCGAGCAGACAAAAGATGGTCGTATAAATAAGGGTAGTATAGCTGCAGTGGCTAGGTATCTGTCTACCCCTCTTTCACTCTCCCAGTTCCTCAACATTATCCAGCCTCATCTACAATGACAAGCCAAACCGGACTAGATATTCTCCTCCAAAGGACCATCGTGGATTGTGATACTTTAGATGAAGAAGGTATACTGACTGATTTTTGTCATCTCGGTATCTCAGTGGCTTCATGTTCGGCTCAAATGCAAGAACAAGAGATGACAATCTCCCAGTCCCCAGGACTCTCGGCCCATTTCGAGATTGTACTTCCAACCAAGTATGTATATGTCTGCCCTGGAGCAGATCATCATGACCAATGACCTAGGCTATCGCATTCGCCGAGCTCTCGAAGCCAAAGCATGCTGGCTTGATCGAGGACTCTCTCAAGGAAGCATTGAAGCTTGCCTCTCGCTTCCGAGACATTGATTATATTGAATTAGCCGTTGACATAGCGGTCTGTTGTAGACTTGTTTCTAGAAGGTGAAAGAGCGCGAACTAACACAGCTCACAGATGGTTAAGCTGGCTCTAAAGATCCTCCCTCATATCCATGGACATGTCCACATTCAGACAAACCCCAACTATTCATACTCGACTGAGAAGACAATTGCAAACGCTTTTAGTAAGTGGTGTATCTGAACATGCGATATGTATTGACCGTATAAGGGATTGTCCAGATCTTCAAATATCTGGATCTCGGCATTGAGACCACCCGCCGAGTCTGCATCAAGATACCGAGTACGTGGGAAGGCCTGATGGCATGCCGAACCCTCGAAATGGCGGGAGTTCGCACGCTGGCCACAACGCTCTTCACGTTTGAGCAAGCCGCTCTCGCTGCGGAGGTTGGCTGCACGTATATTGCGCCATACGTCAACCAGCTCAAAGTCCATTTCGAGCCGGGGTAAGTTAGTTGGTACTTTACCCGCCGAGTTAAGCTTGAATGACATTGCTCTCTTATAGATTCGTGGACCCGCAGAAACTGCTGCCTCTCTGCGTCTCGGTTCAGGCATACTACGAAGCTATAGGTGCTAGAACAGCGGTGCTCCCAGCCAGTCTGACGTCTACCGACGAGATATTTGCCCTAGCCGGGGCTCACCACATCACTATATCTCCCGGTCTGTTGCGACAGCTTTCGACGCCCGTCTCTGGCCCAGTGACCGCATCTCTGTTCGACTCTGAGCTGCCATATTTAGAGCCCAAGTTAATCTCTTATGTGAATGATGAAGCTGGGTATCGGGGAGCGTTCGGTCGTGCAGATAATGGAGCTGGAGTGACGAAGCTCACACAGGTATGCTCAATACAGTGACAGAGAGACCAATACTCACAACCGGCAGGCCATCATAATATTCAATTCCATGCAGGAAAAGCTGATTGAACTTTTCACGGCACAGCAAGAAATGTTGTTTCGAAAATGATGTATGGGAAAGAAACGAGGGACTACCATACCTCCTCTAAGGATATCTTGGTATCCTGTGTTAGGGTTCAGGGAGATAATTCGGATCGCGCATTATTCCCATGTCTTCCTGGCATATAATAGTAGATACATAGACCCTAACTCGACTGCGACCATGTCCGGAGTATACGAGCGGTTGTGGCTCAAGTCAATTCCGAGATGGATCTGCTGGTACGTCATCGGTCTCAGCTTGCGGTGCGTCGTCAGAGACTGCGTGGCCATAGCAGGACCACAGCTTGGCAGTCCGCTGCTGGAACATTGTAAAGAAGGAAAGGATGAAGGATCTTGATAGAAGAATATAGAGTACTCGATTCGATAGTGAAGTAAGAGATCAGATAAGACAAGGCACTGGCAGCGGAGCCGATCGGGTCAAGACTCAAGAGTCAAGACAAGCCACCCGAACCGACAAATGATGCAGTCAGCGCATGCCGGCTCGTCTCTGCCGGATTAGTAGCTGGGGGTTCATATACTGACGACGTAGACGGCCAGTAAACTTCATCTGATTTCAATCACTCCGGTCCCTGGTTCCTCTCCCTAGCCTTCCCCTCATCCTGCAGACCTGCTGCACTCATCAAGGTACCTGCACTCGACCACGACCGATGTGACTCTGACGGGCCAGGGTCGGCTGAGAAACCACAGTGTCCTCTACTATTGACGAATCAATTTTAGTTTCACTATCTGCCTGCGCTCCCTTTTTACGATCTACAGCTCTAACAGCGACTAGTCACTGCGCTGTCGTGGGTGGTGGTGGTTGTGCCTTCGAGTCCGTGTCGGGGGGAGCAATGCCGCTGACGCAGCCCCTGTGGTGCAGGGTCCATCCATCACCAGCACCAGCTTCAGGTCTCCTCCGTCGTTCCATCTTGAGAGCTAGACCCCGGTTGACTCGTCCTCCACTTGCGCGTTCCTCTCCGACGCAATTCCGAGTTCTTCGCACTTCGGCCACGTCGCCTGCTCGCGGTGCTTCAAAAAGTTCCTCCTCTCCCCTTCCTCCTCTTTCGTCCAATGTCCGCGCCCGACCTCTTCCGCCGCTATCCCTATTGACCACTTCAACAACAATCACTCCCCGCACAACACTCCCGGCTATGGCGACGCAGACGAGAGAACATGGTGGCCATGGCCATCATCACCATCACCACCATGGAAACACGTACCTGACCTCTACGAATACACATGATGCCGGTGTGCGGATTACACGTCTCGGATTGGTTGCGAATCTCGCGATGGCTATTGGGAAGTTTATCGGTGGCTATGTGTTCCACTCGCAGGCTTTGATTGCAGACGCCTACCATGCGTTAACGGATCTGGTCTCGGACTTCCTGACCCTGGGTACTGTCGCGTGGTCGCTGAAACCTCCGAGCGAGCGATTTCCAAACGGTTACGGAAAGATCGAGAGTATTGGTGCGCTGGGAGTCAGCGGACTCCTGCTCGCTGGTGGTGTATTTATGGGTCTGAACTCTGGCCAGGTCTTGCTGGATCAGTTCTTCCCTGAGGCGGCGTCGGCGATTTCTCATCTGGATCTGGGACACGGCCACTCGCACAGCCATGCCGACATTCTTGGGCCTAGCATCCACGCCGCCTGGCTTGCGGCGGGCTCCATTGTTGTGAAGGAGTGGCTCTATCATGCTAGTAGGTTTCGTCTAAGTTGCTGTGAGAAGATCATGCTGACCACTATTCTTAACAGCAATGAAAGTCGCAGTCGAGCGTAAATCGTCCGTCCTCGCTTCGAACGCCATCCACCACCGAGTCGACTCCCTCACAAGCATTGTCGCGCTGTTTACCATTGGCGGAACATATCTATTCCAAGACGCCTCCTGGCTGGATCCCGTGGGCGGACTGCTCATTTCGCTCATGGTCATCAAGGCTGGATGGGGCAACACGCGAACCTCTCTCCTCGAGCTGGCGGATACGGCCGTCGACGACGAGATCAAGACCGCTGTGCAGAAGGCTGCAGCCAAAGCTCTCGGTACCATCAGCGAGGGCGAGTTGATCAAGATCCGGGATGTGCAAGGCATGAAATCAGGACAGAACTACCTCATGGACGTTGAGATCGCTGTCCCGGGAGCTTGGTCTGTCCAGCGCTCCCGCGAGATCGAAGAGAAGGTCCGCTCGACCATTGGGTCCAGCCTTCGCGGGGTCAAGCGCGTCAAGATCCGCTTCATCCCCCTCGAGCAGGAAAGCTTGGACTTTTCCGAAGAGTTCATTTCGCCGGATGTTAGCAGCCAGGCAAACCCGGAGCCCGAGGAAAGTGTCGAGGAAGAGGCGCACCACGAGCGCGCGAATGGGCATAAACATGACGACGGTGCCCGCAAGAGGCGCTGAAGGACAGTCGAGCAAGGCCAAGAGGCCACTCGGTGCAATGGATTTCCGTTTCGGATGTATTTTGGCTTGATACCCGGCGAGCGCAGGAAGCCACTGGAGGATAGATTCAGGGTAGGCTCGGAAGAAAAGCCCTGAGATTCGTGGGCAAAGATTGATGGCGTTAGAAAGGGGTTCTACTGTTTCCTATACATTAGATAGGAGGGACTGGATATGTACCCGCAAGCTATCTACAAACTATCTATACAATTAAAAGTCAGATACAGTCTAGATTCTGGAAGACTCTGCATGGCGCTTGTAAGTTGTAACCGACCTGCTGGGACTCGGACTGGGACCTGGACTCGGTTGATTTCACGGCGGAGCTGCGGTGGATGAATCCAGACTTGCCCGCGTGATGATCGATATTAACCGGCTAAAGGCAAATTGCCGGTTTCCTGGATTCCTTTTTTTATTGAACTCAGTATATATGCAGCTATACTGAAAAACCACCCGACCAGCTCCTCCCTATACAATTAACCAGTCTCAGCGTGGGATAAAGAGTCCGTGCAGTCAGTAGTAGTACGGTAGCAGGGCATTACGTAGGCGTTACCTAAGGGTCCGTGGGCGGGTGACATCAACTGCGGATCCCCCGCGAAGAGAAGGTCCTAACTATGGCGGGGAGATGGATCATCAAGAGGATAAATTCCAGAACCCAATTCGGTGAGTGAGCTGGCGTTTATCTCCAGGAAAAAGTAAGGGCGTTGTTAGCTGTTATAAAGCTGTTATTCATCCCACCTTCGTCGTTGACTCCTCTTGCTTCCTCGACTCTAGCAGAGCTTCGACTATATTATCGCTAGAGCCTTTGACGCATCTTACACATCTATTTATCTTCCTTACTGAACACCGGAGCTCAGAGCTCCTGGACACCTACTCACCCCTCGATTCCCCCCGATCCACACCGCAATCTCCAAAATGTCCTCCCCCAAGGGCCCCCTCTATATCGGCTTCGACCTCTCCACCCAACAACTAAAAGGGCTCGTCGTAAACTCCGATCTAAAAGTCGTCTACCTCTCGATCTTCGACTTCGACGCCGACTCGCACAGCTTCCCGATAAAGAAGGGCGTGCTCACCAACGAGGCCGAGCACGAGGTCTTCGCGCCCGTTGCGCTCTGGCTACAGGCGCTCGATAGCGTCCTTGAGGGACTGAAGAAGCAGGGTCTCGACTTTAGTCTTGTCCGCGGGATAAGTGGTGCTGGGCAGCAGCATGGGAGTGTTTATTGGGGGCGGGATGCGGAGAGGTTGTTGAGGGACTTGAATGCGGGGAAGACGCTGCAGGAGCAGCTAGAGGGCGCGTTCTCGCATCCGTTTAGCCCGAACTGGCAGGATTCGAGTACGCAGAAGGAGTGCGATGAGTTTGATGAGTACCTTGGCGGCGCTGCGAAGTTGGCGGATGTGACGGGGAGTAAGGCGCATCATGTAAGTTCTCCGATGGGTTATGGGTGGGATGGTGCTGACGGTTGTGTAGAGGTTCACCGGGCCTCAGATCCTGAGGTTCCAGAAGAAGTACCCGGACGTGTATGACAAGACGTCGAGGATCTCGCTGGTCTCGTCTTTCCTGGCATCGCTGTTCCTCGGCCATGTTGCGCCGTTTGATATCTCCGATGTTTGCGGTATGAACCTCTGGAACATCCACAAGGGCGCCTACGACGAGGACCTCCTGAAGCTCTGCGCCGGCACACACGGCGTCGAAGACCTGAAGCGCAAGCTCGGCGATGTCCCTGAAGACGGCGGCATCGACCTGGGCAAGGTGCACCGCTACTACGTCGACCGGTATGGTTTCAGCCCTGATTGCACCGTCATCCCAAGCACAGGCGACAACCCCGCGACAATCCTAGCCCTCCCCCTCCGCCCCTCCGATGCAATGGTCTCGCTCGGAACATCCACGACCTTCCTCATGTCCACCCCCAGCTACAAAGCCGACCCGGCAACCCACTTCTTCAACCACCCCACGACGCCCGGGCTCTACATGTTCATGCTCTGCTATAAAAACGGCGGGCTGGCGCGCGAGCACGTCCGCGACGCAATCAACGACAGCAAGGGCGACGAGAACCCGTCTAACCCCTGGGCACACTTCGACTCCGTTGCCCTGCAAACCCCGCCGCTAGGCCAGAAGTCCTCTTCAGACCCCATGAAAATGGGCCTCTTCTTCCCCCGCCCCGAAATCGTGCCTAACCTGCGCGCCGGCAAGTGGCTGTTCAACTACGATCCATCTACTGGAAAACTCACCGAAACACCCAACGGCGAGGGCTGGGACAAACCCGCCGACGAAGCCCGCGCCATCATCGAATCCCAACTCCTCTCCCTGCGCCTCCGCTCGCGCGGGCTCACAACTAGTCCCGGCGGCAACATCCCCGCGCAGCCGCGCCGCGTGTACCTTGTCGGCGGCGGATCAAAGAACAAGACCATCGCCAAGATCGCCGGCGAGATTCTAGGTGGCTCGGAGGGCGTGTATAAGCTCGAGATCGGCGATAACGCGTGTGCCTTGGGTGCAGCGTATAAGGCTGTCTGGGCGCTCGAGAGAAAGAAGGACCAGACCTTTGAGGATCTGATTGGGGCGCGCTGGCACGAGGAGGAGTTCATTGAGAAGATTGCGGATGGGTATCAGGAGGAGCCGTTTGAGAGGTATGGAAAGGCTGTGGAGGGGTTCGAGAAGATGGAACTGAGGGTTTTGGAGCAGCAGGGGAAGAAATAAGAGTTGGTGGTTGGTAATGATGCTATATAGACTTGCTACTTGAGCGCAATTGTTAGTCTGACTTGGACTTCCTTGACTTTCTGAAAAGTAAACTAACCTGCAGTGCACGACTGTACGCCACGGGGCACTCGGAAGATGGTGTATAGAGTAGATAACCAGCCCATGTTGAATGGCATTTGGAGCCCATATGGACGTTGGGATATGTCGACATGTCCAGAGGAGGACGACCAAACACTTGATAGAGATTGGACCTGAGCGCCAGCAAACATTCGGATTCAGATGTAGATGATGTGGGCGGAGTGCTGGGCTCTACAGGCCGTATGCCTGTATTGTTGACACGATCCTCCGAATCCAACCACTCGGATATTAGTGCACCCTTTTCAGTGTGAATGCCTTGAGCGTTGCTGAGTTACCTAACCAGTTCCCTGGTGGCGCACAGTATTGCCCAGCAGGCCAGGCCGCAAAATACATGCTGTACTTTTCATCCTCGTTAAAGATCAATCGCCGTCGAAATGCACTACCCCTGGCAAAAGTAGTGCCATTGGCGAGGATGTCCCCAGGATATAATTGGTTCGGAAATGATACTACCATCCATGCTCAAATGTCGGAATCTTCACCATAAAAGTGAGAATTGACTCACATTGTAAATTCAAAATAGAATCACGTGTCACTCCAGTAACACATCTTTGACAGCGAGCTTTACCACCATCAATATCACCCTTCACATAATTATCGCCCTCCACTACATCTTCCTTACTTCACGACCTTACCATGAGCAATAAGTATACTGCGTCCGACTCCCACTCCTCTGGGACTCGCCCTTCTGAGGGGTCATCCGGAGAGTCATCACTTGCTTCTCGCCTCGATACACGCGACAGGTATAGAATCGGAGGTCCAGGTGCATTGCCAAGATGGCCAGTCATATCAAGCGCTCCTATAAACCTCGACGAGAACCTTGCAAACACAGCCGTGGAAATTGCTCTTAGTCAGTTACAAACAAGCAACATCAACTACGATCGTGTCTCATTCGCTAGTAGGTACACGCACGGACAGACAGCTACGGAAATTGATTCAACACTACTCATCCTCACCAATTTTGAACACCACCGGGATCAGTTAGTTTCACTGCTTGATACGTTGGTGGCTACCCTATCAGAGCTCGGACACAGTGGGAGAGTCGAGATTCTAGACACGCGTGCGAGTGGCGGTATGAAAAGCTTCGCACCAAAACTGACCCAGGAGCAACGGGGAGCCTGGCAAGGAACACTAGCCTTTATTATACGGACACTGGGCTCTATCGAAGTCGATTGGAGGCAAATCTATGCCACCAATCGCGGGTACTGGGAGGCAATATCAACCCCCACTGTGGTCATAAAGACCGCAGTCTTGATTGACAGCTACCCCGAAACACGCCATATCCGCAATGAACTCACAGAAAAAGGGTTGTCGCTAGAGCTAATGGGAATCGAGGGACTGTGGGGTCTCTTTGGGAACCTCCAAGCAGCAATTGACGACGAACAAGTCCGCACTAGCTTAGAGTGGCCCTTTTCACCCTCGTACCATGGTATGGGGATTAGCATAGGAAGAAGTTTTCAACAGACCCCTAGGACAGCAAGCACCCTCGGCGGATACCTCAGAATTCAGAAAAATGGCATTGAGCATACGGTTGGGCTGGGGTGTTATCATGGTTTTAGAATGAATGAAGATGGAACCCATGATTCAAGTACGCCTGGCCTATCCAATTCGGAATCACGCTGACATCGATAGACCTTGACTCAGGTGGCGCAACCAATCTGGATTGGCCATGCCAGTCCCCAGCCCCCTATGACGTACAAATATTCCGAGAGTCGTTGATGAGCACCGCCCACCATCCCATTCCCGAAACCCTTGCGCCAGGCATCAAGGCAAAGCGAGAAGCACAGCGCAACCAGAGTATGCGACAGATTCAGGAAATCAACGTGTTCGACCCAAGCATTGGAAATCTGGTAGCCGTCTCAGGATGGCACAAGCGCTCGCTAAGCCGCAGCATAAGCGCGCCGCTTGTTCTTATCGATTGGGCTTGCATTGAAATACTGCAGCAGCATTGCCCCTATCCGATCAATAGCATTGACGACATGCGACCGCGACTGCTCCGGTTCTGCCCAGAGGCAGTTGGTAGTTGGAAGACTGACAAGCAAACGGTTGATAAAATCGCCCAGATGCCCTCTCAAGATACTCCAATCTTCAAACAAGGCCGAACAACCGGGTTGACAGCTGGCTTACTTGGTGGTCTTTTACCAGCAGCTTTCAGACTGGAAGATGCCCCGCAGCATCTTCATCACCGCGGATATGTGGTATTCACTGCCCCCTTTAGAAACGCTTTTAGTGGACCGGGCGATTCAGGCGCATGGTGTCTAGACGGAAATGGCGACGTGGTCGGCCAGTTGATTGGCGGAAACCAAATAGAGGGCAGCGGCATTCTAATCCCTTTTGCTGTCGTCGTCAATGATATCGAGAAGAAGCTGGATCTGAAGCCGGGCAGCATAAGGCTTTTATGAGAGGAACTTGCGCGTTTGCCCTTTTCTAGGCTTATTTTCTACGTTTTCTTCCCTTTTGCTTTTATCTTGTCAGTTACTCCGCACTTCAGATGGACAAACCAACTGATAAACAGCCTAGGAAGTATGCCCTAGTTGTATTCGCCGGCTTCTCGGTGATGCTCACAACCTGCGCCTTTATCGTCTCCTATGGCGTCTACCGGTCCCTATACAAACAGTGGACCGAAGCTAAAGGCACCCCGTTCACTGGAAGCTCTACTGCCCTCATTAACCTAGTCGATATCCTAGCTATTGCCCTAATGTCAACGGGCGGGCCGTTCGCTATGCACTGGTCAAAGATCTACTTGCCCCAGGCTGTCGTTATCACCGGAGGCTGGGTGTTTGTCATCGCATACATCCTGTCGGGCTTTGGCAAAGCTTTATGGCACTTTGCCCTGGCGCAGGGAGTCATCCTAGGGATTAGGACTTGTCTGGCTTATGTGCCCACGCTCGTCTCTATCGCCGGGTACGCAGTACCTGTGAGCCAAAGTTCCACGAGCAAGTTCGGCTCCAGACGCAAGGCTTCCGACGAAGAAGCGGCTGGATCAAAGCGCCCATGGTCAACTACCGCGCCGCACGCTCAAAACGATTCCTCGCGCAATGTTTAGGTTGTTTCTTGCAGTCTGCTGGCTATCCCACGCCGCTATTTTTCTTTGCCGCGTATGCGAGTACGTTGGGGTACAGTGCCAACACGGCAGCGAACTTCATCACGCTCAATAGCGCCTCAAACTTTGTCTCACGAATTGCAATCCGCTACGCCGCTGACCGGTACGGCCGCATCAATGCGCTGGTAACGAGTTAAGGCTATCGCCGTCTTCGCCTTCTGGACCCCGTCTATGCTCCACGCCCCCCATGCCGACGTCCCCAAATCCAGTGCTGATGGCCTCTTCATCGTCTTTACAATCCTCTATGGCGCCTTTGCCAGCGCATACATCTCGCTCTTTCCGGCTTCCCTTATTGAGCTCTTTGGAGTGCAGCACTTTACAAGTGTGAACGGTGCGCTGTACCTCATCCGTGGCAGGGTGCATTAATCTGGACGCCATTGACGGGGATGCTGCTCCCAAAGCATGCTCTTACTTCATCGTTTATTTATGAGCGGGCCAGCATAGTGGTGGGGGTGTTGCTGATGGCAGCGACGTTAGCTTGTTTGTGGGTACGGATCGAGGCGAGCTTGGGGTCAGCTGGAGGTGGAAACGGAGAGCGTAATCTTGTTGGCATCATGTGTCATGGTGATTGAATTCTGTGTTCTTTGTCAGGCAGGTCTTTGTTTATACTTCATCTGGTGCCTGAAAGCCAAGGCCACGTTTTGCCGTTTCGGTCGGACTCAATGGTCAACACACAAAGTCACAAAATTTGAGGGGAAAATCTAGAATGCAGCATGAGCTGCAAGGAGTTTAATAAATCAAGTACTGTCTCAAATTTATCCGCCTATACCAGACAGCGAGCTCTGTCTAGAAAGAGAATTGCCTGCTTCTCTGCTGAACACTGCCCTGTTGGTCAAAGCAAAGGTGCCGAAACCACCGCCCAACTTCCAAGTTGACTCTCACTTCACCAATCTTCAGTCCACTGTCCTGTATTGCTCCCCAAGGCAAACAATCAAGTCATGATTCGATAGACCATTTTATTTCTTCTAATGATATGACTATCTGCCGCCATCTCGAATCTCTCCAAATCTACGCTTGACTACAGTCACTTTTTCCACCCCTCGTGATATTTTTCGCTTTCGGAGTCCCGCAAAGACTCTGAAGGCAGCCCGGCCGCTTCGACCATGGAAGAGCAGGTAAGGATACCTGCAGAGCTATTTCTTGCGTCATGAGGGATTAGGCACTTTATTCTGGGGACATTGAAGCGAAGAAAAGCAAATCCTTCAAGATTCCAACCCCGCCGTCCCCTCGTGTGCCCCTCCTCGGCCATGACGCATGTCATGTTTTGCAACCTCAAGAATGAAACACCGGCAATCCTAACTGATGTCTAATCTGCTAGGTAGCAAACGCCATAGAAATCGCCGGGAACCCTACCTCCGACACCACCCTCAAAGCCCAAGCCTTTGACTACCTCAACCAACTCCGCTCCGATCCTTCAGGCTGGCAGGTCTGCCTCTCCCTCTTCACTAAGGACCCGCCCCAGTCCCATATTGTCCGCCATGTGTCGTTAGAGGTTGTCAACAGTGCCGCCCAGGCTGGCCTAATTGACCTGCAGTCGCTTGGGTTTGTCCGGGACGGCTTGCTCGGATACCTGCGTCAGGTGTACGGCCGTGAGGGCGCGAACCCCGACCCGCCCAACATCCAGAACAAGATCGCCCAGACCGTCACATTCCTCTTCTCCGCGCTCTACGGAAATGGCTGGGAGTCTTTTTTTGACGACATCCTGAGCCTTACGCACAAGTCGCCCTCCAGCACTACAAGGGACAACCCGCTCGGTATCGTCTTCTACCTCCGTGTTATCAACTCCATCCATGATGAGATTGGTGATGTGTTGGTTTCTCGATCTCGTGCGGAACAGGACCGGGCAAATGCGCTGAAGGATTTGATCCGTGTGAGGGACATGCAGAAGATCGCTAGTTCGTGGCAAGAAATTCTGTCGCAGTGGATGGACGGCAATGATCTTATTGTCGAGATGTGTCTGAAGGCCGTTGGAAGCTGGGTGAGCTGGATTGACATCGGGTTGGTGGTGAACCAGACGATGCTCGATTTGCTCTTCCAGCAGCTGGGCCGTGCGCAGAAGGCGGAGCTCCGCGAGGGAGAGGACAAAGTGCGGGATGCGGCTGTTGATGTCTTTACGGAGATTATTGGCAAGAAGATGAAGGCCGAAGACAAGATCGATATGATTGCCTTCTTGAACCTCGATAATGTGGTGGGCCAGATCTCCTCTAGCCCCCCGCTTTTCGCCAACCGATTTACGTCCAAATACGATACCGATCTTGCCGAAACGGTTGCGAAGCTGGTCAACACCACGGTGACTGATATCGTGCGTGCTTTGGAGCAGGATACTGTGTCCGCCCAGTGCAAGGAGAAAGCCAATGGTCTGTTGCAGGTGTTCCTTCCGCACATCCTACGCTATTTCTCCGATGAGTACGACGAAGTTTGCTCCACTGTCATTCCCTGCGTGAGCGACCTGCTTTCGTACCTGCGGAAGATTGCCAAGGCCAATCCGTCCGTCGCTTCTCAGCACTCGTCCATCCTTCTTCCAATCCTCAAGGCGATCATCCAGAAAATGCGATACGACGAGACCGCCTCTTGGGGCGACGACGACGACCAGACCGACGAGGCTGAATTCCAGGAGCTCCGCAAGCGACTCGGAACCCTGCAGCAGATTGTTGCCACTGTCGATGAGAGACTTTACATGGAAGCTGTTTCGGAGGTTGTGGCGACCACATTCGAGAACATGCGCCAATCAGGTGCCCAACTGGACTGGAGGGACCTGGATCTTGCCCTGCACGAGATGTTTCTGTTTGGAGATGCTGCCACCAAGACTGGAAGTCTCTACAACAAGGGACAGCCTAGCAGCCCATCTGCGGAACGGCTGATCGAGATGATGCTGCGCATGGTCGAATCCGATATCCGATCCTTTACCCACCCAGCGACGCAACTGCAGTACATGGAGATTTGTGTCCGCTACACTTCCTTTTTCCACGCTCATAGCCACTTGATTCCTGGCGTCCTGGAGAGTTTCCTTCAGCTTGCCCATCACCCAATGAAGAAGGTCAAGACCCGAGCGTGGTACTTGTTCCAGCGCCTGGTGAAGCAGCTCCGAGCCTACGTCGACAATGTCGCCCAGACGGTCGTGGAGACACTGAGTGATTTGTTGGTTATCCAGGCGGAATTGCCCTCCGAGAATTCCGACGGAGATGAGATGTCATCGGAGGATCACGAAGGGTCTGCTGATGCTGTTTTCAATAGCCAACTCTATCTATTTGAAGCCGTTGGCAGTATCTGTTCGGTTCCCACAATCCCCGCGGACAAGCAGGTTCTCTATGCGCAGTCCGTGCTGTCTCCTGTGTTTGTTGACATGGAGAAGAATCTGGGCCCAGCCAAGTCGGGAGATGCCCGTGCCGTGCTTCAAATACACCACGATATCATGGCGCTTGGAACACTTGCAAGAGGCTTCTCAGACTGGCAGCCCGGGACTTCCTCGCCTACCGCCCAGCTCCCCGCGCCCGAGGTGTCAGAGGCATTCAGCCAGGTGTCGGAAGCCACCCTTGTTGCTTTGGAGTCGCTAAAGGCGTCCTTTGATATTCGAACCGCTTCTCGATTTGCGTTCTCGCGACTAATCGGGGTTCTCGGATCTCGTATTCTTCCCCAGCTTCCTCGTTGGATCGATGGTCTTCTGACTCAAACGTCATCCCGGGACGAGATGGCGCTGTTCTTGCGTCTGCTTGACCAGGTCATTTTCGGATTCAAGGGCGAAATCTACAACATCCTTGATGCTCTGTTGATGCCATTCCTGCAACGGGTGTTTAGCGGAATCGCGGAAGCGCCCTCGGGCACTGATGACGAGATTCACTTGGCGGAGTTGAAGCGGGAGTATCTTAACTTCTTGCTGGCCGTGTTGAACAATGATTTGGGGGCTGTCATCATCAGCGAGCGTGAGTACTATCCTGACCTAACCTATTTTGTTCTTACCAACTGAAACTTATTAGGAAACCAACCCATGTTCGACACCGTCATTACGACCATCGAGCATTTTGCCAAAGACGCCGAAGACTTTACAACCGCGAAGATGGCTTTCAGCGTTCTGTCCAGGATGGGTAGCGCTTGGGGTGGCCCGGATATCGCACCCGCAGCCCCGAACGGAGCTGGCGCTACACAAGTTGCGCTTCCAGGCTTTGGGCAGTTCATGATTACGCGCTTCTCTCCGCTATGCTGGGCCCTCCCGGCCACCCCGTCCTTCAACTCGAAGGACGCTCAGGCGAAGCAGGTCCTCGCTGAGGCGGGAGGTCTGCAACGGATCATATACAGCAAGACGGGCATGGAGTACCTCGAGTACCTCCGGGACCGCGAACTGCCTGGTATGGGCATGGGGGCAGATCTCGTGGAAGAGTACGTGGGGACACTGAGCCGGCTGGACCTGAAGGGTTTCCGGCAGTTCTTCCCGGTATGTTCGCTTTCCTGTTTCAAGTGGAGGAAATTGCTAACGTGTAAACCTGCAGCAATTCATCCAACGATTCAGCGCATGAACATTCTCGTCATCTATACATAACCGTTTTCCCTGACCATTTTTCCGATTTGTTCCCATTTCCCTTGGTTTATTTCCCCACTTCCATTCTATTAGATATCCCCTCGGTTTGGTTTGATGACTGATGAATCCCTCTCCCTCCCTTCTCTCTCTGTCGGCGGCCCACCTGTCTTACTCCCTCTCGTACCTCTAACGCACGGACCGCCATGATCCACGAATACACGGGATTCGGATAAAAGGTATATAGTTTGTGAGGCATTTGCATGTATTGGCGTTGATGTGCAGAGTACTTTCTCCAGCGCGAGCACGAGAAACAACAGAAAACAGAAAAGAAAAGAGGAATGTATGTAGTAAACGAGTGAGGTAGAATTGAGGAGTTCCGTCAAGTCCTTCGCGTGCTTGGCCAGTGCTTAAGAATATATTAAGTAGTGGAGTCGGCCGCATGCTCTCTTACTGGAACTGGAGTAGCGGCCTCCAGTAAGGCTTGCCATCCGATCTACGCCGGGGAAGAGATCAAGGAACCTTCACGTCAACCTTGGAACTTGAGACCAAGCTCCTTGCTTTCCGCCTGGAAACATAATTGCTTTCTCGGACCCTCCAAGCCCAACCCGCTCTCGCAAATTTGCAGCCAATCGCCTGTGCTGGATTTCGGGGAGGCTGAGCTCGTGTGCGACTGATGACGAGGGGTCCGGAGAGCTCGGATGTGGGAGCCTGACCGACGATCTGCAGGGCTGACGATGAACTGGCAACTGGTCGTATGACCTGGCAGTATGCAGAAGATGAAGCTGAAGAGTTAGGAATGTAGGAGACAGTCAGGAATATACTTCCTAGTCATCTGCGAAAAGCGTCGTATAAACCGACACGCGAAAGAAAAGCCCGGGGCGCACAAGCACAGGGCCACAGGCACAGAGAAACTCTAAGGAGTCCCATGCAACATGATGACGGCAGCTGCGCCCTTTGTTTTCCTCCAGCTCGTCTTATGTACTCCGTGCCATCCGCCTCTGCCCTCTGCTCCTTGACCTGCATCGTCCACGGGCACTCTTCTTCTTTCCTATTCCAGCACCGTGGACGGCCATCCCATCTTTCCTTTTATTCTTTCGCGGGTATCTCTAGGCTACACCATGGGTGCTTTCAAAAACTTCCTTGAACCTGGAGGTTTGTTGCCGTGCTATCCCGATCCCTGTCTTACACTCTTAGCAGATGCTGACTTTGTGTGTATCTTTACCAGCCATCGCTGCTATATTCACTGCTAGCACCCTAGTCAACCGTCGCCGTCGTCGAACTGAAAGTCCTTCAGATACCCCCGACGTCGAGTCGCCCTTGCTTCCGGAACCCGTCGTTGCGAAAGATACCGATGAGGATGGCTATTTCCGGTCTGTGGACAAAGGCCGCACGATCCAGTCGCGGGTCCTCGCGCGGTTCCCCTTCTTGATAGAGATATGGTACTGGCTGCTTATATACTGGGTGCGTGATGCTTGATGGCTGCTGGTAGGCTGTATTCTTAACAAGTTCAGATCTACCAAGGCCTACGCGCGATCTCGGCGCGAGCTATCAGCGGTCACGATGCCATCTTTGCCAGGGCCGAACGACATGCTCTTCAGATCCTCACACTAGAACACGCCCTCCACATCGACGCCGAGCTGGCTATCCAGCGATGGGTCCTCAACCAGGCGCACTGGCTCATGCCCATCCTGGCCCGGGTGTACTACTCGCACATCGTCATCGGCGTGATCTTCTTCTCGTATGCCTATACCTGCCTGAAGCGCGAAACCTTCCGAGCGATCCGCCGGACGCTCGCCTTTGAGAACGTCATCGCCTTTGCGATCATCACCCTATGGCGATGCACTCCTCCTCGTCTCCTTCCAGAAGAATACGGGTTCATCGACGTGCTGCACAGTAACCATGGTGGCTCTGCGTGGACGCAAAACAAGTTCCAGCTCGCGATCGCTGCCATGCCGTCGCTGCATTTTGGCAACTCGATGTTCATCGCCCTGTGTCTGATCAAGTTCAGCCCGCACTGGTACCTCCGGGCCATCGCGCCGGTGTGGCCGATGCTGATGGCATTCACAATCGTCGCGACGGCGAACCATTTCATGCTCGATGCCGTTGTTGGGGCGTGCGTGGTCCTGACCGCGTACCGGTTCAACTATGTCATGCTGAATCTTTTGCCGGTGGAAAGGGTGCTTTTTCGTCTGCTGCGGTTGGAGAAGCCCTAGGTTGTATATATATTCGTATCAATATACAGTCATCCTTGACACTGCCGGCATCTGTCAATCAATTTTAGCATCAAGGTTAGTCTAGATGATATAGAATCGCTGGTTCACGAATGTCCTCATAATAAGGCCGCGTGATGTCGCAACAGTAGTAGGATTGGAGAAGGTTGGCGTAGTCATACCAAGCTAGGTAAAAATTAGCACTTCAGGTCCGATCCGAGCACATCACCCCATGTCCAGCCCTACCTTAGCGGACTGCTAGACTACTTGGCCTTCGGCTCGGTGAGAGACTTGGGACAGAGCGACTCCTTCTCCTCATCCCCCTCACGAGGTTCCGGAGTTTGCCGAGCGGTGCGGAGAACTTACATATACGTATTACGAGTGTATTTTGTATTTGGTCGGTGATTTACGGAGTACTAGGTTTATATAGCGGATGACGAGTCCTGCTGGCAAGAGCACAGACCGATGAGCCAGTGTGCATTGACTATTGACTGCTACATAGCAATATTGAATTATCGAAGTTTTGTCTTCCAATGAGCATGATAACGCTGTGCTATCGGCGTCAAGTCCGAGCTATTTATGTATGTTATGTATATTATGTATGGCCATGACTCGGGTAATATCGAGGGGCGGTGAGCCCGTGACTTGGAGTTGGACTCGCATCGAAGCCGATGCCGGGCCTCCAGTGGTTTGGTCTGGTTTGGTCTGGTCTGGTCCCAGCCTGTCCCAGGTTGTTTGTGTGCAGCGAACTGTTACTCATGGCTGCCGGGATCCCTGGGTCTGGCGCTATTATCCGATTGCCTGGAATTGTTACTTGTGACAAGGGGCAAATAACAAAAAAAATCTTATTCAGATTCTTAACAGACAATGATCGAAACTCAAAGGAAAAAGCAAAGCATTGGCCACGTTCGCCCCGTAGATGTTTGATTATTATTAGATCATTGTTATCACCTGATGGAAAATTTAGAAGAGAGATTCATTTCGGAGATGAGATGGACATGGTTGTCTTGCTGATCTCTCAGTCTCCCCCATACTGCTAATCCGTAATATTTCTGGCTTCTCCACACCCTCACTCACGCACCCTCTCGACTCTCCCAACCCCTTCCCTCTGTCGGGCGCCCCGTTTGTGTTCCTCTTTCGCTGCGTCGGTCTTTGCGTTTATTTCTTATTTTCCTTTTGGTTTCTAGACTGGTTCTCTGCTATAGAGGATAGACTTTTCTTTCTGCTTGCGTTATGGCCATGACGAGCGTCAAGGAAGCTGTCAAAGAGTCCTTGGTCGGCACCACCGTCGACGAGCACACTCTCTCCAAGCAGGTCAAGGCCGATTTCCTGAAGCACGCCCGCAAGGATGAGGCTACTGGTGAGCTGTACATGACCGAGGCGGACTTTGTCGACGCGATTGCCCCAAAGCACGAAGACTACGTGAGTTTCCATCCCGATGTGTCATACATTGACCGACCCCAATTGACAATGGACCCCAGCACAAAATCAAGCGAGAACACTACGGAATCCTCTTCAGAGTCGCAGATAGCCGCCGGTCCGGCCGAATCAACATCCACGAATGGGCTACCTTCGAGAACCTGCTTGCGAAACCGGACGCCGAGTACGAGATTGCCTTCCGGCTCTTCGACACCGACGGGACAGGCACGGTCAAGTGGGAGACCTTCCAGAAGCTGTACAACGAGAACAAGAGCAAGGAGAGCATACCTTTTGACTGGAACAGCGAGTGGGCGGCCCTGTACACAGGCAAGAAGAAGACCCGGCATGACATGACCTACCCGCAGTTCGCGCAGATGCTGCGAGGCCTGCAGGGCGAGCGCATCCGACAGGCCTTCCACGTGTTCGACAAGGACGGCGACGGGTACATCGCGCCGGAGGATTTCCAGCGTATCATCCTCGAGACCTCGAAGCACAAGCTGTCGGACTATGTCCTGGAGCACCTCCCGAGCCTGTGCAACATCTCCGCCGGCACGAAGATCTCGTACGCTACCGTGCGTGCGTTCCAGAATGTCATGCGGGAGATGGACATGATTGATTTGATCATCCGCGAGGCGACGGATAAGAGCGACGATGGGAAGATTACGCGCTCGGATTTCCTGAATGCCGCGGCGCGGGTGACGCGCTTCTCGCTGTTTACGCCGATGGAGGCGGATATCCTCTTCCACTTTGCGGGTCTTGATGCGCCGTCTGGTCGGCTTTCGCAGAAGGATTTCTCAAAGGTCATTGATGCCTCGTGGCGCATTCCTGTTGCTGCTGCGGAGCAGGCTATCTCGACTGCGTCAGGTGCTGCGCACAAGGCTGCCGATGCGGGAAAGTCTGTTCTCCATGGTGTTCTCGAATCTGTCCACCACTTCGCTCTGGGAAGTTTGGCGGGTGCGTTTGGCGCGTTCATGGTTTACCCCATTGATCTTGTCAAGACGCGCATGCAGAACCAGCGGTCCAACCGTGTCGGTGAGAGACTGTACAACAACTCGATCGACTGCGCGCGCAAGGTTATCCGCAACGAGGGTTTCACCGGTCTCTACTCCGGCGTTATCCCCCAGCTGATCGGTGTTGCTCCGGAGAAGGCGATCAAGCTTACCGTTAACGACCTCGTCCGCGGATACTTCACCGGCAAGCAGAACGGCAAGATCAAGACCTGGCAGGAGGTTCTTGCTGGTGGTACGGCCGGTGCTTGCCAAGTCGTACGTACACCCGGTCCTAAGAAAATCATTAAACGCGTTCTAATTGTACTTACTAGGTATTCACCAACCCACTTGAGATCGTCAAGATCCGCCTGCAGGTGCAGGGCGAAATCGCCAAGAACGTCGGCGTCGAAGCCGCCCCCCGTCGCTCCGCCCTCTGGATTGTCAAGAACCTCGGTCTCGTCGGCCTCTACAAGGGCGCCAGCGCCTGTCTCCTCCGCGACGTCCCATTCTCCGCCATCTACTTCCCCACCTACTCGCACCTGAAAACCGACTTCTTCGGCGAAACCCGCACCCACAAGCTCGGCGTCCTGCAGCTCCTGACCGCCGGTGCCATCGCCGGTATGCCCGCCGCGTACCTGACGACCCCCTGCGACGTCATCAAGACCCGTCTCCAGGTTGAGGCCCGCAAGGGCGAGAAGGCATACGCCGGTCTCCGCCACGCCGCCGTAACAATCTTCCGCGACGAGGGCTTCAAGGCGTTCTTCAAGGGTGGACCCGCGCGTATTCTCCGTTCTTCCCCGCAGTTCGGTTTCACACTTGCTGCGTACGAGGTTCTGCAGAAGTGGCTGCCCATGCCTGGGACTGACCACGAGGTCTCGCCAACGGGCCAGGTTGAGCCTGGTGTTGGCGTGCCTGTTGCCAAGGAGCCTCTGCCTTATCTGAGGTCTAGGAACGCGCTCAAGCTCATCCTGGATCTGGATGAGAACATCGGCCGGGGCTCTATTCCGGATGCCGAGCGGTGGCCGAAGTTCATGAAGCCCTCTGCGAGCCAATAGATTCGACTGCACGGCATTGGCATTGGCATTTGATTGATTGGATTGGATTGCATAGATAAGAATGATCTCTGTGATGTTGAGTGATGTTGATTTACTAGCGCTGCGCTTTACTTTCTATTTCCGTCTCATTTTCTTTTTTTCTGGGGATCTTTTCGTCTCTGTCGGGTTGATTTGGAACAGTCCACATTGGACTTGGTTCTGCTTCTTGCATCTTCGCATACTTTACATACATGCACTACCCACTACACCATGTACCAAAAGCTATGTATCTATCTAGATAGATTGGATTGGATTGGGGAGGGGTTGTCATTTACAGCCGACTACCATACCTTTGCCATAGTATCATACCATTTTGTTTGATATTATTTTGCCAATTATGAGTTGAGGTAGATTGTGTCTTTTGTTTTGTTTTGGTGTATTCTGAGTATTGTACTTTTTGTTACTCAAGTATAAGCAGTATTATTTAGTTAAGATGTATATATTAAACTATAACAAGCTAAAGTGATGCATATTGCTTGAACTAGATATATATAGATATAATGTACAAGTATGCTTAAGTAGGGTATGCACGTACAAGTACATGGACATGTCTCAGGTCGTGTATATACAAAGCTGCCACTGCTTGTACGTTGAGATCCAGGTCCTTGCGCACTTCGAGCTCGAGATCGGAGTTTCGGAGCTCCGGGTGGAGGAAAGGATAGACTGGACTCATATCGAGCAGTGTATCCCTTAGGTGGAGCATCGAGCTGGATATATTGAGGCGTATAGTAGTGGTAGAGGTGACTGTCCAGCTGAACCCTCCAACGGCCATTGCGATCCGAATGCAGGGGTGCCCCGTTTCCTGTCAATCGCGATGGATGACTGTGAGAACTGCCCGGGATATCTTAGAAGAAGCTGACTTTCCGTTTCGTCGCGTTGTCTTTCGCCGTCGACTGGTCTGTCTCGTCTACCGCGGGTGCCACTGGATCCTGATTTGTCTGTTCCTGAGCCGCTGCTTCTGCTTCTGCCTTCGTCTGCTCCTCCGCAGCACGCTTCTGCTTCTGGTGCCAGAGCGAGTCTTCGCGCTCAATTTCTCTGAGCACTGGAAACGAAATCAAATTAGCAATCGCTCTTCAAGAGACATGAGAGAGGAACTAGAGGAAACAGACCTTCATCCCACTCCCTCTCAACGCTCTGATCCCCGGTGCCAAGCAGTTTCTCAACATCGACATCCTCACCCCTCTGCACCTTCCCAATAACCTCCTTCAGCAGTCTGATCTTCGCATCCGTACTTCGCGTATAGGCGTTATAATCGTTTCTGAGCATGATCATCCGAATTGCTTGCGACCCGATCAGGATGAAGATTATGATGTAGAATGAGGCCGGGTTCCATTCTTTTGAGGTTTCGGAGGAGGCTGGTGATGATGCGGTGCGGTTCCGGAAGGACTTTGGGATCAACGAGTTCCACAGAGACGGCTGTGCGATTCTCGGCAGGTGTTCGGTTGTTAGGCGTGTGCTGTATGCGGCTGTCCTTGCTCGGGGGAGGGGGAGTTGTGGTGATCGTGGGAGGAGGGTGGATGTGGGATTTGAGGGTGTGTTCGGTCGGAGTCGGAGGAGGAGGCGTGTAGTATTCATGCTGTGTGAGGCCATGGTTGTGACGATATGCTTGTAGTGAGATTGAGTCTGAGACCAAGCCAGGTCGAGTTGAAGACCAAGTTCCGATGCGCCGCGGATAATTTGTAGATGCCTGAAGGCCGAGGCGACAAAGTCGGGGAAACGAACAAAGGACCGAGCCAAACCCGCTAAACCACTTTCGTCACCGTTGCCGCGACAACGCCCTAGTTGGGTCTCGCCGCGGACTCCCGACTCTGTCAGCCAGGTCTTCAATTCAAGGTGAACTGCTGCATCACATCATCACTAACCAACAGCCTCAGAACCCATGATATAACCAACTATGGCGGTTACATCCTTCCCGACCGATTCTTCTTTTGCCATGGAATCGGTGAAGCAGACCGTGCGCTCGACGTCAACATGCTCGGCGGCCACCGTGTTGTCGCTCCAAACACTCTTCCGGAGCGCAGGGGAGGTTGAGGCCGTGAAGAAGTCTGCACGAGCCACGAAATCTACACTTACAAGTACGACGACTTCGTCGCGGGCGAAAACTAGCCGGACGAGAACGACGAGTACGAGCACGAGCACGGCGAGATCGAAGACGCCTAGCCAGGATACAACGAGCCTTGCGGACGCGCGGTTATCAAATCAGGAGAAACTGGTCCTTGCTACGGAGGTGTTTAATACGACGCTGAAGACACTTTCCGACGCGGTGAAGTCAGTCACGTCACTTTCGAAGGAGAAGAGGGAGTCCAGTCCGGCGAAACGCACAACTACGAAAGGACGGACGAAGACGAGTCAGCCCGACACAGCGGACAGCGATAATGGTGTATCTGCGGTAGCGGAATGTGCACGGTTATCACTCTCGTGCCTGCGAATGCTGAAAACGGACAGCGCAGTGGAGGGAGGATTGCCGAATCTGCAGCTTGAACAGGGCGCTTGCGTGCTGGCAGGCAGGCTCCTGGCTCTCGGGCTGCATGAAACCGCGTATAAGGAGTTGAGGGGCCTTAAGAGGAGGATTCAGAGTTATCTGGATGGGCTACCGAGTGGGAGGAAAAGGACAGGAAAAGGGGATGCTGCGGATGGGGAGGAGGAAGCGAAGGAGCGGATGTCGGATCTTCTGTCGTTTTCGAATGTTGCGAGTGCTCGCTCGGTGTATGGCTTGCTGGTCTCGTTCCAGTCGAATGCGCTGCGTCTTATTGCTGCGGAGAAACGACCGGCTACGGTGCAGAAACTCGTGCCTTCACTGCAGCTAGCGGATGAGAGTAGTCCGGCGAATGTTATAATGGCGGCCATTGAGTCGGGTGCGCTCACCAAGGATAAGGCGGCGGTTCAACTTCAGCTTTTGTCCAGTACGATTCTATCTCTAGCGGCCTGCGGTGCCTGCACGACGAAGGAGCGGCTGAGGCCGGTTACGATACTCACTCTACAACTACTATCGCTCGAAATTCGATGCATGTCCTGGAAGCTATCTGGCCATGCCTGTGAGGACAACAAGGAGATGTGGGATCCGCTGGCAAGGTACATCGGAGCTTTTGCGCAGGCCACTAAGAGCATTGAGAAAATCGAATTCGCATCCATCTACAAGAACATCGTCCGACTACAGTCAGCATTCGCGAAGACGCAGAACCGTACTCCGAGATCCACGGATAACCTATCAGTAGCCCGAATCGCTACTATACTGGGACAGCTCGCCCAGGATGCCGGATGCTTCGATGAAGCCTTGCAACTCTTTACAGAATCACTCAACCCCCTCTCAAGCGGTCAGTGCCTTGGTCTGGCGACTGTCCGATGCAAGATTGCTGCCTTATATTTTCAGACCGCCAAGTCATCCGCGAAATTGCCCTGTGATATCTCAGATGCTGTTACTGACGCGACGACTGCTCTCAGCCTACCGCTAAAAGGGAGCACTCATGATTTGGACGAATTGCTAGTGCAGGCGGCTAAACTGAAAAAGCTCGCCATGGGTTGGTTTGGGGATCTACTATCCAAAGAACAGGGCTCAGTATCCGAAAACGCCACCTTCCCACGAGTCTGCGAATATCTCAACGGTTTTATACGCTTCTTGCGCCGGTATATCGGACGCCGACCCGCGGACGACGAACTGAACGACCAAATAACATTTCAGAAACGAATTGAGGCGGCACAGAGCATCATACTCGCCGCGGTGGACTCGGCCGTAGCGATCGGAAAGTTGTCTGTCATGTCCCAACGTCCGCCATGGGATGAGATAGTCCCTACGTTACTTGATTCCCAGCGCATTCTTACGACGATTGAGTCTTTCGACGAGGCTGACACGGCTGCTGCCGACTCCATTGGCCTGGCATTGGTGAAGCTCTCGAATCTGTTCTGGTCGCGATATCTAAAAGAAAAGGAGGCTGGGAAGAGCGCCCGCGAACTCCTGCCACTGTTGAAGCAATCTGCCAATCTGCTCTCTGGGTGCGCGCCTTCTCAGCGGGCGACTGGTTTCGCGCCGCTCAAATACGAGCGCCTCGCGCATACATATGTCGAAGCCGGTATAGTTTCTGAGGCCGAGATCGCGTTTTGTCAGGCTATCAGCGATCATATTACCGCGGGCGCGCTGGATAACATTACCTCCTCCACAGAGGGATTTTTTCCTTATCAGATGAACCAAGATCCGAAGAGAAGTGGATTTACACTTGGTCGCGTGCTTTCTGCGTACTTGAAGGTGAAGTTGCGGAACAGAAGGTCCGTAGCGGACGAGATCTTCGATGATGAGACGCTTACATCGGTTGAACGAGGTCATATTCTGGAGAGGCAGCTGGGCATATTGACTGAGATACACAGCACCGCAAACAAAGTTGACATTTTTCAATCTGTCTTTTCAGAAGTCGTGGCAAGGCTGCTAGAAGTGTACCCAGTTGAGCAGCACCCGCTTCGCCGACTGCGCGTTGTGCTCTGTGGACTACGATTTGCGTTGGAACAGCCGGGATGCTTGGATTCGTCACTGCTCCAGCAATTTGTGGAGGAGGGGCGGAAAGGGTTGGATAACGACGATTACCAGGGAGACGACGATATCAAGTCTGTGGCTGCCTACCTCAAGAACTCGGTTCGCCTCACACTTAGCCTCCAGCAAGGCAGCCTAGGATCCGAAGAGCTTGAATTGATCGTCTCAACCTGGTCCTCAATTGTTCGTTTCTGTCGAGATCTGAACTCGCTTGTTTCGTGCGTCGGCAACGTCGAGTACTTTCTTCTTCAGATGAAAGCCGTTGTTGATTACACCGAAATCCACGGGCTGTGGAAATTTCAGCTGGCTACACTCGAACTGGTGCTCTGCGTGACTGAGCTACACGGAGCTGGAACATTCTCGGAGGCCATAATCGTCCTTTCTCGGCTTGTTCTTCAATACTGCCGCCTCGGATCGTGCACAAAAGCCCGATCTCTCCTGAACCGGGCAGATAGTTATATTGTCAACCATGAAGTCTCCTGCCTGGCGCGACTGTCGTATGAACTGGCTCGCGTGGGATTCCTTCTCGAGACAGGTGACAATCAAAAGGCGGCGAGTATTCTTTCGGCGGCTAGGATGCTCTACGAGAAGCACCAGTCAACCGAGGACTTGAACGCTTGCTCGGTATTGACCAAGATTGCATGGGAACGACTAGTCGCCGATGCTGCATTCATGAGCTCACGCCTTTCTTTTGTGCAAGGCTCTATCAAGGACGCTCTATACTTCGCCAAGTTGTCGGTCCGATTGAACTGCAGGATTTGGGCCAAGGTGGAGAAGCTTGCCCAGAAGAAGCAGGAAAAGACTGTGACCGGTGACAGCTCTGAACTTGAGATTGTCGTCGAGGGAATGGCGAAGCTTGAGGTGTCGCGAACGTCATCAACTTACTCTCAAGGAGCCCCGTTCTGGCCGCATATCGGCTCGCATCACAGCTCGTTGCTCCATCTCGCAAACTTGTCTGCACACCATGGTTTATTTCAAGACGCCATTTACTACGGAGAGCAGGCGCTGAAGATCAACAAGTCACTGAATGCCAACGTTCGCCTGATTGCCTCCCAAGCGCATCTCGGCTCTCACTGGATTCTTGGTGGCCATATCCCCGAGGGTCAAAAGCTCCTCGCATCTGCCAAGGAACTATCTGAGCAGCTGGAGAGCAGTATTGAGCTTGTCTCGCTACGGTTGAGCCTGGCTGCTCTCCAGAGGGTCAAGGGAGATTACCGCAACGAGTACCGCACCCTTCGAGAAGCCGAGAAACTGCTGAGTGGTCTGTTTGAGGAGCATGAGAAGACTAGTGCCCCTGAACTGGAGGACAAGATGGACAAACTACGTATCCGACCAAAGAGCGGATCGACGAGACAGACCACGGCAACGGCAACGAGAAGGACCCGCAGCGCAACGACTTCCACTTCAACTTCCACATCCGCACGAAGCACACCGAAGCCGCCATCGAGCGCGGAAACGACAATTGGTTCGAGCACGCTACTCGACGTAAAAAGCGAGATTCTTCGGCAGCAGGCTGCATCTTTACGAGCACAGCGTGAGTTTGAGAAAGCCTCGAATTTGTTAAGCGACGCTCGAAAATTTGCGGTGACTAGGGATAGCAAGATCTCGGTGCATATTGGGGAGAGTGAGCACCTGCTTGCGGACGCGATTCGCAACTTTGCCAACCATGCAGTATACTGCGTTCTTCCCGAATCGACCATCTCATTACCCTCATTGCAACCCAAGGCCGTGACTGAAGTGCCCAGCAAATCCACGACACGCAGAACCAGAGCGCCTACCCGCGGAACACGCTCCAAGCCTCAGCCGACAACAGAAGACTTCTCCGTCATGCTATCCAAGGCGGGCGACTGCTTGAACGATATTTTTCACACTGCTACCCACCTCGGATCTACTCTTGACAGTCACTCCGCGTCACGCCTGATGAGCCGCATTTCGATGCTGTCTCACGTCACTGCGTCGCAGAACCAGGTTTCATGGTCACAGTCTCCAGCGAATATGAACGAAATTGGCCGCATTGGCGCGTTCGCGAGAGAGCGCGCCGCTATCCGAATCGACAAGGAGCTGGCCGACTACTGCGACCCGCTGCTGTGGCCGCGTTCCAAATTGGAGTCTGACGACGTGGGGTCTGACTTTATCGCAGACTATGTCGACATACTTCCCGAGAATTGGAATGTTCTGTCTTTGTCGCTGAGCGCAGATCAAACTGAGTTTGTCGTGTCGCGACTGCACCAAGGCCGCTCTCCATTCTTACTGCGGCTGCCTCTCAGGCGCGGCAACTCGGAAGATGAGGAGGAGCAGTTTACGTTTGAGGACGGGCGAGACGAAATGAAGGAGCTGATCCGGCTGGCCAATGAAAGCGCCCATGCTGCCAAGTTGCAGGTCGACAGGCAGATGAAGAAGGAGTGGTGGAAGAACCGCGAAGCCCTCGACCGCAGAATGGAGAACCTGTTGCAGAACATCGAGAACGTCTGGTTTGGAGGCTTCAGGGGGATCTTCTCCCCCATCCCGCATGGCGCGAAGTCGCTCGCACGATTTGCGAGCTCCTTTGAGAACATCCTCGACAAGCACCTCCCCTCCAGACAGAAGGGGCGTCGGGCGGAGGGGCCAAAGCTGACGCTGCATCCGAACGTGCTGGAGTTGTTCGTTGGAGTTAAGGATTTGGATGAGCAGGAAGACCCCGAGGATGCCTTGATGGATCTTCTCTACTTTGTTGTTGATATCCTGCAGTTCCAGGGTGAGCGCAATGCTTACGATGAGGTCGACTTCGACATGATGGTCGTCGAGACGCTGGATGCCGTACGGGCTTATCATGAGGCCGCCAGCGAGGAGGCCAAGCAGCGACCGAACAACACCGTGCTGGTCCTGGACAAGTCTCTGCATATGTTCCCGTGGGAGTCGCTGCCCTGTCTACAAGGTCTACCGGTTTGTCGCGTGCCGTCTCTGGAGTGTCTGCGTGATCGTGTTCTGCAGTTCCGCGCCCAGGAAAAGAATAGTCTCGGCATCGCTCGACGCAACGGCACCTATATTCTTAACCCCACTGGTGATCTACAGACGACGCAAGGGACGTTTGAGAAGGACCTATCTAGCCTCAAAGGCTGGACTGGCGTTGTGAACCGCCAACCGACCGAAGACGAGTTCAAGGACAGCCTCGAGTCGAAGGACCTCTTCCTCTACTTCGGCCACGGAAGCGGCGCACAATACATCCGCGGCCGAACCGTCAAACGGCTCGACCGATGCGCCGTGGCCTTCCTCATGGGCTGCAGCAGCGGCGCTCTTACAGAAGCCGGCGAGTACGAGCCGTACGGCACGCCGATGAACTACCTGCAGGCGGGAGCTCCCGCGCTGGTGGCTACGCTGTGGGACGTCACGGATAAAGACATTGATCGATTTGCCAAGGCGACATTTGAGCATTGGGGGCTAATTGGAGAACGAGGAGAAGTTGGAGACGCCCCTGTGGCTCTGGACGCGGCAGTTTCGCAGTCGCGAGGAGCATGTGTGTTGAAGTATTTGAATGGCGCTGCGCCGGTTGTATATGGAGTTCCTGGAGTTTTTCTAGAGTAGTTTTGGATTGCATCGTGGCGCTGGGGGCATTGATAGAGGGCTTTTGTTTGTCTGTATATATTGTTATTATAATGTCATGATACCTTTCTTATCCTGCCAGGGAAAGATTGCCTGATCTGTAGAAGCGATGCGGGGAGCCTGTCATGCCAAGCCTGTGCTGCCCCTCATTCCCCTCATCGCCGCCAACTTAACCTTCAACAACTTCTCTTCCACAGCTCTTCTCTCATCGCCATCCTACCATCTACTGGCAAAATGTCCGTCACAACAAAAGCAACCATCGCCTCCTTCGGCGGCAAGCTGCTCAAGCTCAGCCATGCCGCCAAATCCACCAACTGCGAAATGTCCTTCAACCTGTACCTCCCACCGCAGGCCTACAAATCCCCCTCCCAGAAACTCCCCGTGCTCATCTACCTCTCCGGCCTAACCTGCACGGCCGACAACTGCTCCGAGAAGGGCTTCTTCCAGCACGGCGCGTCAAAGAAGGGCATCGCGGTTCTGTACCCGGACACCAGCCCCCGCGGCCTCGACATCCCCGGCGAAAACGACAGCTGGGACTTTGGCACCGGCGCGGGCTTCTACGTCAACGCTACCAAGGAGCCCTACAGCAAGGGCTACAACATGTACACGTACGTCACGGAGGAGCTGCCGGCTACCGTCTTCGAGGCGTTCCCGCAGCTTGATTCGTCCCGTGTTAGCATCACGGGCCACAGCATGGGTGGGCATGGTGCGCTCACGCTGTTCCTGCGCAACCCGGGCAAGTACAAGAGTGTTTCGGCCTTCGCGCCCATCTCGAACCCCATTAACTGTGCTTGGGGGAAGAAGGCGTTTGGTGGGTACTTTGGGGAGGAGAGCCAGGAGAAGTGGAAGGAGCATGATGCCACCGAGCTGGTGAAGGGGTGGGCTGGGAAGGAGTTGGATGTGCTGATTGATGTGGTATGTTTCTTGTCAACTAACTTATTTGAGGGGTAGGGGTAGTGCTGACAAGCGCAGGGCACCGGCGACAACTTCTACAAGCAGGGCCAGCTCCTCCCCGAGAACCTGGAGAAGGCTGCCAAGGAGGCTGGTGTCTCGGGCATCAACGTCCGCTACCAGCCGGATTACGACCACAGCTACTACACCATGGCGTCATTCGCGGATGACCATATTGAGCATGCGGCCAAGTATCTCTTTGCTTAGTGGGTGACTCTTATTTTCTTCTCTTGGTTCTTGGAAAAGGAATGGGATTGTTTGGCATGTTCGGTTCTGATTTTGTCAGCCATCGGCAGGCGAATCTTTGAGATTGAGTCCCGCTGAAGTGTATAGATAGATGGACGCGATGGCTGTTATCCGTGTTATGAGTGATAGGAATAAAATACATGTTTGTTATGAGGTCTCGGCACTACTGTCAGCACGTATAGTACCGAGGATCGAGCGTTCAGTGCTTAGGCCGATGGGATCGAGAGGCAGTATTCCCGACGGTCTGATGCAACCTGGCATGGGATCATGGTGTCTCTCCTTATTGCTCAGCCAGACAATCATAGGCGAGTCAATACGACCTCAGCCGACAAACGATCGCTATGGTCACCGTGCGCGACATACTCCCCTTGACATAGCGAAAGCAAAAGCCTACCGCAGATGCCCGGACTATTCCGTAACCCGTGGGCTATGAGCACCATCGGGCGCAGCGGAGATTGTGCCAAGATGCCACGGCGTGCAGGCCAAGGGTCTTGGGCCACTGTGGGCCAATTGTCAAGGCTCATGCTGTTGTCTAGGCCCTGCTCTAAGCCACTGGGCCAACTGTTAAGGCTCTTGCTTTGACCGGACCCTGCTCTAAGCCACTAGGGGAACAATGGTGCGCACAGGGTCCCAGTTTCACGAGGGCGTCTCCCCTGCCGAGACCTTATAGGAGCCTCATGCCCGCTGATCTGTCTTGTTCTGTTTTTGACCAGAGAGGCCGCCATGTCTGATTCCATCCCTCTCGGCCCTGTTCTCAGGCATGCCTCAACAGACACAGACAGAGACCATGATCGACCGCCGAGTCTGCACGATGATTCCCCTCCTGACTATGAGCCCCCCAAGGAGCTGACCAAGATGGAACTCCATCCCCGCAGCTTTTACGCCCTGTTTCTCGCGCTTTTCTACGCCGCTCTCGTTCTTGCTCCTTGGGTAATCGTCTGCCTTCTCACTGACCGTCCCATTGCCGGTCAACGCTACGGCGCCCTGACCGGACGTGATTCCAACTACGACTCCTACGACCCATCAAAGAACCAGTCGGTCTACGAAAAGAGCGAACGCTGGTACCATGCTGCTCGTGTCATCCAGGCAATCGCGAGCGTGCTCACCTTGCCCTTGACCTCCGCCATCTGCGCCAGCGCCGCGGTCATCTTCATGCAGCGCGAGGAGCGCCTCACGATCCCACAGCTCATGAGCCTCGCCGACCGAGGCTGGCTGGACTGGGCAACATACGGGAGACTCGCCCACGCGTGGAAGCGCTTTGGAAGTTCGTTCCTACTGCTGGCAATCCTGGTGAACCTGCTGGGCATGATCATCTCGCCATTGCAGTCGATCCTCCTGTCCTCACAGGCCGTGATGACCCCAACCAAACCCCAAGAGATCTCGTCGCTGATCGACCTCCCGTCGCGTTTCTGGGTTCCGGACGAATACTCCTATCCTGACAGCAATATCATCACGATCAAGACCCGTGCTGCGCTTGAGGCAACGACTTCAACGGAGAAGCACGCGCAGCTGTGGCCAGGCGCCAACGTCACCTGTGACCCGTTTCAGACGGACAAGTACTCGGAGAATGTCTGCTTGCGGCAGGGGGCGACCTTTGAGAATATCTCTCTCTTGCCTGATCCTTTTCTGGCTGAGCTGCCCAGCGGCTTTCACACCGGTCTGTTCCGTCAGTTCCTGCCTAGGATCAACTCGACGGCGCAGTATCAAGTCATCACTGAAGCCGAATTTCCCGAGGATTGTGATCAGATCCAGGGCGCCTTTTTCGCCGAGTATACCAACACCTCGCGGTACATGCCCGGTAGCGACATGATGCAAACCTGGGGCTTGAGGGCCTGCATGCCTGCCGATGTCACGCAATCGCCGTGGCGGGCCACTCGCGACCGGCATACGTTCTCGGAAGACCTGTATCTTGACGTCAAACTGGTGAATTATAGTATAGCAATGACGCGTCCTGAGCGCGGCTTCTTTCGAGTGACACTCACCACGACCACTGGGTATTTCGAGCTACCGAACTACATGAATGGTGGAGTTGCGGGGTTCCTGCTGGACAAGGATCCAACCGAGCTCTGCGATGATCGATGTCAAAGCCAAGGGACCATCAAGTACGCAAGCCTTCATCTATTTCACCCCTAAAGCGACAAGTTGCTGATTCTTTCCGTCGCAGAAATCCCGATCAAGACGCCTCTAGAACCCGCCGCGACACCGAAATCACCCCCGCCTCCAACGCCCTCCAAGACATCCGCAACAAGGGCCCCCTCCTCACCATCGCCCTGGCCCTCTTCGGCCAAGGCTCCTTCATCGAATCACACGCCCGCCAGCCAGAAGCCTACGCCGCAACCGTCATCTATGACTATAACAAGGACCAAAACCCCGCCCACAGCGCCTGTCGCTACCTCAAGCCTTTCGGCTACATGCTCGAAAGCATCAGGCTCGAGTGCATATCCAACAGCGCCGGCGGCGTCAACGGCTGGGATGTGCGCGATCTCATCGCGGAGTGGCTAAACAGCTTCCACACGTTTCCGGAAACCCTCGCGAATGCCTTTACGGGCGCCGCGTACCTGTCGCACAAGGCCTGGATGGACCATAGCACCGAGGACCCCGACGCGCCGTATGTGTATGGCGGCGGCTTCCGCGTGAGTTTCGACATGGGCCGGCTGCGTCAGAAACCCGTTATCTCGCGCGCGGGCGTCATCGTTGTCTCGGCGCTCTTGGGGGTCCATGTCCTCTCTCTCCTCGCGCTGGGCTGCTATGCGGCGTGGAGTCCGCGGTGGACGCGCAGGCTCGACTCGTTTGCGATACTGCGTGTTGGCGGCGCGATTGCGCGGCATGTGCCGTTGTGGATGGTTTACAAGACGTCTCTGGTTAGGGAGTTGGATGGGCTGCCTGGGTGGATTGGGGATCAGATGCCGGAGGGTGAGGCTGTTGGGATGTTGGGGCTTGGGGGGCCAGCACGGTTGAGTGGGAGGTCGAGCACGAGGGCGAAGAGGATGTTTGTTTCGTACCATGTTAAGCCCGGGTTTGGTTGAGTTACCTGCATGATACGGTAGGCCTAGAACGCTGCTACTGGCACACATTGCCATCTACATTTCCATACACTGCGACGTCACTTCTGCCCAGTATTGCTTCCACTTCGGTCAGGACCTCAATCTGGCCAGCAGTGAGGGCGCTGCATGCCCCGCTCCTGCTTGTTATTTGTTCCAGACAGCCTCATCTTCATCTCACTCGACGCACCTTTCGACCCGTGGACATGACATTGGCCTGCCAGAAAGCCTCGTTTTCACAGCCACAATGCATAGACGCCCGGCTTCGCCCCCTCCAGGCTCACCAGGCTGATCCTCTGATCTCGTAGGTATCTGATCGAGCTGGATCCTCGCAACTCACATCAAAATTAACCAGAATTCACCAATCTTCATCAGATTCAGCCCAAACATCTACTCCTGCATCATAATATCAAGCGAATCAAGCGGTAAGGACTCAAAGTAACTACACTCTTAATTAGTCCCGCTAATAAAGCTGGACAGACAACTAGAGGATGCACGATATATAGTTCAGCCAGAAAGGCGACTTCCGAAACATGCAGAACCCCGCTATGAGTCGAACATTCGAGTCAATCAGGGAACAACTCTCTCAATACTCGGACGGGGACATCGATGGTGTCGAATTCAGATTCGATTGGGAGGTCCCGGAGATTGTCAAATCCAACTACCACGCGAACAAGGAAGTATGGAGCCCCAGAACGCACGTCGTTCTCTTGCAGGACGCCACTTCCCCTGCCGACGTAATGGCAACGACATGCGGGGAGTACCTTACCAGAAACTGGGGCACCTGGATCCCAATGCTTGAAATGATGTTGGACAGTTATACGAAAGCGACCCTGAAAGAGCCAGAGGCAGCGTCGTCTTCTTCGGTTCGAACATCCGCGCTCCAAGCTGCTGCTCTTATTCTGGGACCAGTTGCTCTGGCAGTGGCGGCTCTTGAGCTTTCAGTCGCAGCTGCTACGAGATCTAGGCCAGGTAACTATGTCGCCATTCTACATGCGAATGCTCAATGCTAGAGCTAATACGAGAGTAGTGGTGAAGCTCGAAATTCCAGTCGTCGATGGTGCTTGTGTTGAGCTCTTCGATTCAGTGGCCGTGCTACACTTTCGCACCCTTGATGATGCAAGGACGGCGATGGGCCTCGTTGAAGCCTGGGATTGGCTCTGCAGAGCTGTCCGTTCAGCGCCACAAGATGGGCCCAACCTCTCATCCTCCTCTTATGAGTTTGATCTTAGAGAAAGGGCCAATGGAAGGAAATCGCTCAGCGTCTCCAGCCATTTGGGCATAAACTCCGTTGAATTAGGGCATAGCTGCTGGGAGAAGCTTTTCAAGTCCTGCACACTGGTATGCGCCAGCTTAGAGGCTCGTCCAAACTCTGAAAAGGGACTCGAGATATCGCTTGATCTCATGGTATCGCTAGCGACCGCAGAGTTCCAGGTAGCCGTCGATGATGGTATCGTTTTCGTCGGGTATCGCACCATACTATATCCTACGGCTGTGCACGGAACTTCAGCCCAGTTCCATCTTCTCACCGAATCCAAAGGCCAAATCAATCCGTACCTGCAAGATCACGGAACCAGAGTCTTGACAGACGATGCGGCCCAGTTCACGAAGATGCGGTGCTTCCTGGGTTGGTGCACCGATGCTCAAGTCAATCTTGGAACTGAGAAACTACCAGCATCTATCAAGTTCAAGCGAGCGGCGGTGTTGGCTAGTCCCAAAGTTAAGTTTACTTTTGCATATGTGTCAAGCGTATGCTTCGCGCCGCGGGTGTCCGCCGGGTCAAGTTCCTTTTGTTGAGCCACATTCAGATGCAAGCACACTCCGGGAACACTTGAAGGGGTTAGGCCGCACAGCTATCCTTGGAAACGGAGGAAGTGCGTTCCAGTTGCAGCAGCTTCTTCTCGGATTGAATATTAATCTGCTTAAGACAAGGGCTGTGGTCAGAGCGAGCGAAGGCAGAATCCTGTACGGCTTTGAGTTCGGCGACATCATAACGCAACCTGGGCGTGGCAGTTGCATGAAGAAACTTGAGATCAACAGACTTGCCAGTAGGGCTTGGATCGGCATCGCAAACGAAGTCGACGCCGTTCTTGTGTGCGCGGAACTGGGCGATGCAATCACTGCTGCAGACGAGGCAAGAACTCGAAACGATCTTTGCAGCAAGGTACCCCAAGGGCAGGACTATCTGGCCGCAACAATAAACTGCCTCAAGACCTTAGTTGAGCGCCGAAGCAGCGCTCTTGCCGGTGAACTGGAACCCCAATTACTCCAGGTATCTGATGAGCAACTCTGGGACCTCGCGGCGAGCCCGTTCGCAGCATGCACACACTCTAGCAGCTCAGAGACGTGCTGGCAAAGTGACAATGTATTTCAGCGCCTCACAACGCCGAGACTACACCGGCTACGGAACATTTTGGGGAAGACGAGGTTAAGATCAAGTCTTATACCAATTCCCGCTTCAGGGGCTGTGGTCTTTGGAGCGACTTGGTAGCAATCTGAAGGGCAACGTAAGTGGCTGAGTCTGCACTTTCAGGGGGAGGGGGGGACGTATGAGTTGAATACATGACTCGGAAGCCAATTTGGAGAGACTATTTAACACTGCACATTTTCCTTGCCTGGACGGAGTTGGACTAGGCTTTCTGTCCAGTTGCGGCCCTTTTCCCAAAGGTAATATCTGAAGACGTCTTCGGCACAGCACCGTACCTCTGTTCTCAGGATATTACCTGAGCGTCTATGGGTTTGACGATTTGCGTTTCGACCGACCATGGAACCTAACCGGATTCTCTGAACTCGCACGCAAGCCTCACCTGGTCAATTAATGCCTATGCATGCTAGAGTATGATGGGATAGGATGTAGGGATCGGTTGCAGGGTCAAGATGGTTAAGACTCGTAAGTGGACGGTTCTTTGAAGCTGAGTCCTATTGGCCGATGTAGACATTCTAGATAAGACGGACGACCCTTTCTGCGCGGCAAACAATGTATGCCAATGAAGACACTGATGACGCTCCGTGAGTGTGCACCTATATGACCTATACCAAAGCTGCCCGTCCATTACACAGACAATTGGAGCAGGAGTACGGGGATGAGGGAAAGGTGGAGGTGCATTCTGCAACTGCGACATCACATCACCTATATCACACCATCACCACAATCCTGTGGGACGAGAGAAAAAGTCAGAGAGACAGCAGCGGGGATGATCCCTGCTCGACCTGAAGAATTCTCAAGATTGACACTGATCGACCACCTCGCCCACCCAACCAACTTCAACAAGCTCACAGGAATAGGAAGTGACAGGGGCATAGCAACCAACCTGGATCTCCATCACACTGTCACGCAGTCGGCACTTGCATCCCAGATCCTGAAGAGATCACATCACAGTGATAGTGCAAGTCCCCTCTCAGCGCCCTGCAGCAACGGCTACTATGATTGGACGTCGCCCCAGGAGACTTTGCTAGCCCCCTCGATTGGGAATCCGCACTGCAGCTGGGGAAGCACAGGCCAACCGAAGTCCCAGAAGAATGGCTGGGCAGGAACTCGATTGGAGGAGGGCAGTGTGACGGCCACCGCAGCGTGCAGGCGTCGGCGCTTAGCGGCAGGAAGGGAAGCCATTGGCTGTCTCCCTGACTCCCTCCTACATTGAGGAAGCTATATTGACTCCCTCCTACATAAAAAGGTATAGCCGCCCACCCTGCACCGGCTCTTCTCTGAAACACCTTCGCTTCTCCCTCCGCTCTTCTCTTCTATTTTGGTGCGCGCTTGCTTTGGCTGGTCCAGACAACGTCCTTCTTTAAACGCCGCATTACTTTACCAACCTCTTACCTACCTCAGCCACAGCTCGTTGATCGAGTCTGCCTCGTCTATCTATTATATCTTAGTTCGCCGTCGTCGCTAATACATTTACAACCTCAAACACCTCATCCTCCTCACTACAACCAAATCCACCCAATCCCACCAAAACCCAAAACCAATACCAAAATGTACCGCCCAAAGCCCAAGCTCTCCGTCTCCATCGCCGCAGCCCAACGCCCCTCCCTCTCCCTCTCCATCAAGTCCCCGGGCCTCCAACAAGTCCGCTCCCCACGAAGTCCCCTCCCTCCAAGCCCGGCCCCCTCAAAGCGCTTCTCGACCCTCCAAGTCCCGACGCCCACGCCCAGCTACGTCAACTCCTGCTCGGCCAAGAGCATCCTCAAGAAATCGTCTGCCGCGTCAGGGACAGCCAAGAAGATCCAGTTCCAGGGGGCCCCGACGGTCCACTGTATCACGCCGATCGAGAATACGGAGGAGTATTATGGGAGCTATTCGAAGTTGACGAGGGAGGAGAGGAGATGGATTGTTCGGGAGTGATTGTTGACTTGCTTTGCTTTGCTACGGAGTACTTGCTCGGCTTGTCGTGATTTGGTTCGAGGTTTGGGTTGAAGACGATAGATCGGATATGGGTTGGCTTGGTTTCACGGAAAGGAAGAGGGCACTGTGTTTTGACTGAGCGATGTATTTTGTTGTGACGACTTATGATATGACTGACGGACTGGTATGGTATGAATGATAATCCACTTTATCCATAAACTTGGCTTGTAACGTGCTGAGTAGACAAGTAGAATCTCGAGGTTGATATACAAGTATCTATCTATAGTACACTATAATACAGCGTTCACCCTCCCCCTCAACTAAGATCCGATCCAACCCTCT